TTACGACACCCGATGGCTGCAGTGTTTGCACCAAAGTTGTTTCGGTAGTCGATGAGGCATTTGCATGCAACCTATGTCAACGATGGGCGCATTGTCACTGCGACACCAAAGTCCCCCGACAATACTATAAGTTGATGAAGAGACAACCATGCAAGTGGTTCTGGTACATCTGTCCAGAGTGCAGGAAAATGCCCGCACTCCGCACAGAAAGCCTGAAGGAGATGCTCTCCGCCACGCAAAAGCTACCAGCACCCTCGAATAAAGTAGGGTTAACACCAAAAGATAACACAGAGAGACCTGGAAACAGACCTAGAGCTCCAGCTGCCGGCACGCCACCTCGCGTGGGGACCATATTAGGTCAAGTCTCCATACCTCCTACCCGGCCCCAGGGGACGTCAAGCGTATGGCCAAAGACATCGACCGCTAAAGCCTCTACGAAACCCATTCCAAACACCTTACACACCGTGACTGAGAAACAACCAGTGGAATTACTCAAACCCATTGGGAAGTCAAGCGTGCCACCCACAACGAACCCAGGTCACAGGAGGACCAACTCGATCATTTTGTTCAACGTCGATGTATCGACAGACTCATTGTTGGTCGAGAGGGAACGGTTTGACAGCCGAATGTGGACCGACTACTGTCAGATGCTAGGACTCCCTCCCCTCCCTGCAACTTTATGTCGCCTTTCTCGAGGAAGCCGTGCACCCCGAGATAAGCCACCCCCTTTACGTGTGTCCCTAAATACTACCAAAGAGGCTGAAGACACACTCCTCCTCTCGCGACAACCGGACGTTGTTAATGCCTGTAAAATTCGGGCCAGGCCTGACAAGCCATGGTCAATAAGAGAGGAGGAGAGAAAGTCAGCGGTTGGAAATCCCAACAGAAACAACACTATAGTTGTACATGGGATTCCAGAATTGCCAAGTGACCGCTCGGTCAAAGATCGGTACTTTCATGACGTCCAACAATGGCAATGGCTCTCAACCAAAGTTGGTCTCAACAGTATACCGGCCAACAGCGTCAGTAGACTGCCAAGGCCAGCGCACCTGAAGACCATACCCAATCCCAGACTACTCGCCGTCCAGTTCGACTCATATGCCTCCCTCACAGACGTTCTACAGGCATGGTATAATGCGAAGGATCGCATGGGTGGCTCAATACGTATATGTGAAAGTAAGCCTAGACCCACAAGGCAAGAGGAGAGACGACAACCACCAAGACCCTGGAGTCAGTGGTCGTCACACAGGCGCTGACCAGTGAGTTAGATACATCAAGTAAAGAAGCCACCACTGCCACAGCCCCCACCCAAGTTAATAACAAAACACCAAAAAACGGAACAATGCCAGTCCTATGAGGACTGGCGAGGGTAGACCCAACCACATAAGCTGTCATCCTGCGAAAATACACAACCAGACCTCCCCCTCACCAGGCACACTCTAATATGTATGTACAGCAACGTTAGGGGGCTAAGAGGGAAGGTAGCAGAAATGAGGACGCTGCGTGCACATCAGCACTCCGACATCATATTCATCACCGAATCCTGGCTCTCGCCAGACATCTCCGACGAAGAGATGCATGTTACTGGCATGGAACTCTTCCGCAGGGACAGGGAACATAGAGCAGGAGGAGGAGTGGCTATCTACGTAAACTCTTGTTTAAAGGCAAGGATGGTTAGCGATACGGCCTTAACCCAGCTCCCAGAGTCCCTATGGTGCTACTTCACTCTCCACAGTACCAAATATTTGCTCGGAGTCATATATCGGTCCCCCACCTGCTCCCCTACACATAAGGAAATGATCATCAAGGCTATCTTAACGACTTCCTCTGCAAATTACGATTCCGTAGTCATTGCCGGCGACTTCAACACCCCGTCCATCCTCTTCGAGACGGAAGGGAGACGCATCAGATCCTTCAATCAGAAGCTGAAGGATGCAATTAAGACTGCTGGCCTCTCAGAGAAAGTGGGTGATGCTACACGCTGGGGACCTAACGGAAACGCATCGCGCCTTGACTACGTTCTGACGAACGATGAACTTCTCATTGAGGATGTTTGCATCCAACCTCCCCTTGGCCTCAGTGACCACGCTGTAATCACCTTCTCCATGATAACTAGGGAGGCTCTGCAACTGGAGACGCCCAACACCTTCCCTTGCTACAGCAAGGCCAACTATGAGACCATGAGGGACTACCTCATGAATGCATCATGGCCAGTGGACTGGACTCATCTCACAATAGATGAACACTGGTTGGAGGTGAAGAAAATAATCACTGGGGCCATCAGTCACAGTGTACCAGAAGTAACACACAGACAATCAATGAGAACCTCATGGTTAAAGCGTGGGACAGAGAGGCTTATCCGGAGCAAGAAGCAGGCTTGGTTCAAGTGGCTTACATCACGCAGGGAGTCTGACTTCTTGAACTATAAAAGGATTCGCAATCTCTGTAACATTAGAGTGCGTAACGACAGATTTTCCTACCAAACAAACTTGGCAGCGAGGTTACAAAGCAACCCCAAAAACCTGTACCGCTTCATGTCAAGAAGAAAGTCGACCAGTAAGGGAGTGAATCTTGTCACAGGCCATGACGGGAGTGTGCTAAGCAGTCTAGAGATTGCCGAGCTTTTGAGCTCACACTTCCAAGCCCAACTCAGCACTGACACAAGATCCACACCGACTCGCCACGACACCGACCAGGTCGCAAATAACGAATACCTCTGTCACGTCTCTATTACAGAGAAAAAGGTGTTCGAGAAGCTATCTAGGCTACGTCCGGGCAAGTCCCCTGGCTGCGATAATCTGAAACCAGTGGTTCTGAAAAACTGCGCCGAGGTGCTTACCAAACCACTTCGCAACCTCTTTGAGCACTCAATAGACTCGTGCAAACTCCCTAAAGAATGGAAGAGTGCCATCTTGTCACCCATCTTCAAGGGAGGAGACAGAAAAAACCCTGGCAGCTACAGGCCGATTGCCCTACTCCCTATTGTGTCGAAAGTGTTGGAAAGCCTGGTAGCTGACACCATCTGGGAATTCCTCAATAGAGAAAACACTGTCCACACTGCTCAGCACGGCTTTCGTAGTGGTCGCTCATGTGCCACCAACTTACTAACTGCCTGGGACGACTGGACACAAAGCTGGGATAATAGAAAACCTGTACATGCTGTATTTCTCGACCTAGCCAAAGCATTTGACAGTGTCCCACCCACAGTACTGCTTCACAAGATCATGTCAGCTGGTATAAGTGGACCCCTACTCTCTTGGTTCAAGGAGTACCTGGAAGGGAGGCAGTTCTGCACTAAAGTGAACAGAATAAGGTCGGAGTGGAGACCGTCGACGTCAGGAGTATCCCAAGGAGCAATCCTAGGACCGCTTCTGTTCCTCCTCTTTGTCAACGATCTGCCAGACAAAATATCCTCACCCATCCTCCTCTTCGCTGACGACATAAAAATTTGGAGGGTGGTAAACGAAGAAGCCGACTGTGCAGCACTACAAAAGGACTTGCAGCAACTCGAGCTCTGGTCGTCGGAAAATGGTCTGAGCTTCAACTGGAAAAGTGCAAAGTAATGCACATCAGTAAAAATGAGGCAAGTACGACCGACTTCCAGTACATGTTGAGCAACCGTGCTATCACCAGAGTGTCCATGGAGAAAGATTTGGGGCTCAACTTCTCCGACACCTTGGACACCAGCTCCAACTACAAAGGTATGACAACCAGAGCGAACGCCATTCTACACTTTCTGCGTAGACAGCTTGGCGCCCTCACTCCCGAACTCTTCCTCACCATTTTCAAATCCTACGTGCGGCCGCACCTAGAGGTCTTCAATACGGTGGCTCCTCCAACACTCAAGAGAGACTCTAATCTCCTTGAAAGAATACAAAGAACTGCAACAAAATCAGTTGTGGGGCTAAGGGGAAAGACGTATCCTGAAAGACTTAAACACCTCAACCTATTTACCTTGGGTTATCGCAGGAAAAGGGGTGACCTCATTATGGCATACAAGATCGCCCATCAGGCAGACCATGCAAACAAATCAATTTTGCCTGCAACTGAACGATCTTCACGAGGAAACCCCTTTAAGATAGCACACCAGAGAGCCAACACCACACTCAGGTCCAAATTTTTCTCCCTGAGAGTATGTGCTTTATGGAATGCCTTACCGCGACACATCGTTATAGCTCCTTCAATCGACTCTTTCAAGAGGCGATTAGACAGTTATGTCACCTCGCATGGACTACCACGGACGTACTCAGGTAGTCACCAACCTCAGTACCCCCAACTCCCTCCTAACTACCACTCACTATCTCTCTCCTTAATACACCCACATTACCTACTAATTCTTCTGTAGGAACCAAACCCACGCGACCATTCGGGCAATTCCCAAATACTTTTCTTTCGTTCTCATTTCTCTCTTCACCCCTTCTTTTATTCTCCTTCCCTTTCCTCTTCCCTACATTATTATTACTATTATTTTTATTTTTATTTATTTATTTATTTTTTTTTTATTTTTTTTTTTTTATTTTATTTATTTATTTTTTTTTTTTTTTTTTACTCTTCCTTACTTCTCTCTTCATTCCTTTACCACTACCTTAATATTCTCTTTCAGGTACCTACACAGACAGGAGTCACGGTTGTTCTCTAAACTTCCCAGCAGCCCGTAGCTCCCTAATCACTCTACAAATTACAACCTACTAACCCACAAAACATCCACCTCACCGAAGCTAAAAGCAAGAAAGCAGAGGGGATTTCCTCGTCCACTGCAGGAGTGAACCGAACAACTGGAACCAAGCCCTAAGAACTAGACGCGAGAGATCAAAAACTACTAGTTTTCTACGCTCGCACTATCAATATTGGATATTGGATATAGACGCGAGAGACCAGCAACTACCGTTTTTATACACTGAAATTGCCAGTGATGAATGTTGGACTTAGAAGCTAGATCTAAAAAACCACAAGTTTCTTATACTTACACTACTAATACTGGGTTGTGGATTATAACAGATATTGGATATTGAGTAAGCGCTGCATTCTTTCTCAGGGTCAGGCCGGGGGAAGCGCCTGCAGACATGTAAGATAATTTCGTTTTGGTTTATGAAGTTTGCGGCTGTCGTACAATCTTTCAGATAGGCGTATCGTTCACTACTCCAATGTTTGCATTAAACCTGTGTGTGATATTAGCCGTTGAGATCAAAGAAGGTATTTGCTAGTCACAAAAGCAACTGGAGTCATGACTGATGATATTATCCCTTAACTAACAAAATGGAGACATAAAGGGGATGAATGGGGTAATTAGTTGTAGTGGATACTTTAGCTAAAATGTTTCAGAAGGCATCAAGTCGGTGTAAAATGCTTTAAATTACTGAAGTTAGTGTGATTATTTTACTCATTTGAAGTGTTTGTAATATGTACTGAAGCCTCCAAAATGTTAAATATATTACACCTGCCTGATGAACTAATGTCTTTTGATGTTTTAGTCGAGGTATCCATTACAATGGACTCCCCCATTATTTCCCCATTCATCACCTTATAACCCATTTCCGTTAGTTTGGGTCTGTACGTATGACTCAATTACTTTTTCAACATATTACAGTAATTTCACTGACTGAAATGCTAGGAAGGATGCTCTGCCACATGTTTGTAAGGCCAGCACAAGCTTAATTCTTCAACTATCTTGAGAACTAATGTTTATAATTGTAAAGTGTTTGTCGATATAACGTAGATATATAATAACAGTTTTAGCTGCTAATAAATAAGTGGTTATTGATATATCCACTGTTCTTGGAGAAGCTGGATGCATTATGCAGAATAACTTAAGTTTTGGTTTTCCAAATGATAGGTCAGATGGTCAATGTTAATCCTTACAATGCTCAGTTCTATGGAAATCCAGTCGTGCTCTATTAGTGTCTATAAAAGATGCAGAAACAACGTGCTCGTTTTATAATTTCACTGGTTGACAATCTGGTGGGAGAGGGATTTCCAGATGTAAACGGTATTACTGAGGTTTGTCAGACTTTACATTCTTATGAGGAGGAATAAACAAGACATAGTAATACTTGAATCAACCCTTAGGGTGCTGTAGGCTAGTGTGAGTTGTCCCCTTAATCGACGGTAGGATAATTCTATGTAGTCCCATAGTTCCATATTAGATCTTTGAATGTGGCGTATAACGATACAGTACTATTATCCTGTAAATAATACTGTATCACATTATGCTATGTAAAGTAAAGCGATCTGATTTAAAATTATATCGTACCACAGTTCTCAATTTTACTCTTACATTGATCGCGGAAATAAGGTTCGTCTATCCAATCGTTCCTCTAAAGAGAGAATATTTTAGTACCTGCTGGTTAGGTTCGTTCTACAAATCCATTTCATATTTAGAACATTGGATCTGTGCTTGGATCCGGTATGCCAAGAAGGTGTAATATATGTTGGACATGATGTCTGAAAAATATCCTCATCGAAGCTTCGAAAGACCTTACGCAAGAGTCACAAGAGCCACAAGCTTTTGCATCAGATTCTGTGTAGTTTGTTTTGGATTCAAAGTCACTGCTAACAATGATTCCTAAATATTGGTTCATCATCATCATCATTATCAACATAGGACCAGGCATTACTGCGTAACGGTCCGAGTTGCCACACCTCATATCAGCACATCAAGTAAAAGGTAGTGAGGTGAAGGATGAAGATAAGTGAATGCAGTCAAAAGAAATATAAAGTATGAGAAGAAAGGAAAGAGGAGTGACAAAATAGTGAGATTCGGTATAGCGTTGTTAAGATGAGGATAATGTGTGTATACATCTGCGCCACTGACTTCGGTTCTGAGCCATATCACCTAGGGTCTCCAACCACTGGTTCCTCTTGTCCCGCGGACCCCAACCACCTAGTCTGCATCGTCCTACATGGCTTAAACCAACAGTCAGAGACTTCATACATTGGTGCCATGTTTTAGTCTGGCCACCTCGGGCCTTTTTCCAGCCTGAACCCACTTCAGCCAACATTGTGTGACGAGGCAATCGGTGACTAGGCATACGTAGTACGTGTCCCAACCATCTCAGTCGGTGAAGGTTCACAACCTCGTCGACTGACTTACCTCTTCTCCCTAAAACTCTACACCTAACTTCTGCACTACTCATGTGGTGACACCACGGAATACGTCCTATACTACGAAGGCAACGGTGGTCAAATACCTGTAACCTTCTCATGTCTTCCACTTTCAATGGCCATGTTTCACAGCCATACAGTAGAACAGACCGGACTGCTGTGCAGTACACGCGACCCTTAATAGACAAACGAATATCACGGCGACGCCATAGGTGGCGCAAATTGGCAAAAGCCAATCGAGCCTTTTGTATCCGTGCCGAAATCTCACCGGCAACTAACCCACCGGGGTTGATCCTACTAAATATTGGTTGATTACGTATCAATGTTCATGTAGATTTCCATGACCGATACGTTTGACATTACTCTTATTATTGATTACTCTCAGCGACCACTCACTGCACCATTCATGTATTGCATTCGAATTTTCTAGTATGAATGGTATTTTTCGTCGCTATGTGTACCTAAGTTGTAACATCTGCAGTTCCTTGACATAGAGTAGAAAGAGAGGGGCTGAAATTTTACTTTGTGAAGTAAATTCACTTGAATTTATGCAATTTTCTGCAACTTCAAACAAACGCCAATGAAAATTGTAGACTGATGTACTACCGTTTATTGTGGTAGCCTAGTGTTAATGTGTGTTATGTCGGTGTATAGTAAACACCATGAGAGATATAATCATTGGGTGACTGTCTACATTCATGTATGATTATACGCCCATCAAATGTATGTATGCATAGTGACTTGTAATAATGGTTTAAACTGCTCTCAGGATTTGAATCGTGGCGTTACGCGGGTTTTATTTAAAATCCAATGACAAATTCATGACTTGTAGAAATTTATGTCTATAAACACAATCTTAACACAATATTCATGGATATATTAGTATCCACATATCACTACTAATTTAAGTGAATCATATGTGTCATTTACATACGTGAAGATTTACAAAACACAGCTTACTTTTTTTCAAGGTAGCTGAATAGCTACTGAGATTTATAATCCATTTGCAGACTTATTGCCTTGGAAATTAGACAATAAATTGGCTCCATACTCCACCTTCTGGTTCCATCTCCAACTAATATCATGTGTGAATGGTTGTTATCATCATCAATATCAACATAGGGTCAGGCATTACTGCGTAACGGTCCTAGTTGCCATAGCTCATATCAGTACATCAAATAGAAAGGTAGTGAGGTGAAAGATGAAGATAAAATTCAGTCAAAAGAAATACAAAGTACTCAAAAAAAGAAAGAAAGGATGACAAAATGGTGAGATTCAGTATAGCGTCGTTAAGATGAGGATAATGTGTGTATACATCTGCGACACTGACATCGGTTATGAGCCATGTGATCACCTAGAGTAAGTCTCCGACCACTGGTTCCTGTTGTCCCACGGACCCCAACTACCCAGTCTGCATCGTCCCACATGGCTGAAACCAACAATCAGAGACTTCATACATTGGTGTCCTCGGTCCTTTTTCCAACCTGGATATACTTCGGCCAACATTGTGTGATGAGGCAATCGGTGACTGGGCATACGTAATACGTGTCGCAAGGTCGAGAAATACAGCTATTGTTGGGCGTCGGTAAGCGTGCGTATGTTCCAGAACCTGGCGCAGTGTAGATGTTTGGTCGATACACCCACCGCCGGGTCTAAAGCCTGCCTAGTTTTCTCGGATTTGTTGTTCCCGAGCTCCAATCAGGCGTCGAAGAATTACAGAACCTAGGATTTCCGACACTGTTCGTCAGGCTGATTCCTCTGTGGTTATCACAAGAGAACTTCTTGCCTTTCTTGAAGACTGGGATGATAAGTGATTCAGACCAGTCAGAGGGATGGTATTTGATTCTGGTTAACACTTCTGTTAACCTGACTAAGACCACCTTACCACTATTCTTGTATATCTCAGCAGGTAGTCCGTCTGGTCCTGCCGCCCTTCTGCGTTTCAAGTTACCTATTGCTTTTTCGACTTCTGCTAGTGTTTGGGGGTCTATCTCAATATTCTATTAAGGATCGGACTGGATAGCGGGTAACGCAATGGTGGATGGATGCCAGTTAGACTGCTGCTTGAAGTGTTTTTCCCATCGTTCCAGTCGTCTCCCCTACGAGTGAATCGTAGATCCGTACTTGTTATACTCATAGATGTACATTTATATACCTGCTTTCATGCATCAGATATATTTACAAGTTTATGCATACTTTTGACCCATGTTAGCAAGAAGTTTAAAATCTACAGACATAGGTAAATGCCATTCCCTTGTATCTATGTGTGTGTAGGTGTATATGTGTCGCATAACATTACATCATGCAGAACATCACAATCATTAAGAACAATATAGGACCAGGCATTACAGGGTAACGGTCTAAGTTGCCACACATCAGCACATCAAGAAACAAGACAATAAAAGGGAAGATGAAGAAGAAAAGTCGGTCAGAGGAAGTAGAAGTAGACGCTAGTAAAAATGAGGAAGGAAGAGGGAGATGATGAGGTTACGTATAGCGATTAATACGAGGATAATGTGTGTGTGTGTGTGTGTGTGTGTGTGTGTGTGTGTGTGTGTGTGTGTGTGTGTGTGTGTGTGTGTGTGGATCTGCCCCACTGACATCGGTTCTGAACCATATCACCTACAGTCTCTAACCATAGTTTCCCTTGTCCAATGGACCTCAACTTGCTAGTCTGCATTGCCCTACATGGCTCAAACGAAAAGTCAGTGACTTAATGGCTGATGTCACGTTTTAGCCTGGCCTCCCTGAGCCTTTTGCCCGCCTGAACCTACTTCAGCCAACATTGTATTTTTTAATTTAGGGTGTGGTTTAAAGAGACCAATGATGCTGTCCTGTGGACTCAGATCGTTTTCAAAAGCTACAGAGCTAGAAAAAATTAGAGATGATGTAGGATTGCTAATTGAGAGATGTGAAGGAATATTAGAAGGTAAGGATGAGGGAGGTGCATACTGGTCTGAGGGAGCTTGAGCGTTGACAGAGTTGTGCGGGCGGTTGACACTTCGCGGCTGCTTACATCCTGGAAGGCTAGGTCTGTTTGAGGTGCCTGAAAAAGAAGGGTTAGTGCTTGATCGCAGAGCCCAGGGGACATCTGCTAGAGAGCGGTCACGTACGGCCTTTTTGATGCTACGGTAACTGGCTTATAGTATAGGATATGTAGCTGAACATAGGTCCTGTGGTTTTGGACTACCACTAACCACTGATGACTGATCTGAGCCATCATAATGCATTATTTCATTGTTCAAGAACATGTTAAGGGTAAGGGTAATTGCTTTTTGTCTAATCAATATCCAGCAGAGCTTTCTGGTATGGCATGACCTCGAAGGAACAAGCACAGCTCTTTGGGTCGTCGTGACCACCCGTCCACCACGTCAAAGTAGTAGCTTTCGGTCTAGCTGATGACTAATTATTTCTGCTGACGATGACAAGCAGACAACCGTCTCATTAAGTTCAGATGACAGTATTCAGCGATATCCTTAAACTATTTGTAATTCCAAGCAGTTTGCAAACCTGAATAAATTACTGATATTTTAATCACCTTTATTCCCCTGTACTGATCTCATCTTTAAAATGGTTCCTGTTCTAGTCTCAGAAAGATACTCCTTGCTAAGAGCTTTCAGACCCTATATAAACCTTCCTACACATTGTCTTATCGTTTAATATGAAGCATCAATTTTACCTATTTTTGAAGGAGTCATTTAGAATGCAAGTATCATCCGTATGCAGTTCTTATTGAAGATTCTCATGCAGGTGACATGGTGTGCTCAATGTGTGGGCTAGTTGTTGCTGATAGGTATGTTGTTTACCAAGGTAGCAAATTTCGACCCTATTTTCTACAGGGTGATTGATGTGGGATCAGAGTGGCGTACATTTTCAAATGATGCCAACGCAAAAGATATGTGCCGAGTAGGAGCCAGTGAGAACCCTTTATTGGATGGTGGTGACCTTTCAACTATGATCAGTGGACCATCACCATCCGACCCACGACAGCTTGACGAGAACGGAAAACCTCTGTACAGAAATCGCCGTAATATATCTGCTCCTGACAGAGTTCTTTTGGGGGCATTCAGAGAAATCAGTCAGATGGGTGAGCATTTAAACCTCCCTAAGAGTATATCCGTAAGTCCCAAACTATTTAGAGTAAAATTGTTGCTAACAAGTTGAAATATAAAAAATTTAATATCAAGTGTTTTAAACTTTTGCGTGATGTCTGATGGTGGTTTCTACTAGTTTCACTTGAGCCATCACCTTGTCATTCAAAAAGCAATTAGTCCGAAATTCCAGGTTCTATAGTTATCCAAGGCCTAATTGGAATTCAAAGAAACCAAACAGCTTTCAGAATTGAACAGGAATATGTCGATCAAATCTTCACCCATCGCCTTTTTTTAAAACTTAGATATACATACCGATGCCCCACACTTACATCATTTCTTAACCTGAAAATGACACTGGACTCTGTCAACCGTTAGGTTCTGTGGCAGTGTCTGACTGTGAGCCCACTAGCACGCACTTGTGTATGTCTCAGCCTTATTGGTCGCGGAAAACAGTCGGCAGTAAAGCCTGCGAATGCTCGACCGGAAGGGAGAATATAGTCAAACATTTATCTGGATCTGACACCAATTGTCGTCCTGAAGAAACCTGACGTGGTATTAAGTCTGCTGTAAAAACAGCTATAAAGACGCTTAGTTACCTACATCCAGAGGTGAGCAAACGTCAAGAGATCCTCGCAACGTCATCCGAGATGACTGGTGCAAGAAGACTCACTCTAGCAGGCTCTGATCACAATGCAGAGCGAAAGCGACTCAAGCGTAAATTGACTAGGAGTCTTTGCAACGATCGCGAGGATTGGGGGGTGACGAAGGTGAGAGGGATGGATAAGGCATCAGCGTTGGGTAACACCCGGAAACTATTTAGGCTGGTTAAGGAAACCAACAAGAAGATGATGGTGAGTGATACCATCACCAATGTTAATAACCTCTCAGGACAGAGACCTAGGACTTTGGGCGGATTACTGAGGTACAGTTGAACTGGCCCAAAACCACGCTTCGGTTGCTTTGCATCCAGTCCGAAACTGAATACGGCGTAACTCTTCTTGGAGTTGAGGCTGTGTTGAAACTGAGACGAAGCAAAGCAGCAGGACCTGACAGTTTGCCACTCAAAGTTTTCAAGGATACAGGTAAGAAATCGCCAGTTAAAGTGACGGTGGTACTACGTAGTGCATAGAAATCAGAAGTTGTGCCATCAGGTTGGTCTATTTTCCTGGTCATCCCAATCTATAAGAGAGGAGAGAAGTCTTCCTGTGACAACCATGGGGGAATCTTTTTAACTAATAGTGTCCACGATTCTATAGTCTATAGTCATCCGAAGCCTAACTGGAGCTCGAGAACAAAATACAAGGGTCTTCTGGATGTGTTGAGTGGAAGTCTGATTATGTTTGCCATGTGTTTCACACCTGTCAAATGTAAGATGGTGCTCCAGGACTGTTCTACAACGACTCCCAGTTTGATCATAGGGAGTTAAGTTGTGGAATGTGTCAATACAGAAGGCCCGTTTGGCACTGGCTAGCTGGCGTCATCTCTGGCGGTGGCGAGATATCCCGGTATCTATCAAAGGACAAGTATACTGCTCTGCAGTTCCTTCTGTCCTGTTATACGGGTGTGAGACATGGCCTTTAAAAATAGAAGATATGAAGTGGTTACGGGTTTTGCTCATAGGCATCTTCGTGGCATTGCCCATGTGTGGTGAAATCACCGTGTGAAGGGGACTATGCAAGAGGCGCAAGTCGATTGATGAGGTTGTGAACCTTCATCGGCTGAAATGGTTTTGACCTGTGTTGCGTATACCGAACCATTGTCTACCTCGGCTTTTCACGGTTACGGAATCTGGATTATTTTGGAAGGGGGTTCAGGGTGGTCAGACCAAGACGTGGCACCAATGGATGGAGTCTCTAACTGCTGGTGTGAACCGTGTTGGGAGATGTAAACTGTCTGTTTGGGAGTCCTTAAGACGATAGAAATCAGTCGTTGAGAACTCTTATTGACATGGTTGAAACTCGGTTGCAGTGGCGTAGATATATTCACTCTTTGATATTTTCTATAGCTTGAATATTTGCGCTAATAATTCTTTATCCCCTCACACAACTTTGTCTGCTTTGGTACCACTCTTTTTCTACCCACCTTTTGTTTGTGTGCTGCTGTGAAGTGCGGCAGCTTAAGCCGATGCAGTTATGCGCAAGATTTTACGTTGATTCCGTCTGTGTATCTGAGTGTGAAGGGAGTACCGGGAAGTATGTAACGCTGATCAAATCTCTCTACTCAAACCTACAGCCGCGTAATGGTTTGTAGAAAGTTGTCTAAATTGATGACAAGTAGTGGTATTCAGCAGAAATTCCCACTGTCACTGTTCAAGTTCAGTTTTGTATTAGTATTCCTTAGGGACATAACCCAGGGTACTTCCAACCTCACAGGGATTAAATTACTGCGTGGGGGGTACCTAGCTGACTTGGCGTGCGCAGACGACATTGTCCTGTTAGGCGAAGACGCAAACAAAACTCGGAGTTTTCTGAGCGCCTAGAGCAAAAATCTAAATACATTTAGCATGCGTTTTTCACCTATCACAATACAATGATACTTCAAAGCTAGTCAGAACTGACTCCCAGCTTAGTAATAATGAAGTACTGACACGTACTGACCACTTCACTTACTTGGGAAATCAGCTCGCATGAGTTCGTTATTTGTTCGTCATTTTTGAACTTATTTCACCTCTGGCACTGGTGAGGTATACAACTACCTATTAAAGGAAGCAAATACTGTTCTACAGTCCAATCTGTCCTATAATGTGATTATGAAACGTGACCGTTAAAGGTAAAAAGATGTCAACCGACTACAGATTTTGACCACAGGTATCTTCGCAGCACTGTTCACGCATGGTGGGGTCTCAGTCTGAGGAATGTCCGTATTAGGCTGAGGTTACTCAGCAAAGAAGTTAGGTTAGTCAATGAGATTGTGGACCTTCACCAACTAAGATGGCTTAGATGTGTATTACACATGCTGAATCACCGCCTACCTCAACTTCTGGTGTTACCTGAAGTAAGTTTGAGTTACAAGAAGGCTCAGGGTGTTCAGTGTAAGACGTGGCAGCAGTCCAACTGTCGCTTTGAGCTTTGTAGGGAGGTGTAGATTGCCTGACTGTAGTCTTCCAGAAGACAGGGATCAGTAATTGGAGACTTTTAGTGATATGACCGGGAATCAGTCAAAATGTATTCACTTTTTGTCATCTCTGAAGTTTTGATAATCTTATCGACTTTCATCTATCCATCTTTCATACACGTTCTTTTGCTTTAATTTTACTTTCCCCCATCCACCTATTCTTTGCATGTTGCTGTGAGGTGCAGTAAATTGGATCGGCGCACTTGTCTACCAGTTTCTACATAGATCTTTTTTTCTGTTTATGTTGTTACGAGGGTACGCTAAATTGTGTCGGTCATTGCTTTTTAATGCATGAGTTGAACCATTTTATGAAACTCCTAAATATTATTCAATCTGTAAGGACGGAACATGTAATAACTGAAATTTTCAACACTAGATCTGCACACTAGTATCTTCAGAAGCTAAATAGGAATGTTTTAAAATACTAGATTTAATAACATCATATTGTAAATAGGTTTCAAGTAAAAGCCTTAACTTTCAATATTATCCTTTAGTCACTTTATCACTTTATGGATGTTATCTTCAGTGTGTGAAGATACCGAGTTTCTTATCTTATCAATACAACATGAAGTATTCTTAAAAGAAGTAAATCTTTGTTCTAATATCTTTCTGTTGGTAGTGCCATTGACTAAGTACATGAAAAAGTCTGGGTGTTGTCTTACACTGAAGCGCTGTGATTCAAGTCTGCTAACTGCTTGATAATTCAGGATATAGGCGTTAAAATGAACAAGCATGTTGGTAAAGAGGTGGGAAACTAATGAAAAGTAATAAGAATTGAACGAATGGATAATAGTAGTAGCAGTGTCTTCACAATAATCGGGAGCAGTGATCGGTTGTTAAAGTGAGAGAGACAGAGAAAGCATCAGCGTTAAGTAATACCCGACAACTATTTAGGCTTATTAGAGATATCAGCAAGAACAAGACGATAGTGAGTGAGACCATCCCGGAAAAGGATCGTGCTTTGATAACTCTCCAGGAAAAACGGCTGGAACGTTGGGCAGAACAATTTGAAGCACAGTTCAAGTGGCTCACAGTCACGCTTCAATTGTCCCAACATCCAACTCGAACCTGAATGGGACTTGGATGTGGTCCTCTAACTCTCCTCAAAGTTGAGAAACCTGTTTCAAACCTGAAATGATGCAAATCAGCAAGGTCTAACGGTTTGTCACCGAAGACTTTAAGGATGAAAGTAGAAAATTACTACTTAGAGTAACGGAGGTACTAGGTAGTGTATAGAAATCAGAGCCTACTTCACTGATCATTCCAACCTATAAGAAGCGAGGGAAGTCTTCTTGTGATAACCATAGGGGAATCAGCTTAACTAATTATGGTGTTCAAAATCCTATGGTCCATAGGGATCCAACAGCATAACTGGAGCTCGGGAACAAGAAACTGGAGAAAGACAGGCAAGTTTCAGACCTGGGCCAGGATTCAGCTATAAAATCTTCACACTTTGTCAGGTTCTGAAACACTTACTAAGGTACCAGTATACAACACTTATGTCACTTCCTAACCTGCAGGCGGCATTGAACTCTGTCAACCATGAGGTATTGTGGCAGTGTCTGACTATGAAAGGAGTATCGGGAAGTATGTAACACTGATCCAAAGGTCTCTATTCAAACTCACAGCCGCGTAAGGGCTTTAAATCAATTGCAGTGAAACAAAGTTATTCATTCCATCTTCAAAATTCTGAATATCTTACACTATTAAAAACATTTTCTTTCCCTTCAATCTTTTTTGTTTATTTTTATTATCTTTCTATTTATTTGTTTTCGTAAAGTATATGTATATATATATAATAATTGTTATTATTATTAGTCCCTTGGGTTCCTAATGGAACATAGGGCTTCAGTAGCGCGTCTCCAGTGACCTCTGTTCTCTGCGATCTTTTGAACCTGGTTCCACGACAGTCCAGAAGCTCTCATTTCCTCCTCGCACGATCTCCTCCATGTCACCCTCGGCATCGACGCCCAACTCGTCGCTTCCCATCGGGGTTCTACTCGAGTGACTGGCCTGACGCGTGATGTCCCCAGTCGGCCTTCTCAGTGTATGCCCAATCCATCTCCACTTTCCTCTTCTGCATATTTGTTGCGTGATAGGTTCCTGGTTGGTTCGTTCCCGGAGCTCCTTGTTGCTTATTCTTTCTGGCCATCTGATCTTCCGTGGCGAGCGTAAGCAGTTGTTGATGAATGTCTGTAGTTTATTGGAAATCCCTTTCGTGACGCGCCAAGTCTCTCAACCATACAGTAGCACTGACGTGACTGAGGTTGGTGTTGAAAATCCAGATTTTGTTCCACATGCTGAGTAAAGTGCAGAAGATCTCCACACTGGCTTCAGGCTAATGAACGCCTGTCTTGCTTTTCCGATTCTGACTTTGACATCGTCGTCAGTGCCGCCTGTAGTTGAAACAGTGCTTCCCAGATAGGTGAAGGAGGTTACTTCCTTTAAGTTTCTCCCTTTGATGGTGATTGGAGTTTGTTGTTGTTGGTGGGGTTGTTGGTTGGTTGGGTATTTTCATCACCCGTCTTCTCCATATTCACTTGAAGTCCCGTCTTCGCTACCCTACCTCTTCTGTCAACTTGTCAGTTTTCGCCTGTAGATCTTCAAGTTTGTGTGACATTAGACACAAGTCATCGGCGAAATCCAAGTCTTCTAGGTTCTTTTCTACAGTCCAGCGTATCCCCCTCTTTTCGCTCCCCACTGTTTGCTGCATGATATATATATATATATATATATATATATATATATATATATATATATATATATATATAATAATAATAATCCATTTCACATAGTCACTCGTATAATTGAAGATTGAAAGAATTTAAAACCGTTTCAACGCATAATTTTCGACAATAGAAGTACGAATTTTGCAAAAATTTGATGAAATGTAACCTTTAATGAATTTCTTAAAAAAGCATTGAATTTTTCACTATATTTTATATGCTTTATTTTCCTCTTTAACACTCTAAAGGATCATGCTAACCTATTGTTCAAACAAGTTCATGAAACTAAAAACCTTCGGGGTCGTAGTAATGATGCTGTTTCAACTGCTTGTCTTTACATGGCTTGTCGTCAAGAAGGTGTTCCTCGAACTTTTAAAGGTATTACTATATTAATTTTATTTTCTGGAATAAAACTTAACCTCTTAAAATGTCTGACACAAAAAGCGTAAAAGTAAAATCAGCGAACGTTATACACTACTCTTGTATTGTTTGTATGTGCCAAATGTGATTGTATCATAAAGCAGGATTGTTTAGTTAATATTCAGTTTCATGTAGAGTTAACGGAATCAAATTTCTGAAATTAAATTGAGTTGACGTAACTGCATAGATGACTAGATTACTGTAATCAATGACAAGACAACTATAGAGCTATACTGTGTAATGATTGATGGTGAAATGAAAATTTGAACTGTGATGAATTCTTACCAGTGACCATCGGGTTACCGGTTTGATGCTCGACCAACTGACAGTTTGATCAACAACGTTTTCAATGACAGTAAATTCACAATAAAGAAGGAGTCAAATAACCAACTACTGTTCCTGGATGTTTTAGTCAGTAGGACAAATGCCGGAAAGCTGGAAATCCAAGTGTACAGGAAGTCAACACACAATGATCAAATCCTCAACTACAGTAGCAACAACACAACAACCCACAAGATCGGTTGCCTGCAGACTCTATTCAAAAGAACAAGAACATACTGCAGTTCAACAACTTCACGGAGAAACGAAGAAAATTACTTGATGTCCATCCTAAAGAAGAACGGCTACCCATGAAACTTTATCAGAAGATGCCTATCCCGTACACCACCAACTACAAAGTCATCGACAGAAATCAACAAACCCATCATCTTACGACACATAAAGAATATACCAGAAATCACGACAAGATTACTGAGACCACTTAGAATTGGTATGGCTCATAAAATAAAAAATTCCCTCCAAACACTATTATACAGGCCAAAGGATGCAACAAGCAAAGAAAACAAATCGAATATTATCTATAAAATCAACTGCAATGACTGTAGTCAACACTACATTGGACAAAGTGGCCGCCCTATTCGCCTTCGTCTACATGAGCACCAATTGGCTATTAAACGCCACGACATTTCATCACTCATTTCAATGCACGTGGATCACAGCTATGGACATGAATTCAATTTTGACAATGTAAAAATCTTAAACAGAGGAAACACAAAGAATATCGAAGAATTCCTAGAACCTTGGAATTCAGGTCAGTCAGCAATCAACAGATGTATAGACATAGGCCCAATCTATCAACTAATGAGAAAAATGATAAACGACAGAAAGGTGAGAGGTGAAGCAGAGGAACTGCCAGCAGGAAAATCTCTGCAGTCAATGCCACAACAACCAAAGAAAACAACCAATCACAAACTAGTTCTTCAGGGCAAGCTACTGGATCATTCAGTGAGAGATATTGACAGCTCACTTCATACTGAAGTTATTGCTGATGATATCTTCTAGAAAGATGATGAAAGCTTCATGATTAAACAACCCAGTTCAGAGAACACAATACAACTAAGACCACCCACCTAAGCTACAAATATTCTCCAGTATTTCATAAATAGTAAGTAGTCTGCCAAACTACGGCTATCTCAGGTAGGAAAATAATAACTATAGAGCTCTCAATAATGTGATATATCTGTCAGGTATTCCTTTCACTGTGTGATATTGTTTCAAGAACTTTCAGTCGACAAGTGCAAATGCTTGCTTCTTGTCTTTATTATCAGTCGCTCTTAGGGTCTTACATACACCGACCGGTGGTTTTAAAATCTTCTTAATTATTTCGGATTACCTGTCCGAAAATTTCGGTAATGCTATGAATAATTATGAAAAGTAATATGTTAGGAATTCTGTTAGCTAATCCAGTTGTTCTATCAATCTATTCCTATCCTTATGGACTCAAACAATAAAAAACCAGTGAAAGATAATCATGTCTGAGTCCTGTGACCCAACAAATATCCTGGTCAGTCTAACCAATAACTCTTGACCACTATGTTTAAGTACTTCTGGTAGTAGAACGTCAGAACCTAGTGTCCTTACTCGTTTCATATTGCTCGATCTTCTTGGATTTGGTTAGATTTAAACGTCTAGTTTAACTTCTGTAAATGGACAGCAGGTAATTGAATAGTAACTGGAGGCTGATTGAAGTATTCTTCAAAAGTTTTTGTCCATTTTTCTGCTGTGAGTGTATCACTAACTTGCTCTCGTCACCGTTGTTTTCCGAAAATCGGCCGTTTAACGTCAGCTTCTTCGAGGAGTCCAAACAACTGGCTTGTTTTTACACAGCTGTCATCTGTAATCCTTAAGTTTAGAAGCTCAGTTTTACTCAAGTACTTTTCACAGAGTCAATATCAGTCTGTACTTAAACTCTTTCCTGTATACCAATGTGAAATTACAAGTATCACAACAATTACTGATATCCATTGCACAAGAGATGGCTATCATGCCCCAGTGGCTTAGTGAATAACGCTTCGGTGTTTAAAACGATAGGTTCTGGGTTCGAGTCTTGGTGAGTTGAAGAAGTAAGTGGAGTTTAAGGACAGAAATTATGTATCTTTTACCAGGGTACATTCTAACTGAACTTCTTCTTACCACTTATGGTGAATTTCTGTACTGGTAGATATGATTATACTAATTAGTAATGCATAACAGAGATTATACTTTTTAAGCAGCCTGAATTAAACTTTTGCAAATAGCCCTTAGTATAACATTAGAAATGGCGTCTTTCAAACTGATGAAACAACTAGGATTTATTCTCACTGGCTCAATGAACAATGAAGAGTGGAAGGATATTATATTGATATTGGTGACTAGCAGAAGAATCCAAGAGGCGCGTTTCGTCCTTTTTCCGACCGATAGCTGCTACCTTGACGTGGTGGTCGGGCTTGCATATCACAATGACCCAACGAGCTATGCTGGTGGAACGCTTGTTCCCTCGAGGTCCTACCATACCAGAAAGGTCTGTTGGGTAGTGGTTAGACGAAAAGCAGTTACCGTTATAGTGTAAATTGCTACACTATGATGGGGGTCTGAGGGCGAAGTCGTACTGCTGCTAGCTGGATGGGGTGTGACAGCAGTAAGGTGTTTCCCTTGGATGACCAGCAGTGCCAAGCTGATGCTGCCTTCTCAGTGGAAGGGGGGGTTAGAAAAGGTCGGCCCCAAAAATAACACACTCCACCACACCCCACGGTCTGCCGGGCCGGCGGTGTTGGTTCACTTGTCGTTTCCTTTCGACCATCCGGCCCCAAAAATACAAAAATTCAAAATAATCATACTCAAAAGGCTGGGTGTGACAGGCCTCAAGCAGATGTCCGATGGGCTCTGCGGTCACACAAATCTCTTTCAGGTACCTTAAGAAGAAATAGCCTTCCACGGTGTGGGCAGCCGGGAAGTGTCAACCGCCCTCACAACTCTGTCAGCACCCAAGTTTCTTCTGACTGCTATCCTCCTCCTCCATCATTACCTTCTAATCTTCCTTCACGTCTCTTAATTAATGATGCTGCATCATCTTCAATTTCTCCTACCTCTGCAGCCTTCGACAACGATCTGAGTCCACAGAACAGTGTCCCTGGTCTCCTTAAACCACGCTCCAAATTACATATTGGAGCCTTCAATGTCCGCACCCTCCGTCAAATTGGCCAACAGGCTTCGTTGGCAAAGACTCTAGCAACTCGGGCATGGATGTGTGCTGTGTTTGTGAGACACGCATACAGGACCCAAGTGTGGTTATTCACCTGACCTCTCCTGACCAATCTGGTGAATCTGCAAAATTCACCCTTCGAGTTTCTGGAGATTCGATAGCTAGCTCTCGTGGTCTTGCAGGTGTAGGTATAGCATTAAGCACCAGGGCAGAAAACTCACTACTAGACTGGATCCCAGTTGATAGTCGCCTCTGCGCTATGAGGCTGAACGGCACAGTGAGAACTAAAAGGAATAGTGAGACTCGCCGTTGTCTCTTTGTAATCTCTGCTTACGCACCCACTGACTGTAGTTCGGATGAAGTGAAGGACGAGTTCTACCATAAACTGTCTAACCTCCTCTCGAAAGCCAAACGTTCGGACGTAGTGGTTGTTGCAGGTGACCTCAACGCACAGGTGGGTAGACTGAGTGAGGCAGAAAGGCACTTAGGTGGCACTTTCGGAATCCCAGCTGAACGTACAGATAACGGTGATCGCCTATTACAACTATGCTCAGATAACCGCCTATTTTTAGCCAGCACAAATTTCAGACATAAAGAAAGGCACTGTCTGACCTGGCGTCCACCGAGCTCGACTCAGCGATGGACACAGATAGACCACATTGCTATTAGTCATCGCTGGAGAGGATCGGTGGAAGACTGCCGCTCCTTCTGGAGTACGTGTTTGGACAGCGATCATGCGTTGGTCCGAGCACGTATATGCCTGCGTCTCAATGGACGTAGAAAAAATTTGGCAACAAAACCACTACGAGTTCTGCTGGACAACGAAAACACCAAAGCCGTGTTCAGTGAGAAGTTGGCTAGGCAGTTATCGGAACAAAAGACTGTCACTCATCCAGAAGAAGCTTGGTGCCATCTTCAGTCTACTGTAAAAGCAGCACTGGAGACTGTAGCCGACTCCAAGATAATGGCTAAAAAGAGCCAGTGGATATCAGCAGCTTCTTCCAAACTAATGGATGCACGTGAATGCATCCCTGCAGGCTCTGAGTACAATGAAGAGCGAGCGCAACTTAAAAATAACTGACGAAAAGTCTGCGCAACGATCGTGAACAGTGGTGGGCAGCAAAGGCTAAAGAGATGGAAAAGGCAGCGGCGATCGGTAACAGTAGACAGTTATTTAGACTTATTAAGGAGACTGGGGAAATGGTCAACAACAGTTAGTGAGGTTATAGCGGAGAAGGACGGATCTGCGATTCACTCGCAGGGAAGGCGACTGGGACGATGGGCAGAACACTTTGAGGAACAGTTTAACTGGCCTCCAGCCACCATTGCGCTGCCCGCTATCCAGTCGGACCCTGAATGGGACATAGAGACAGGTCCCCCAACACTAGAAGAAGTTGAGAAAGCGGTAGGTAGCCTGAAACGGGAAGGGCAGCAGGACCAGACGGACTACCTGCTGAGGTATACAAGAATGGTGGTAGAGTTCTCTTAGTCAGGCTAACGGAAGTGTTAGCCAGTATATGGGAATCAAATACGATCCCCTCCGACTGGTCTAAGTCACTGATCATCCCAGTCTTCAAGAAAGGCGAGAAGTCCTCTTGTGATAACCACAGAGGAATCAGCCTGACAAACATAGTGTCTAAGATCCTAAGTTCTATAATTCTCCGACGCCTGAGTGGAGCTCGGGAACAGCAAGCCCGAGAAAACCAGGCAGGCTTTAGACCTGGCCGTGGATGTATCGACCAAATATTCACACTGCGCCAGGTCCTGGAACATAGGCATGCTTACAGACGCCCGACAATAGCTGTATTTCTCGACCTGAAGGCGGCATTTGACTCCGTTGATCGAGAAGTCTTATGGCAGTGTCTGTCACTGAAAGGCGTGCCTAGTAAGTACATCACCTTATTGAAAGCTCTCTACTCGAACACTTGTGGGCATGTTAGAGCCTATGGTGAGTTGTCCAGGGAGCTATACTCATCAAGTGGTGTCCGTCAAGGATGCCCACTATCCCCATTCTTATTTAATTTTATCATAGATATTCTTATGGAGGTTTCCCTCTCGTCACCTAATTACACAGACGTTGACCCAATCACAGGTGAATTTTCCTTAGATCTAGAATATGCAGATGACATAGTCCTGTTAAGTCAAGATGCAGAGTCTTCTGAACACTTTGAGTGGGAATTTGAGAATGTTTGGGATGCGATTTTCACCACCCAAATGCAAATTTTTGCTCCAGGACTGGTCTTCAGCGGTACCGCGGTTAACAATAGAGAGTGAAGTGGTTGAGTGTGTTGACCACTTCACTTACCTGGGAAGTAGGATCAACCCGGTGGGTTAGTTGCCGATGAGATTTCGGCACGGATACAAAAGGCTCGATTGGCTTTTGCCAATTTGCGCCACCTATGGTGCCGCCGTGATATCCGTTTTTCTATTAAGGGTAGCGTATACTGCACAGCAGTCCTCTCTGTATGGCTGTGAAACATGGCCATTGAAAGTGGAAGATATAAAAAGGCTTCAAGTGTTCGACCTCCGTTGCCTTCGTAGTATAGGCCGTATTCCGCGATGTCACCACACCACATGAGTAATGCAGAAGTCAGGTGGAGAGTTTTAGGTAGTAGAGGTAAATCAGTAGACGAGGTTATGAACTTTCATCAAGTGAGATGGTCGGGACACGTATTAAGTATGCCCAGTCACCGATTGCCTCATCACACAATGTTGGCCGAAGTATATCCAGGTTGGAAAAAGGACCGAGGTGGCCAAACTAAAACATGACACCAATGTATGAAGTCTCTGATTGTTGGTTTCAGCCATATGGGACGATGCAGACTGGGTAGTTGGGGTCCGTGGGACAACAGGAACCAGTGGTCGGAGACTTACTCTAGGTGATCACATGGCTCATAACCGATGTCAGTGTCGCAGATGTATACATACATTATCCTCATCTTAACGACGCTATACCGAATCTCACCATTTTGTCACTCCTCTTTCCTTTCTTCTCGTTCTTTATATTTCTTTTGACTGCATTCACTTGTCTTTATCCTTCACCTCACTTCCTTTCTACTTGATGAACTGGCGTGAGTGTGGCAACTCAGACCGTTCGGCAGTAATGTCTGGTCCTATGTTGATAATGATTGATTGATCAACTATTGCAACTGTCCATGACGAAAAGGTGCTAATTGAAACTATTTTATCTGCGTGTCTTAATGAATGGAGATTCTAATTTAGAGGTAGTATTCATCACGGATTGACATCAGTTGGGGAATCATTAAGAAACCTGGGAGTATGGGACAACTGTTTAGGACTCCAGCAGTACGCACCGACGATCCGGCTGGGGATCGAACTCAGGTCCTTCAGGTTTCATGGCGAACACGTTAACCGTTCATCCACTGGGTCGATTTTAAGTGGTCTATAGTTTTTTGACTTCTATGATTTCACGATATAACACAACTATCACCCAAGGTCTTCAGTTGGCATCCGCTCTCTTTCCGATTGGTTGACCCCACAGGTTATAGCTTCTTATTACAACGTCGCGCTATCCATCTAGAGTCACATCACTGATTAGTACTATACAGTAATGTATTTTTGTGATGAATGGGGAATTTTAAGTTAGGGGTAGTATTCATCATGGACTGACATCGGTTGGGGAACTGTTGAAAATCTGGGAGCACTGGACATCTCTTACGTTCTAGTATGGGTCTCCTCAGCAGTACATAACATCATCATCAATATCAACATATGACCAGACATTACTGCCGAACGGTCTGAGTTGTCACACCTCGTATCTGTACATCAAATAGAAAGATAGTGAGGTGAAGGATGAAGATAAGAAAATTCAGTCAAAAGAAATATAAAGTATGAAAAGAGAGAAACGAAGAAAGAGATACTGGTGAGATTCGGTATAGCGTCGTTAAGATGAGGATAATGTGTGTATACATCTGCGACACTGACATCGGTTATGAGCCATGTGATCACCTAGAGTAAGTCTCCGACCACTGGTTCCTGTTGTCCCACGGACCCCAACTACCCAGTCTGCATCGTCCCATATGGCTGAAACCAACAATCAGAGACTTCATACATTGGTGTCATGTTTTAGTTTGGCCACCTCGGTCCTTTTTCCAACCTGGATATACTTCGGCCAACATTGTGTGATGAGGCAATCGGTGACTGGGCATACTTAATACGTGTCCCGACCATCTCACTTGATGAAAGTTCATAACCTCGTCTACTGATTTACCTCTACTACCTAAAACTCTCCACCTGACTTCTGCATTACTCATGTGGTGTGGTGACACCACGGAATACGTCCTACACTACGAAGGCAATGGTGGTCAGACAGTTGAAGCCTTTATCATGCCTTCCGCCTTCAATGACCATGTTTCACAGCCATAGAGTAGAACAGAGCGGATTGCTGTGCAGTACATGCGACCCTTAATAGAAAAACGGATATCACGGCGGCACCATAGGTGGCGCAAGTTGGCAAAAGCCAGTCGAGCCTTTTGTATCCATGCCGAAATCTCATCGGCAACTAACCCACCGGGGTTGATCCTACTTCGCAGGTAAGTGAAGTGGTCAACACACTCAACCACTTCACTCTCTATTGTTAGCCGCGGTATAGCTCCCTGGACATCTCAGCATAGGTTTTAACACACCCACGAGTGTTGGAGTAGAGAGCTTTCAATAACATGATGTACTTACTCGGCACGCCTTTCAGTACACACTCACGACCCGGCTAGGGCTTGAACTCAGGGGCTTCAGGTTTCATGGTGACTGCGTCAAGCATCCAGCCACTGGGTCGGTTTCCAGTGGTCCTTAATTTCCAACCTCTGTCAATTCACAATATAGCGTGACTATCACCCAAGGTCTTCAGTTAGCATCCAGTTCACTTCTGACTGGTTGATCCCATTATAGCTTCATGATATCCATCTGGAAACAAGTCATTTATTAGCACTATACAGTACTGTATTTTTGAGATGAATAGGGTTTTAATGAACATAAATGTTCATCATTTATTATTTTATATAGTGTATTTAATCTACAAATAATTTATACCTACTTTTTTTTGTATATCTTTAGAGGTATGCGCTGTATCACGTGTATCAAAGAAAGAAATAGGAAAAGTTTTTAAAAAGATTTTAAAGATACTTGAAACAAATGTTCAATCTGTTACAGTTGAAGACTTTATGTCTAGATTCTGTGGTAACTTAAACTTGAATATTACTGTTCAACGAGTTGCAAATGTGGTTGCCAGAAGAGCGCTTAACTTGAATTTAGTTGCTGGTCGTAGTCCAGTTTCAGTAGCTGCAGCAGCTATCTATATGGCTGCTTATGCATTAGGCTATCGTAAAGAAAAACGAGGTAATTTTCATTGTTTTTTTTGTTGTTAAATACAATTCTGTATTCACTTTAGTTCACTAACTGGAAAGCATTAAATATTACTATATATTATATTTGTTAAAAAAACTTAACTCTCTAAGCAGATATTTTCGGTGTTCTATTAGTTTATTGTATTGAAATTTACACATGTTCACTGATTTTATTTTAGAACAAGTTCAAAGTTCATTTTAATTTATAAGTGTATGATTTCTATTTGTTATTCATCGTAGACTGACATCAGTTTGAGGAACAAAGGAAACTTGGGAGCACTTGGCAGCTGTTTCGTCCTAGTATGGGACTCCTCAGCAGTGCGCACCCATGACCCCGCCAGGGATCGAACCCGCGACCTTCAGGTTCCGTGGCCAGCACGTTACCATTGAGCCACTAGATCAGAATCCAATGCTCCATATTTCCAACTTCTGTTAGCTCATGATATAGCGCAACCGCCACCCAATGTCATCGTTGAGTAACTATCCTCACGACCATCAGGCTTTGCCCCCACCGGTCACGACTTCTCATTGGAACTTCGGGAATACCTCGTGAGCTAACAGAAGTTGGGATATATGGATCATTGGGTTCTGACGCAGTGGCTCAATGGTAACGTGCTGGCCACGGAACCTGAAGGTCACGGGTTCAAGCCCTGGCTGGCGGGGTCGTGGGTGCGCACTGCTGAGGAGTCCCATACTAGGACGAAACAGTTGCCAAGTGCTCCCAAGTTTCCTTTGTTCCTCCAACTGATGTCAGTCTGCGATGAATAACAACTTGAAATATTTCCAAGTCTCCACAACTCCCTCAAAATTGTATTATTTCTGTTATATTTGGGGTTTGAAATGCTCTTATGCAAATCTAACAACTAAGCTGACTAGTCATGATGGTTAAGTTTCCCATCATAAATGATCCATTTATTACAGATTGATTATGTATCTCAGTGAAAAGTCTCTTTTCATGATTTCATTTTCAAAACTGAATCAATTCACATGCTCTTGTAGAGCCAGGTATATAAGTCGTCCGATGCGACTGTTATCCAAAAGAGTTCAAGAATGCTATCCCATAGGGTTACAAAGAGATAACGATAGAGTGATAAGGAGCTGTACAATTGAACACATCTTAAACACGAATCACGTTATCTCAAGAATCTTCTTGTTCCAAGTCATCTATAAAGTAAAAAAAAAACCTTCCAAAGTCTGTTTGTCTTCGTATTCTCTGCATCATTGAAGCTCTTGCCATGTATATGGAGAAACCTGAACGGTGTACGCAAAAAAAGATTGTTCAAGCCTTTCTCCTTTCATGGTTTAAGTTTCAGTTTTTGAAATCTCCTCTACCCCCTCTTTTTATTTTGACACTATTCACTTCTTAAGTACTTCGTTACTCATTCTTATTGCCATGCTTTGCCTGATCACAATTCAGTTTCTAATTATATCGTCATATTACGAAACTTTTTGTCCGTACTCGTCAGGTTTTGGTTTTTAAAAATTTCTAATAACAATTCATATATTGGCACCATTTATGTTGCCTCACATGCTTGACAAACCGTTTTTAACTATCAAATCCTTACAGTAGACGAATCTATAAATTTCCGAGTGTGTACAGTTTTGAAAATGGAATTGTTGAAAAGAGATTCTTCACTGAAATATGACTTATTTTTCTTTCATCTGACTGTGTATCACTTACGTAAATCCAGTGGGCAAAGTTTTATTGCTAACTTTAACATTTTTCAACTGTAACCATCATCTACTATTAGTTCACTTCAATCACTAAATGAAGTAACAATATCACTCAGATAGTCAAGATAATAATAAAATAATAACGTAAGGTTTCTTAATCTCTCCATATGGTTCTGTGTGGATATGTTTATCACTTTGGCTAAAATAATACGATTTATTCATAAATACTATTGAATTATCTGATTTGGCAGTTACTATGCTATTGTCATTTCGTAGATTATTCAAATTTGAATTTTCTAGTTTCATAACGTTTTATTGTATCTTCTTTTGTTTTCTCCCTGCTAACTTACACTGTGCTCTAACCTGTTCAGCGGTTGTCATATCCACTGAGCTTAATGCCACTTCTATGTCAGGTGGCATCTTTGGGTTTTAGATGACCTACTGTCACGTTGAAGTTTAGTCCCTTTTTCAAGTACTTTCGTATCAGTTGAGCTAAAGGTTCTCAAGGAGAGATTGACTACTCACTCCGTTCTATTGATGTTTGATGATGTTTCATTTGTAATCTGATTATTTTCTAAGGGATATTTTTCTTGTATTACGAGACAATGTGAAACATAGATGTAACTTTGCAAAACAGACAACCTACAAAAGTAAATAACTTGCATTAATGACTACCTAAACCTGGATTATTATTGAAAAGGTCTTATCAACCTGGGCGATTAATGGTACAAGTCAAGGGAAATCTCTTTGAGGCTGATCATAAGTAACTTTTTTCTTGAGATATCTGATGTACGTTTTATCGAGATGGGCTTTTAGTTTAAGAAGGCGAAGTGAAAATCTGCTTGACAGTTGGGTCTCGCAGCTCAGTTGGTAAAGCGTGGGACTGGAAACCCCAGTGACGCTAGTTCGAATCCTACCGCGGCTCAAATTTTCACTTCACCTTCAATCATCACCCAATATCTTTAGCTTATTGTTAGTTTTATAATACTTATGTTAATTACCGCAATATAGTGTGTATAAGTCGAGTTAACTACAGCATTTATTGGTATTTCACAACTTGAGATGTATCGAACTAAAATCTCCTAATCAAACTGTCATTCAGTTAATGTAATGAAAATAGCTTATTCTTAAGAATTTAAAGTGTTTCCTCCTTCTTATCTAATATAGAGTGAATACATATGCACATTTTGATCAATAATGCATAGTTAGCTAAAAAAAATGCTTTCTGATTGAACACCTGCCTTACATCCGAGATAGATGTTCACCGCTGCAGCACTAAGGTTAGAAAAATCTTAAGATGAACAAAAGACAGTGAGCAGTGAAACTTCTTCACTGGAGCTTACAAAATAATGAATACCAATAGTGAGAGGAAAATGGTGTTGTTATTATCCCTCTTGTTTTATTCGACTCCATCGATTATAGTAACCTTGTAATTAATAACAATTCAGAAATAACTATCTAGTTACTCGGACTTAACTCTGGCAGTGAACCAACCAAGAACCCATCGCACAACAAATATCCAGTGGAAGAAAGTGGAGATGGAATGGATTGGGCATACACTGAGAATACCGATTGGGGACATCATATGCCAGGCCAGTCACTCGAGTAGAATCCAAAGGGGGAACGACGAGTCTGGCGTCCGAGGGTGACATGGAGGATATCATAGGAGGAAGAAATGAAAGCTTGTGGGCAGTCGTGGAGCCAGGTTGAAAAGACTTCAGAGAATAAAGTGAAATAGAGACATGCTGCTGAAACCCTATGTTCCACTAAGAACCCAAGGGACAAATAATAACAGTTACTCGGACTTAAGAGTGTGAAGATGTGGATGAGTATCAACCATCCGCTCACGATTTCGAATCTCTTCCAACTTATCGGTGTTTGAACAACCAGGTGATACCACTAGCCTTCACATACAATAGGTGTGGCTTTTTATCTGCTGTACAAATGTGCACAAGTTGACAAAGTGCGTTTCGTTCGATTGTTCAGAATTGGGAGTGTATCTTCACTTACTTTGTTGTTTGTAATGGTTTTATGATAAATCTTACCATTGTTCCCTATCTAACAAAATCTAACCTCAAAGTGGACATTTCTGTTGAACGGTTCACTGACTTATGCCAAGCCTTCTTTCATATCAAGTAAACGAATATCTCAAGACAACGCCGAATAGTCCAGGGCTTCTACACTTCAGGGAAGCTTCAATGGGCTTCACTGGCTACTAATAGTTTAGCCAACTCAAAGTTTATACTTGCACAATAAGATAGACTGAAAAATAAAGTGTATAAGTTGTACGTATATAATTTAAAACAATATATGTAATTGGCGCATGCTTAATAGCTGTTGTTTATAAACAAAACTAGGTAGAGATTACACTGACAATTGTTATTTTCTCTCCAACAACTACTAGTTTTTCATTCATCTCAACAATCGGAAGATGGTCTCACATGGTGTATATATCGTTAAAAATAATTTCTTGAAAGTTATTGGAACTACAAGAACTGTCTTTATTATTATTTATTAGTGGTCCCTTGGGTTCCTAGCGGGACATAGGGCTTCAGTAGCACGTCTCTATTCCACTCTGTTCTCTTAAATCTTTTGAACCTGGCTCCACTACAGCCCACAAACTCTCATTTCTTCCTCACACCATCTCCTCCATGTCACCCTCGGCATCGACGCCCAACTCGTCGCTTCCCATCTGGGTTCCACTCGAGTGATTGGCCTGACGCGTGATGTCCCCAGTCGGCCTTCTCAGTGTATGCCCAATCCATCTCCACTTTCCTCTTCTGCATATTTGTTGAGCGATAACTTCTTGGTTGGTTCGTCGCCAAACAGAGTTCCTTGTTGCTTATTCTCATTATTCTGGCAATCCATCTGAGCTTCAGTAACGAGCAAGCGTAGGGGGCAGTTGTTGATGAATGTCTGTAGTTTGTTGGAAATGCCTTTCGTGACGCGCCAAGTCTCTGAGCCATACAGAAGCACTGACGTGACTGAGGTTGGTGTTGAAAATCGGATCTCGTTCACACTTTATGCTGAGTGCAGTGCAGAAAATCTCCACACTGGTTTCAGGCTAATGAGCGCCTGTCTTGCCTTTCCGATTCTGACTTTGACATCCTCGTCAGTGCCGCCTGTAGTTGAAACAATGCTTCCTAGATAGGTGAAAGAGGCTACTTCCTTTAAGTTTCTCCCGTTGATGGTGATTGGAGTTTGTTGTTGTTGGTGTTGTTGTTTGGCTGTAGATCTCCGAGTTTGCGTGACATTAGACACAAGTCATCGGCGAAATCCAAATCTTCTAGGCTCTTTTCATCGGTCCAGCCAGCGTATCCCCTCTTCTTGCTCCTCACTGTTTATTTCATCATCCAGTCCAGTCGACCACAATCAGGAATATCATGGGTGATAGTAGACAGCCTTGTCTCACTCCTTTCTGTCTTCACTTCAAAAGCATCACTGAGCTTCCCATTGTGAATTACTTGACATGTGGCGTCTTCACATAGTTGTTGAATGAGATTGATAAAGGTTTTTGGTATTCCGTAGTGTTGAAGCAACTGCCAAATTACTTGTCGGTCGAGGCTGTCAAAGGCCTTTTCAAAGTCGATGAAGTTGAGGTTGAGGTAGAGAGTTGACTGGCATTCTATACTCTGTTCTATGATGATGCGTAGTGTCGCGTTGCAATTTGGTCCGCACATGATTTGTACTTCCTGAACCTGCCTGTTTCGGTCTTAGTTTTGAATCCAGTACATCCTTTAGCCTCTGTGGGATGATGCGGCTTAATATTTTGCTTGTTCTGGGTGGACAGGAGCGTGATTCCGCCCCAGTTCTTGCAGACTTTTGTCACTCTTCATGGGTAGTTTGATAAGGTAGTCATAGTTCCAATCAACCGGCAGGTACCTTCCCTTTCTTCCACACCTTCTGCAATAGTGGTGTGAGTATGTCCGCTGTTGTCTCTGCATCTGTTTTCAGTGGTTTTGACGGGATTCCATCTGGTCCTGCTGGTTTGCCGCATTTGAGTAGCTTTATGGCGCTCAGGACTTCGACTTTTGTTGGAGGATTCATGTTGATTTGTAGTTCTGTGGCTGACCTGCGGTGGTATTTCTGGACGAAGTGCAGGTGGTGGTGGTCGATTCCAGAGCTTTTTGAAGTGGTCGACCCATTGTTCCCTTTGTTTCTCTTCTTTCGTAATTAGATTTCTTTCATCATCTTTTATTGGTTTCATCTGTGTTGGTCTCTTCCCTCCCAGATAATAACTTGGTGGTTTGATAAAATGTTGTCAGGTCTCTAACTCTCCTACCTGCATCCTGTTCTGCTTCACTTGCCAGTGTGTCATGGAAGTGTCTTTTGTCTTTGCATGCACTCTTCTTCACTTCTTTGTCCAGTGTTGTGTTTTATACATTGTACTAAGTTCCTCTTGTCGTTGAGCATCCTTGCACTGCACTAGTTTATCTTCTGTTTCACCATCCTCCTCTCCCTGCTCTATCAGCTTCCATGTGTCCATCGAGACCCATTCTTTATCTTCTTTCTTCTTCCTTCTTAATACGGTTGTGCAGGTTTCTTTCCACATCTCTTTCAAAGAGTTCCGGTGTTCTTCCACACAGGTTTCTTCTGGGATGTTGCTCGATATCTCCCATTTTGTCTTGATGGCTGGCTGTCGTGAAGATTTCCTTTATAGTATCGTCCTTCAGTTTCTGTTCTGAGTGTTGTACTTGAACTGTGGTCTATCACCAGTTTCCTTGAAGGCTTCAACTTGATTTGGAAGGCAGGTTCCTGGCATTAGATAGTGAGTGGTGTGAACCTACATCTGCTCCTTTTCTTGATCTTGTGCCAAGTAGACTGCGCCTCCACGTTCTTGAGATTGAGATGAAGTCGATCTGACTTTTAATGTGTCCTGGTGTCTTGTGAAATCCATGTCGCTCGCTTTGTGGATATCCTTGTGCTTGAACACACTACCTCCAATCACCAAATGGTTTAATGCACAGAGTTCTGCAAACAATTCTCCATTCTCGTTCATCACCTGACCGAGCGCTTCTCGACCGATGGTTAGTTCTCTTGTTGTGTTGTCCGCTCGGAATTTGGCATTCATGTCGCCCATTAGAATGGATTTTGATATCGCCAACTTGAATGGTGTCTTGTCCAATGTTGATTGAAGTTGTCTGTAGAATTCCTACTTTTTCTCTTGCTCTGCATTATTTGTAGGTGCGTGGAGTAGCATTGTATGATTGTGACCTTCCTTCCTTTTGAGTTGAACCTTTGTGTCATGATCGTTATGCTGGATGAGATTGGTTCCCACTGCATGGGAGAGAGCCTTCGATGCTGTTGGGAGGGGACATCATGATAGCCACTCGAAAACTCAGTGTGCTCGTGGTTGTCGTCTGGGTGAGTTTATCGGTGTAGATTATTGACTCCTCTCCAGTTGACAATTGGGAGAGTCCACTTCCATTCCATCTGCTTTCGGAGATTCCTAGCACTGCAATGCTATACCTTCTCATCTGGTTTGCAATCTGGGCAGCCTTGCCAGCTTGGTTCAAACAATGTGCGGACGTTCCATGTCCCCACGTTTACTTTTGCTTTCATCGAGGTAGGGAAGGCACATCGGCCTGCCAATTGGCTTTCCGAAGTCAGGCTTTCACCAACCGGTGTCATTTCGCCTCTCCGATTCCAGCGAGGAATAAATTTGTTTTTATGTTTTATATTTTGTTTGTGCTATGAAGTTTCTTTAGCGGTTGGATTTGTTTTATGGGGTAGTGTTGCTATTCGTATGCCCAACCTTCCCTGTTTACCCGGGCTTAGGACCGGCTAGTAACTAGTGAACTTGTTAACCAGGCGAGGTTCAAGACGTGTTTTAATCGAGTTATGTTTCCGTGTAAAGTTTTTTTTCAAAGCTTATCTGTAAACTTTTGTTGATTGGGTCGAATTGATCGGTTTTTATTGGGATATAACTATACCCATCGCACAAGAAATGGTTATTGTGACTCGGTGATCTAGTGGACAACAATCTGCCGTTTGAAACGATGGATCTCGAATTCGAGTCCTGATGGGAACAATATCGCTCACTGGGAGGGCAGGTACATCTAGCTGACGACTCCTAGATAGAATAAGATGCACTTCATAGCCACTATCTATCATTAATACATATATATATTCATTAAAATACATTTATTTGTCGTTAACTTTCAATCTTTTCTATGTAGAAATTGGTGATGTTGCAGGTTGCGCCGAAGCTACTATCACATGTACTTATCGTGCAATGCATACAAGAGCTAGTGAATTGTTTCCTGAAGATGTTAGACTTGCTATCAGACCAGAAGAGTTACCTCTGTGATTTTGTTTGTATATTTTTCATGATAGACACCATATTGTTAATAAATGGGTTCTTGATAATAGTTTTATCTGTTTACTGATACTGTGTTTTTCATCAACTTTATGTTTTTCACTGATTTCACGTAAATTCAACTGTTTTGTGCCAAGTTGCTGTAATTCACGTCTATTAGTCAAGATGCTTGCTGTATAAAATACTTACAGTTCATTATGTAGATATCTGTTGCGGTTCGTGGGTATGTTAGATTATAGACTGTTAACCTGAATACCGGATGAACGCAGTTGACTACTTGATAATTCGCTCAGTCAACACAAGGAAGAAAAGACTTATGAAGTGATAAAGTTCAATTCAATCTGAAGAGTATAAAAATAGGCGCACAGTTCGTGGGAATATCTTTGAGACGAAGCAACAAAGCGTTAAAAGCAAACGATATACACGAAGCAGGAAAAAGACGGGGAAAAAAATAAATTCAAATATTTGGGATCTCCCATCCTTAACAGTGCCATCCGGGGACTGTTTTGTTGTCTATAAGACAGTCAGTAGCGATAACTTACAGACAACGAATAGAGAAAATCAATCAGAGTTTCATGACATATCAGGCCACTTCATAAGGTAATCTCATTATTTCACCCGCTTCTATTTATCAAAGTTTATCCATCTTATGCATACACTTCACTAACCTATTTGCAAGCATCAATCCATCTGGTTATATGTGCCAGATATTTAAACACTATACGGTTCTATTCGTAGAACTTGTTGAAGCTTAGTGGGAATTATTCAACTCTAGTTTCCTAGAACTGTTAAAGGTATAGTGATCTGTGCATATTTTGGAGTCTAAACTTTACATTCTGTTTGTACAGTTAGTTAACTTGAAATTAACTTATTCTGTATGAATACAACCTGTGGGAAGAAGTTTTACATCTAATCTCTGGTATTCTAATGCATTTTTATAGTTTTACACCATGTTGTTTATCTTACTATTCTACTTTTCAATCCAGTAACGTATGATACTCCTTTGCCTTTAAAATATCTTTATGCGATTTCTTACCTCAAAGATTTCATGTATACATCTGCACTGTGAGTACTTGGTCTGTTGATTGATCAAAGATAATTTCATTGCCTTGGTAAATATAGTCTAAAAAGGTTATTATATTCATTCTGCAAACTTGATACAGAATTCATGTTCTTAGATTATTTCTGACATGTAGCGACAAAAAGACAACCAATAGGAGAGTTGGCTTCAAGTCATGATCAAATCATGTTCAGGTCGTGATTTATGCATGCGCTGACATGAGAACCTGATTGGATAGGTTCGACCTCAGACAAGAAATCTGATTGGTTCATTTATGGCTTCACTTTCTGAGAATTTTGTAAATACATATATATTTTTGAGATGAACGGGGATTTTTAATTTAGAAGTAGTATTCATCATGGACTGACATCAGTTGGGGAACCATTGAAAATCTTGGAGCACTGGACAGCTGTTTCATCCTAGTATGGGACCCCTCAGCAGTACACAACATCATCGGGTCGTGGGTCGTACTGCTGAGGAGTCCCACACTAGGACGAAACAGCTGTCCAGTACTCCCAGATTTTCAATGGTTCCCCAACTGATGTCAGTCCATGATACATATATGTCATGTATTTGCCTAATAAAAGTTGTCGTTGTTATTACAGTCACAGGCTGTCTTTGTCGTCTGATTTCTCCGCGGTTCAGTGAAGCAGAAGGTACTGAGGGAGGTCAGTCGTTGAAGTATTCGTTTGAGGTGTGTATGTAGTCTCAATATCACTATACCCACGCACGCACCCACCACTCGGTCACAACAATTTCAAACTGAAACAATTGGTACTTTCAAAAAAGTGGAGAGTGTAATCAGTAGACCAAGTTTATCGAAAACTGCAATGTGTTTGCACTATAATTTCGAGCAACCGGTGGCTTTTTTCTTCATCGATTCAAGTATTCTCAGGACTAGACAATATTACTTTTTATCTTAGTTTAAACAAGCTTTTCAAAAGTCTTCGGTGCTTGACTGTTGAACTTTTACAACACTACTAACTTATCCATTCCTTTATCTCATGTCATTCTTCCAGATATATACAAGACCGTTTATAAGTTATTATGATTGTGCTCTCAATACCAGGTAGGGATTTTGATATATGGATTAAATAAACCAGAGATCCACTTATCAATCTCTCCCTTCACCTAGCTATATTCTGTTCCACCCTAATGTGTTTACTGGTGTCATGCATAGCTATCTCGAGCATTTTTATAGATTCCTTATCTTATTAGAATCTACTAATGTTGATTTAGCTAGGTTTTTAAACTCGGACAGCCTGACTGACCAATTTATCCTGTGTATTTAACCATGTAATCATTGCGAGGGAATTATCATTTTCCCCTTGGGTTCCTAGTGGAACATAGGAATTCAGTAGCACGTCCCCATTTCACTCTCTTCTCCGCAGTCTTCTCAACCTGCCCCCACCACTGCCCACAAGCTTTCATTTCTTCCTCATACCATCTCATCCATGTCACCATCGCTTCGGATGCCCATCTCGTCATTTCCCCTTTGGATTCCACTCAGCCTACGTTAGGTAGCACAGCAATAATTAATGACCATGCTTACTTAAACCTCGCCTAGTTAACTAGTACACTAGTTACTAGCCGGTCCTAAGACCGAATAAAGACGGAAGGTAGGGCATAGGGGGAGCAACCCTACCCAGTAAAACCAATCCAGTCGCTAAACAAAATTCAAAGTACAAAGGAAATATTAAAAAAAAATTAAACTTATTCCTCAGTGGAATTGGGGAGACGAAATGACACCGGTTGGTGAAAGCCTGCCTTCAGAAAGCCAATTGGCCAGATCGATGTGTCTTCCCTCCTTCGATGAAAGCGAAAGGTCAGAGGTCAAGTAGATGAACAACCAACAAGAAAATCTATGTAGTCAATGACACAACAATCAAGGGAAACAACTAATTACAAAACAGTTCATCAGGTCAAGCTACTAAATCACTCATGAGGAGAAATTGACAGCTCACTTCATACTGAAGTTAGTGCTGAAGATGTTGTCCAGAAAGACGATGAAAGCCCCAAGAATAAACCACCTAGCTTGAAGAACACAACAAATACCAAGAAAACTTATGTTTGGTCATACACACCAAGATGTCATAAGTCGGACGCATGCATCACTAAGTGATGAGTCACAATAACCGTGTCTAGGTTCATAATGAAAGCCGATTGAAGTAATTGGAGCAAGATTGGAATCAAATGCCTAAACTAATCAGTTAAACACCTGTAAAAGCTCATCATGGAGGCAGTATAGCCCTTAATGACCGGAGCCCACAATATTAATTCTGTTTTAAATCCTCACCTTTTTGCCCCATTCATTATAACCTCATTTGCTTTACGTTTATCAATACCGACTCCATAGGGATTAGCATTCATTATCAGTAACTGGGAGAACTCAGTTACGATAATGCATTCAGTCGTTAAGGTTTATATATATATATATATATATATATATATATATATATATATATATATATATAAACGTTCACATGAATATATGATCGTTTGTGGCATATGCACACAAAAGAATTTCAATGCATCATCTCAATATGACTTATACGATTAAACACTTAGTGTATACCTTTTCAAGCTATAAAGGTATTGTATTGTGATTGGTCTGTCTCCGATCTTTTTCAGAAAACACCTTCAGGAACTCAAGTTTTAACCATTATTCAACCTTCATTAAAAGCTCCGTATTCATCCAAGTGCTTGTTATGGAGTAAGGTATTACTTCCTAGATACTTCAGAGAAGCCTGAAAGTCTTCCCAACCAAATAACATATACCGAAAACTCACGAAACTCTACATGATCATGCAAATAAGCTTCAGATTGGCTCGCAGAACTCAATCAACAAGAATTATCCTTTTCGAAGAGTCACTGAAATAAAAACCTGGCCAGCAGTCAGGTCTCGTACCTCAGTTGGTAGTCGGAAACCCAGTGGTAGCTGGTTCGAAGCCTGCAGTGGTAGAAATTCTCACTTCATCTTCAATTGTCACACAGTACATACATATATAGCAAGATATGTAGGCGAACAATATTGTTTTCAATCAGATCTCATCAGGCTTCAGTCTAATACACAACTTCCAACATATATACCTAATACATGAACCAATTAGGGACTTTGTGAGTCTACGATCAGAAAGATTCGGATTGTATACTTTACAAAGATTAAATTAGTGGTAGTATATAAGATAATAAGAATGTTCAGAATGGGGCGATAATGTGAGCAGGTGTACAGGCAAACACACATAAAGTAGGTGAAAATTTGGAAAAAGACCATAAAGGTCTATAAACCGTTACATTTCGTACACGCTCCGACCTGCCAACAAAGTTTGAATGGTTTTGTCATTTCTTCTTGTTTTCAAGGAATGAAGCGACTCTGAAAGATAAAGTCTAGAGGTTACTGTTTATGAGGTCAGCTGCTCACGTTATATCGGTACTAAAATGCATTAGTACACAGTGAACTTGATAAATTTTAGGTGCGATACTGAATTATGTATTACAGACAGCGCGTTACGAAAGGGATTTCCAACAAACTACAGACATTCATCAACAACTGCCTACGCTGGCTGGTTACTGAAGATCAGATGGCCAGAATAATGAGAACAAGCAACTCTGGCCTGCAACAAACCAACCAAGAAGGTATCACTCAAAAAATATGCAGAAGGAAGTGGAGATGGATTGAGTATTTACTAAGAAGGCCGACAGGGGACATCATGCGTCAGGCCAGTCGCTCAAGTGGAACCCAAATAAGAAACGACGAGTTGGGCGTCGGTGCCGAGGGTGACATGGAGGAGATAGTGTGAGGAAGAAATGAGAGCTTGTGGGCTGTCGTGGAGCCAGGTTCGAAAGTTTGCAGAGGACAGAGTGGAATAGAGACGTGCTACTGAAACCCTATATCCCACTAGGAACCCAAGGGACAAATAAACAATAATGATCTAGCTTAAACCGTTTTCGCATGTTAGATCATTTTTGGATATCATTAATATAGCGCTCCTGTTCAAACTGTATAGGACCATTTTTCAAAAGACAAATACCGAAAACAGTTAAGTAATCCATTCATATTACAAAACAAGAATAAAAAAACATAACATCTCGACTGTATATGAAACCATCTCTATAATGCTGCATTTTTAATCATATATGAACTGAAGTATACATGAAAAGATTACTGTAAAAATGGTTCAATACAAGCCTAGAACTTTCTATGAATAACAACGGGAAAAACATTGCTAAGAGGGTACATGAGTAGGCGCCACACTATTATTTTATGAAGAAGATATATGTTTTTTGTGTAATATGAGAACACTAAACAGTGAAATTAATACAGGTCAACTAAGTGAGTGATACACGCATTCATAGACAAATTTCACATAAATACATGACTCAAAATGGAAAAAAAAACCACTTATGTTCATTGTTATCAATCCGAGACCAACCAATATGAATTAGAAACAAAAAATGAAACATCTTTCACAAAACAACCGGAAGGTGAGAAAGAATAAGAAATAAATCGAGATGAAAAAAATATCGAAATATATACTTCTCATATTCATTATTTTCAAAACTTGCTGTCCATTTAATTCGATCATACTGCCAAAAACACCTGAGCACATATACCCATAGAACGCAAACACTTTGTCATACAATAAATATTCTCGTTCAATGCAGGACAATTCATGTCTGTCGTCTGTTAAAGTAGTTATCCCATTGTGAATCAGACGATCCGTCAATAATAATCTTCTTAATAGGATATGCTCAATTGGCACATCGCTTTTGACTAAAATGAAATAAAATTTGAAAGAAGATAATTATTATTGTGATTTCTTTAAAAGCGATAAACAAACAATTTGTAATGAAGCCATATCAATTGCTGATAACTATTTAATGGCTATTTTTCATCTTCACTATGATAAATGTGATATCATTATTGTTTTGAGGAAGTAATCCTGGAAACATCTATTTAATCACAAGAAATATTGCATAAACAGATTCTCTTATTACGTGGAAAATCTCTGTCATGAAGGGGGCAAAACAGATAATTTATCGTGGAACAAAGAGAGGAGTTGAAGGAGAGATGAGAAGATAAGTTATGGTAGGAAATGAAGTGGTGAAACATGTTGACCACTTCATGTACTTGGGAAGTTACATCAACCCGAACGGGTTGGTTGCTGATTAAATCTCAACTCGGATACAGAAGGGCCGTTTGGCGTTTGCCAACTTGTATCACCTGTAACACCAACTGGCAGGATATTCGACTACCTAACAAACGACGAAAGTGCTGCTCTGCAGTTCGTTCTGTCCTGCTATACAAGTGTGAAACATGAAGCGGTCAAAAGGTTTTGATCATAAGTGTCTTTGTAGAACTGCTCGCGTTTGATGGAATCACTGTGTGAGCAATGCTGATGTTAGACGAAGAGTACTAAATAGGCAAGGCAAAGTGATATGGTTGTTAACCTTCATGGATAGAAATGACTTAGACATATACTGCACATGCCAAGCCATCGCCTACTTCGAAGTGCCATGTTAGGAAAAGTTGGATTACGTTGGAAGAGGGTTCAGAGTGGCGAGAACAAGACGTGGTACTGATAGATGAAGTCTCTGACTGTCGGTTTGAGCCATGTGGGTCCTGGAGACGAAAGGAATCAGTGGTTAAAGACTCTTCGTGACATGGCTGAAGACCGGTTACAATGTTGCAGATGGATTCATCTATTTGACACCTTCTAAAGCTTGGATACTTGCACTAACTGTTATCTACAGATTGTTTGTCCTCTCACACAACTTTGTGTACTTTGATATGACTCCTTTTCTATCCACCTTGTTTTGTGTACTAATGTGGGGTGTGGCAACTTGAGCTGATGGACCCATGTGCGAGGTTCTACGTTGACTTTCTCAGTAAATCAGTCAGTCATATAATGCCATCTAAACATTTGACAAATATGAAACGCATGCTGAATATATTAAAGTCTTCAACCAAAGAGCCCAAATGACACAGTATTACTCAACACAGTCACCTAAAAGGATTAAGTCATATGTATGCTTAAAATCAACTAGATAATGTGTCATTAGTAAATCAATTCCAACGAAAATCAAGGCAGATAAAATAATCTTAACCACTACATCTGTACGAAAGATGAGTCAGAATAGTGTCAGAAGAATTTTTTTAGCGGGTATCATTGGTTGTCATCACTTCATAAAAAAGTTATTTGGATACTTTCACTTAGCTGAGAGCCTGAATACTGCGAGTTCTCAATCCTACCAAATATTGTAAAACAGCTGAGGGTACGGTGATCCTGGTCATCTTTCGAAGTACTCTCATACTTTTATAACTGCTGGCAAGAAAATTTTGCTTCCTCTAATCATGTGACAGGAGAGGGATGTTTTCATAAAAGTAACCAGCTGAAAATGAACGTCTGATGCGATAATCACAGAGTTTACTAATGGGGGTTGGGAAGCTCTAATTCCATACCGGGGTGCACGTTGACTCCATGATCAAGAATGGAGGAATGGCATGTGAACAAGCAGCCATCAGAATGTAGTAAGCAGTGCCGCTCCGCTGTCACAGGCACGGTCAGTGGTCCAATTAGGTAACCACCTGCTTTAGCCTTAGCATCTAAGCAGCATCAAGGCACAAAAATATGTAGTAAAACTACACTGAAACAGAAGGCTCTTAAGCATGGCTCGAATTTCCCTACAAACGCTAAAACCTGTATTATAAACAATTCAAACGCAATTATTTAATCTCTCGCTTCGTAATTGCGACTGTTTATTGGCAATCATTTTCAAACTAATATTTATTTGCACTCTTCTTTCACTTAGGTGTCTTTACCAGTTATAACAACACTAATCTATCTGAGCCATCTCGATACGGCTATTCTAAAACCGCATGAACTGTACAAACTAGCAACCTTCAACGTACGGACCTTGACGCACATCAAGAAGCGTTCCGATTAGACTAAGACTATGGAAAGCCTTGCCAATGATGTGTATTGTATTTCAAAGACCGACATGCACGATCCCAGTAAAGTGTTTCAAATAACTTTTTCACCTGAATTTGTCAACTGGAGAAGAGTATTGTCGGTACAATTATCCGGGGGATCAGCAGTCAGCCTTGTGGTTGTTGGCATCGTAGAGCGTTAGAGAAGAAGGTGAACTAGTCCTCTGCGTGCTGTCAGGCTAGACCATTCAACGAAAGAGAGCAGTAACTGACAAGGAAGGCTGTCTCTTCGCTAGCTAAAAATTAGATAAAGATCAGAAAGGGTTAACAGATGTATCAAAAGCTTCTTCTGAAGTAACGGGTCCACGTGAACGCATTCATGAAAGCTTCAAGCGTAATCAGCTCATATGTAGACTGACAAGAAGTCTACCCAATGACCAGGAACAGTGGTGGGAAGCGAAGGCTAAAAAGATGGAAAATGCAGTGATGATAGGTAATAGTAGACAGTTGTTTCGACTAATCAAGAAAACATGGGCAGAAACGTCAATGGTTAGTGAGACTAAAGCGGAGAAGGACGGGTCTGCGATTCACTCACAGAAAAGGAGACTGGAAGGGAGAGCAGAACACTTTGAGGAACAGCACAACTGGCTCCAACTACTCTCTGACTGCCTGCTTCCCAGTTGAATACTGAATAGAATATAGAGACAGGTCCTCAAACTCTTTCAGAAGTTGAGGTCGTAAATAATTTGGAAAGGGCATGCGTAGCACGTCTAGGTGGGCTAGTACCAGAGGCACCTAACAATGATGATCGAGGATTATTGATTGGACTAACCAGTGGCAGGTAGGGTACAGGAATCACATATGATTCCCTATGACTGCTCTTGATCGTCGATTATTTCACTCTTCAATAAAGGAGAGAAATCCTCCTGAGATAACCATAGAGGATTGAGTCTGATAAATAGTATCTGAGATCTTAGGTTTTACAGTTATAAAATCCTTGAATTAAGCTATGAAACAGCAGACTTAAAGTAAGCAAGTTTCAGACCTGATTGTGAGTGCATCCATCAGATATTCACCCTTTGAAAGACAGAATTAACGTAGAACTTCGAACAAAAATTCATCAGTTCAAGCTGCTACAATTGACAGCAGCGTGCAAACACGACGGTGAGGAAATAATGACATTAAAGTAGACAAAATTTATAGGACGAAAATAAATTTAAAAAATGAAGGTCATTGAAAATATCAAAGCTTTAGATGTCAAAGAGTATTTACATCGCCACTGTGACTAATTTTCAGCCTTGACATAGAAGGTCCAAACCACTGACTCCTATTGTCTCCAGACGGATCAGATCAACAGTGAGACACTTCATAGACTGGTGCCACATACGTCAAATCCATTTCTACTACAATTAACACTACATATCGAGGTTCGGAGGTGGCAATGTATATAAAATATATGTGAGTGAAAGTTCTAAATCTCGTCGATCCATTCGCATGTCTTACATGGTATCCTTTGCCTAACGTTGGCATGGCTCAAACGGTGATTACACCGTACGTGAGTAATGCTACCAAGATACCAGTGATCAAAAACTTGTAACCGTTTTATATCTTCTAATTTTAACGACCATGTCTCACAGATCTATAACAAGAAAGAGTGGGAAAGAGTAGCAAAGTATGCTAGTCTCCTAATAAGTAGTTAGATATCTCGCTGGTCTGCGCCAGAGATGATGAAATTCGGAAAATGCCAAACCAACGCTTTGCGACCGAGTAGAGATTTTGTCCGCAGCCAATCCATCCGCGCTGATGTAACTGCTTCCCCTACTCCCCATCAGTTTCTGGAACACAGACACACTGACACCAGTATTTGTTTACCTGAAAGTGGCATTCCACCCCGTTGGTCGATAGGTCTTATAACAATGTTCCTCACTGAAAGGTATATCTATCCACTTCCTTGCCGAATGCTGTTGTAATGTGTGGCAATTTGAACCAATACACCTATGTGCTCAGTTTCATGTTGATTTTGTTTCTTACAGAAAAGAGTTCCAGATAAATACATCACTCTGCTGAAAGCTGTGTATTCGAACACCCATAGGTATGTTAGAGTTTATGGTGAGTTTTGTATAACAAGTGGTGTCCATCAAGAATTTCCAATCCAATCTTATTAGACTTCATCACTGACGTGCTTATGGAGGTCTCCCTACCCATATCCAACTTCACAGAAGGCACCTTAGTAAACTCAGACCAAACGTATAACATTCTTGTTAAACGAAGACTTTAACAAGAAGCTGTCTTCTGGTAATTTGTCAATGTTTGGGATCTATTTCTGGTCACCCAAATACAAATCGTTGCTTTAGAACTGGTCTACGTTGATGTCTGGTCGAACGATAGAAAGTGAAGTTATAGCAGACCTGGTGGGTCAATGACCAATGAAATCTTTGCATGGATATAAAAGATTTGTTTGCTTTTTGTCAAATTACGCCATTTATTGCACCACCATGATAGCCCATTGCCTATTAGGGATAGAGTGTTGTGCGTTACAGTTCATCCTATCCTACTATATAGCTGTGAAATATGACCAAAAAAGGTACAGGAATTGAAAACGCCTCGGGTAATTCTATCATCGTTACCCTCGTAGCATAGACTATGTTTCATAGTACCACTACGCCTTGGTTCAGAATTCAAGCGTACTTGTGGGTAAAGGAGAAATTTCAGTTTGTAAGGCTCTGAACCTTCGACTCAAATGACTTAAACATGTGTTACGTATTTTGTCTCAAGAGGCGTCACATCGCTCGCTCACCATTCGCTTGCTCTGACACCGGTTGGAGAGATGACTAGTGTACGTTGTGGCGCTGTGGAATAAAAGATAGTTGTGTTAGGTTAGCATCTAAAGGTACGTTACGACATCTGGGATGAGGTTCCAGAAATCATGAAACTTAGTGACCTGAGACAATAGCAGTTATGATTCGGAATCAAATCCAATGGCGATAATATTGCAGCATTCTTGTCTCTCCTATTACTGAAAAGTCAATAAAAACAGTGAATGCCTCTTTGAATGTGTTCTTAAGAATGCTCATTTGATAACTAATGTCTTTTATTACCGCTGTTCTTGTCTACATATATCACGTTTTTGTCTCATTGTAGCTTTATCATTTTGTGTGGTGAAAATCTTCCTGTGCATATTGTGGTAGGTTTATATTTTACAATAAACAAAAGTAAAAATTATTATAATAACGTGAACAACAACACAATAACATTTGCTTGAAATTCTATTCACAGTTAGATATTATCACAAAATCTCTTAATCGACAAAGTCAAATACTGTCTTCAGGTGAAATATATATGGCTGGTATTCAGTGCAGTTAAATATGCTCATGTTCCAGAACCTATAGAGGAATGAAAATCCAAACGATGTACTAAATCCATACCAAAGACCTGTCTGGTCACCTAGGGAGTTTTTATTCTTATGCTCCAGTGAAGCATCAACTGTTGAGAATATTCGATGATATATTAGCTAGACTGATTTTAATGTGTTCATGATAAAAAGATTTCTTTCTTTATATTGAAAAAACTCAGATCTGCATAAAACATTGTGTATTAATCTAAACATTTTTAAATTGTCGTTTCCCCGCCGTTTTCACGGCATGACCAGTATTCCATCCACTACATCTCAGCATTTTCAAATTAATTCACCGTTTGGTTAATGTTTGCTTTTACTATGCTAGTGTTTCAAATTCTAGAGAAGGTCATATATCCTGTATATATACACACACATGTGCCTTTAGGTTAACTGACTATTCTTCTCGAAGGAATAAACTCTACCATCCAGTTCAATCTTCTCTATTTCGTCCGGGATGGGAGTCGAAGGATATTGTGTACTAAGTTATCAGACATCTGTAAGATATATCCTCTCAGAATATATAACATTTCCTTATAAAATGAACTAAATAACGGTATGGAACAATCTGGTAGAACCAAAAGTCTTCAGCCTACGTTAGGTAGCACAGCAATAATTAATGACCATGCTTACTTAAACCTCGCCTAGTTAACTAGTACACTAGTTACTAGCCGGTCCTAAGACCGAATAAAGACGGAAGGTAGGGCATAGGGGTAGCAACCCTACCCAGTAAAACCAGTCCAACCGATACAGAAACTTCAAAGCACAGACAAAATATAAAACATAAAAACAAACTTGTTCCTCGCTGGAATCGGGAAGATAAAATGACACCGGTGGGTGAAAGCCTGACTTCGGAATACCAATTGGCCAGGTCGATGTGTCTTCCCTACCTCGATGAAAACAAAAGTAAACATGGAGACATGGAATGTCTGCACCATATTTGAACCTAGCTGGCAAGGCTGCCCAGATTGCAAACCAGATGAGAAGGTATAGCATTGCAGTGCTAGGAATCTCCGAAAGCAGATGCAATGGAAGTGGACTCTCCAAACTGTCAACTGGAGAGGAGTCAATAATCTACACCGATATTCTCACCCAGACGACAACCACGAGCACACTCAGGGAGTGGCTATCATCGAAGGCTCTCATGCAGTGGGACCCAGTCTCCTCCACGACCATGACAGCAAGATCCAACCGAAAAGGAAAGAAGGTCACAGTCATACAATGCTGCGTACGCTACGCACCTACAAATAATGCAGAACAAGAGAAGAAGGAGGAATTCTACAGATAACTGCAACCAGTAATGGACAAGACCCCTACCCAGTTGGCGACATAAAAATTCTGACTGGTGACATGAGCGCAAAACTGGCAGCAGACAACATAGGAAGAGAACTAATCATGGGTCAAGAAGAGCTCGATGAAATGGACGAGAATGGAGAACTGTTTGCAGATTCCTGCGCATTCAACGATTTGGTGATTGGAGGCATTGTATACAAATACAAGGATATTCACAAAGCGACATGGACTTCACCAGATGGACACACTAAAAATCAGATCGACTTCATCTCAATCTCAAGTTTAAAAATACGTGTGCGTGGTAAAGAAAGATACTATTTGTAGATACCACTAAGCTTAACTCAAAACCAGTTATTGGTATCGCTTAGTAACCGAGTTCAGTTGATCCGTTCATTTGATATATACCTCAAAATATCAAACGAGTGTTTCTGTACATAGTCCATAATTAACTGTACAACGCAATATTATCTTCACTGGGATACGTTTTAAAATTAGTCTTCTAAATAAGTGTATTGAACCTCAAGTCCTTTAAAATATAACATGAAGATTCATATTACCTAGATGTTCCGAAAACTGCATCAGCATCTGGGGCACCTTTCGGGTGATTATATCTCACCCACCGATCTCGATTGACGTTCAGAGGGAATTGATGAGCCAAAACAGCATCCGGACCACCATAATGACCTAGAATCACAAGGAAAACAAGAAAACATCGTAATTTTAATTCGTAACAATATAGTTGAAGTAATAGCTACAAAAACACTTAATATTATGCATCTATACAGACCATGAAGTCTAATAGTATAATTGCTTGTATTATACCGTCGTTGATTAGACCGAATCGATCAGTCTCTATTGGCATATGGGCTCCTGTGTGGATGCTTCGATATTATCTGTGTTCTAATTATAGTAAAGACAGTGGCTAGCAGTGAAATTTAGGATGCGCATTTCGTCCTATTTGGGACTCGTCAGCTGGATGCACCTGCCTTCCAGTTAGTGATGTTGTTCCCACCAGGATAATACCGCAGAATGAAACTTTTTGATTAAGCCATTGTCATAACAATCAATTTCTTGACAGCAGGAATGATCAGATAGTTTTTCAGTTTTTGTACGTGTGTAGAACGGAAATATCACTTTTGATGATACACACTTAATACATTGAGAAGTCGTTTCATACTTGTGATACCCCCCATCACTATACAAGGTTGCATTGCTCAACCTCTGTTGGTAGATTGGCTCCTATGAGGAAGCCTTGATATTTCTGGATATTCACAATGTTATATTCACTTTGGTGAATAGCAGTAGGATCCAGGATGCAGATGAATCCCTCAAACAGAACGAAACATACGTAATGGATTTCACTGCCAGTCACCAAGAAGAATAAAACAATACTGAGAAGGAAAGGAAAAAGAAAATCTCCCAATGTTGGATATAAGATGTGATATTGCAACTTAATAACTACATTCAGTTTTGCTCAATTTTATGCTTCATGATCGACAGATTGTAAGTGGAATATCGTAAGGTAACAAGTAAAAAAAATCAATTGCTCTAAAAATAAATAATCACCCCATTCCATTTCTTCTTCCTTTTGAGCTTCATGCATCTCAAGAACAAGTTGTTTCATTCGAGCTTTTTCTTCTCTTTCAGCAGCCGCAGTTTGTATGTAACGTGCTGCAAAGTGAACTGAATCAGGAACAGCTAATGGAACTAGATGAGGTTTATTTCCACGACGTGAGATCAGTGTAAATGGAACAATATTCTAAAATAGTATGATGATAAAATAAAAGCGAATGAGATTTAATGGATTAGTCTTTGACAATAGAATATTGACAACAAAAGTATGATATTAAGTTGGTATTTATTATGGAGTGATATAAGTCGAAGAAAATATGGACCACTGGATTCTGACCTAGTGGTCCAATGGTAATATGCTAGTCGAAGAACCTGAATGTTCTGGGTTTGATTCCCTGTCAGGTCATGGGTGAGCACTGCTGAGGAGTCCAATACTAGAACGAAACAGATGTCTAGTGCTCCCAGGTTTCCGATATCTCTCCAACTAATGTCAGTCTATGATGAATATTGACCTGAAATCAAGAAATCCCTACAAACCTCCAAAAAGTATAATATGCTAGAGAGTAGAAAGAATTCGTTTATATGAAAATTCAGTAACAAAATGTTTAACTACTTATAAGGGAAATGTCTTTAAAATTAGAGTAAACACGGAGATTAAATTTCTAGCTTTACACCTTTCGGATAACAGCTGTACCATTAAATGTAAAGTACAAGAAATTTCAGGATAACAAAGTAAACTTCCGAATTGTGAAACTTATTGTTTGAAGAATATAAGCGTAAAACATGGGCATTGTGGTAGGATTTAATTCTATATTAAATCTCTTTATTTGATATACAGGAAACATTGGTAGAGTATTATTTACTTGATGACGTCTCTAGCATAAATTACTACTCATAATCATTATCAATGTAATCACACAGCACTTTCGACATCTGATTTTTACAGTTATGTCATCTCATATGATTAGTAGTAAAATTTTTCATTACATGTGTTGGTTGTCAATCCGATGAATAAAGATTCAGTAATCACTCTCTCTCTCTCGCCACCCAATTACATTGGGCAGCGGTTTTATCCACTCTATCGTATGTGTGTGTGTTAATACATGCATTGTAATAGATTACTGATCTTATTGGGATCTATCACGTACTTGACCTTAGGTGGAATTTGATAGGTTAGATTGTTTTGCTTAATTGGCTCTATCGGATCCTTAAGCCAGCCGATAAAGCTTATGTCTGAGTGAGTTTGTAGGTTTAAATGCCACCATAACTAATTCCAGGTTTGTTGAGGATCCTACGTAAAGTTTCTGATGCTCCTTCCTTATACGGTAACAAAATGGAGGCTATGAACTCCTTTCTATTATTTGAAACAGAAAAAGCTGCATTTGCTATGCGCTAAATCTTCGTTATTTCATAACCTAATCGTTACATGACACAATATAATAAATTCACTTCATAATCTTTCGTTTACTGATAACTGGAACTTCAATCATAGCAGCATCGAATGGAAGCTTGAGAAAACTTTCCGGTTAAAACAACCTTTACTGTGAAAAACTAATATACAGTTTAAACGTTTACGCCTAAATAATCCAAATGCATTCAGAAACCTTGTGGACATTCGTCCGGTAGTTAATGAACCACTAGTGACGTCCACTACGGATGCCCACTGTCTTCATTCCTTACTCTGTCACAGATGCACTAATGAATATAACCTTATGTATGTCTGACTTCACATGGATTGACCTACTACATGGATTTCATCTGGTTGACGAGAAGTTTGTAGACGACATTGCTGATAAAATACAGGGCCTTCTGAATGCCTTCAGTAGAAATCTCTATGTGCTTTGGCATGCGCTTCATACCTCTCGAAAGGAAGGAAGATAATGTCCGCAACTGGTCTGCTACGAATACTACCAGTTCAATGATAGGAAATGAAGTGGTGAAACATGTTGACCACTTCATGTACTTGGGAAGTTACATCAACCCGAACGGGTTGGTTGCTGATTAAATCTCAGCTCGGATACAGAAGGGCCGTTTGGCATTTACTAACTTGTATCACCGGTAGCGCTGATTAGTGAGATAACCAACTATCGATAAAAGAACGAGTATGCTGCTCTGCAGTTCGTTCTGTCCTACTATACGGCTATGAGACATGGTCGTTAACAGTAGAAGACATGAAGCGGTTACAAAGTTTTGATCACAGGTATACGTTATCTTCAGTTTCTTTATTCTCTCATACAACTTTTTAATCCACCTATTCTTTGTATACTACTGTGAAGCGTGGCAACTTAAGCTGATGTATTAGTTTGTGAGATCCTCCTTCACTCTCATTTACAGAGTGAAACGAAATACTTCTGTAGAAGTACTGGTAATTCATCAATCCAAGTCTGATCACTGAGTGCAGAAAAAGTATATTGAATCTCTAATCTTACCACTGTCTTAACATTTTCATAACTTTTCGATTTCATCACAATTAGTTACTTTACTATATTCACCTTCATTAAGACTCGTGTTTCTTTCTTCACTTTCTTTATATCTATCAAGTGGACACTTGATCTTCGCATTTTTGACCTATCAATAATTTTCACACTATAGAAATCCCTGTCTAAAAGATTATTGCGTAACTCCTTTCCACTCTTGATTTCAGTCTTTAGCACTAGCTTAATGACACAACTATACCCTATTGTTTAATAATATACTGTTATATATATATATATATATATATATATATATATATATATATACGATTGCATGAGGATAAACATATTTGATACGATGGACACAACAAGTTCACCAGTTGAAGTCACCAGACTTCACAACACTATGCAAAAAAGACGGAGATAAAAAAAGGTAATGACAACAGAGAGGATAAATAGGTGAAGATTAGTAAAATGTTGATAACTATGAAGATAAGACAAATGTGCGCCATTCACAGATTTTCAACCATATCACCAAAAGTCTTCAATCATCGATTCCTATCGCTTCGATGACCCTTAAACTAGACAATTCACACCTCCCTGTAGGTTTTAGACCAACAGTCCTAGACTACCTGGCCTGGTACCCTGTTTTGTTCTGACTACCCTGAGCTTTCTTTCGACCCAATTCTACTTCAATTTATTGATACCATATGCATTATTATGAAGTTATACCCATGAAAATTTTTTGTATTGTGGAGAGAATCAATTCATTATGAATAAGTGTGAGTATGCTTCACATATTACACCAGCTGGACTGCTTGAATTATGTCAATACAATTAAGGAAACGATGTTTTTTTCTAACTCTTATACTTTCAGTGCGAAACTCTTAATCCAAGTTCTTGTTATCGTGAATTACAAATCTCAATTACATAATCTATTATTTGATAACGAAAGAAATACAAAGACAATTTTTTAAAAAGGTTAAACTATGACTGAATTATTATTATTTATCCCTTGGGTTCCTAGTGGGACATAAGGCTTCAGTAGCACGTCTCCATTTCACTCTCTTCTCTACAATCTTTTGAACCTGGCTCCACAACAGCTCACAAGCTCTCATTTCTTTCTCACACCATCTCCTCCATGTCATCCTCACCTCGGACGCCCAACTCGTCGTTTCCACTCGAGCGACTGGCGTGTGATATCCCCAAATGGTCTTCTTAGTGAATGCCCAATCCATCTCCACCTTCTTCTGCATATTTGTTGGGTAATAGGTTCTTGGTTGGTACGTTGCCAACCAGAGTTCCTTGTTGCTTGTTCTCATTATTCTGGCCATCTGATCTTCAGTAATGAGCCAGCGTAGGCAGTTGTTGATGAATATCAGTCAAACTATGACTGAATAGCATACTATATTTTTTCAAACAAATGAATGAATACTACTTAAAATAAGAAACAAGTATACACACCTGATTCCCTTCATCATTTAGTATAGATGATTGTACAGGATTATTTGATGTTAAGTTGTCATCGTTACACTTTGTTTGAATAGAATGAAGAATAGAATTATTGTGAACATTTATTTCACGACCAACTTTTTTCCTGATACACCTCCATGAGTGTTAATTCCTACACGACTTTTCGCTACTGCCATTTGTAGGATATCTGGAGCAGGAAGTGAATTTACAGCTACAGGACGAGACAAACCAGGATTTGCATCAACAGTCGTGTTGACTGAACTGTTTACATTACTTGCTGTGTTACTAGCAGGTGCAGAGGATAATAAGGCTTCAGCCATCATTTTATCCAAAGCTTCACAGAAAGCAACATCTTCAGGACAGTCAATATATCGTGGTTTTAAATCATCATTTTGATACTCTTCGTCTTCGTCTTTCTCTTCTATCTTCTCCTAAGAGCCAAAAAAAATGAATACATAGGTATTATTACAACAGGATGATACAAATTTCTACTTTAGTGACCACTACCTGTTAAATAATACAGCGACCGTGTAACTGAATAACAGTGTAGATACTCAAAAGGTCAGAGAAAGAAATCTGTTTCATTTCCTGTTGGTGAGGTTGTGAACCTTCATTGTATGAGGTGGCACCAGTTGATGAAGTCCCTAACTGTTGATCTGAGTCATGTGGCAACATTCAAAACGCCTAGAAGGGCTTCCCAAAACTAAAGAAATCAGTCGTTGACGACTCTTCATAACATACATGGTTACAAAGTCAATTACAATCGTTCACATCCATTCACTACACAACATCTTATAAAGCTTTAATATTTCCAATAACACATCTTCACATTGTTTATTCTCCCACACCACTTTATCTACTTTCGTATCATTCCCTTTCTTTACACATGTATTTCTATACTACTAAAAAGTTCGGCAACTTCACCCATGCACTTGTCTGCAACGTTCTACACTGATTCTCTGTCTGTCTTCTCATGAGTTTTATTGAAAAACTACTCACTCCACCTTCTCAATTCTTTTTATGGTCTGAAAATAAGTATAATTTCAACGATAACATAGATTTAACTACACATTGATAATATGTCTTCATGTAAAAGGTACATTTATACAAATCTTAAAGTGTTGATCAATTTTCACTCGGCGTCCTATTAAATGTTAATCAGGATTGAAATAAATCTCTAACATAAATGTTTTGTACACGCTATGATGCGAAATAAGCTGATACAATTCATATCAATCTCGTTTAGCAACTGAGTCAATCATATAACCGCCCTTTTATAGCTGGTAGGAGTAATATAACCATAACTGAAAGCAAATTCTGAGGGCCATTAAAATGCTTGTTACTATTATGAATAATTGAAAAAGAATTAGTGTAGCAACTAATCAGCTTAGAAATTTTGAAAACTGGTTTAATTACACCGAGTATTACAGTTGATGAATATTTTTTTTATTATTTATTACCAAATCGAAGCATGAACTGCTTACCATGCCATTCATCACTGTCGCCTCAATATCTTCTTGACTTAGACGATTATCTATACGACCACGATGACGGTTGCCATCTGATTCTACTGGATCAACAGGTTGACGATGTTGACGTCCACTATCTTCTTCATCACCTGGTTCTTCATCAACTTCATCTTCATCATCATCTTCATCATCATCATCATCATCCATAGCATAATCATCTTCATCTAACTGAAGGTCACCTAAAAGTGTTTAAAATAAATACTACTACGCGACTATCTCAATAATGGGTTAACTTTAGGTAGATGGTAAATAAAAATCAAGTCAAAATAAGGAGGAAATAATTAAACAATGTAGAATCTCGCAGAGAAATCCATGGGGTCTACTTGCCTCACTTTACAGTGGTACACTAAGAGTAGGCGGATAGAAAAAGAGTGATAAATTAGCGTAAAAGAATAAACAATCTGAAGATAATGGTTAGTGCAAATATTTCACATTTAGATGTCTAAGAGTGAATACACCTGCGTCATTGTGACCGACTTTTCAGTCATGTTGCCAGGAGTTCTAAACCACTCATTCCTCTCGTTTCGAGGACCACAATCCTCCCACATGACTTAGGCCAAAAGTAGGTGTCACGCGTTAGTCTGACTACACTGAACCCTCTTCAAACCTAATACAACTCCCCAAGGTATGATACCTCGCGAAGTGGGCAGTGGCTTAGCATGCGCTGCACATGTTTAAGCCATCTCACTAGACTAAGGTTCAAAACCTTATTGACTACCTCTCCTTGCGTGCTAAAATCCTTCAACTGACTTCACCACTGCTTTCACGGAGATTCCACTATACAAAGGGAACGCTGTAAAGACGCCTGTGATCAAAAATTTGTAGCCCCTTCATGTCTTCTACTTTTAACGGCCATGTCTCACAGCCGTATAGTAGGACAGAACGAACTGCAAAGCAGTATGGTCGTTCTTCGTTAGGAAGTCGGTTATCTCGACAGTCAGTACCACATGTGACTCAAGTTGGTAAATGCCAAACAGCCCTTCGCTATCCGAGCTGAGATTATGTCAGCAACCAACGTGTTTGCGATGATGCAACTCCCAAAGTCGTCGACACATTCCATCGATTCACTCCCAAACCTTAAAATTGGTAGTATTTCCGCAAACCATACGTGGAGCACCATCTTACATTTGACATGCATGCCAAATGTGGTCAGATAACGCTTTGGTGTTTGAAGCAGTGGGTACTGGGTCAAAGAGACGAAGAAACTGAATTGCTTTATTTTGCACTGCAACTAGATAATCCGAACAACAAAAACGTTTCTGTAAGTATTTTCACAGAATAACCTTACAGATGAATAATTCGTGTGCGAGTTTGTTACGCCTAATTAAGTTTTCTTATAGAACAGTGAGTTAAACCCGATACAATTTCTCTAAGTGAACCAATCAACGGGCTTTAAAAACCACATGAAACAATTTTTACACACAAGGATGATTAGGTTAAGTTTTGGGTTTATTCAGTTGTGCCGAAGTGAAACTGGATACTTGGTGATGAGATAAGATACACAGAATATGATCTATGATGAATCACACAGAAACTGAATAAAATTTCATTTCAATACAATGCCACTAAGAATGAAGTTTGAGTGATAAAATTTCTGAAGCAAGAATGCACTCGATATTAAGGCAAAGTAAACTTACCGTCTTGTTCACTTTCTTCAGCGATTGCATCCATTTGACCAGGACCGGTCGGTCGAAGTGATTTCTGAACATGATCATCATTTTCCACATTTGTCGATTCATTCATTAATCCATATGTAGCTTTAAGGCGTGCAAGACGAGGTAAACATCGGGCTTCTAAATGGCTGACAAGACGCTGAGCCTGTACAAAACTTTTTGCTCGACCAATATTTACGTGTAGTTGTTGTAAAGTTTCAAAATACTGCTGTTCAACTGCAACAGGAAAACGCATAGGAACAAATACAGGGGAAGGGGTTGAAGGATCCAAAGTCGAATTGGACGCATTTTCAACCGTCTGTTCCAAAGTACCAGAAACTGATGAATCCTCAGAATGATTGGAAAGAGGAACTTCGATAGACGATACAGTCTCACCATTCTGAAATTCACTTTTTATTTCTCGTTCAGTCGATTTAACTGGTTGTAACTCAGTATCGATTTTTGACTGTATCCATATTGGAAGAGACCTCTTGAACCAATAGTAACGCTGACAAGACAAAGTGTTTTGAAATGAAGTGTTAGCTAGGCGGAGCTAGTTGCCCCAGCAAGTTAGACAACTAAATAAAACCCTACAGAATACTTATGAATACTGAAAACTAATAAAGTTCAAAATTTTAATTCGAAAATCTGTCAAACTGAACAAATATGAAAGAAAATTCGAAAAACCACAAAATAATTACACCTGAGAACACTGTATAGAGTAAGCTGATATAAGAAAGAATCACAATAGCTTATTTGCAATAAGATATTTGTAGGTGACCAACAGAAATCTAACCGCTAAAGAAACTTCACAGCACAAACAAAATATTTAAAAAAAAATTACTTCTCGCTGGAATCGGAGAGGCGAAATGACACCGGTTGGTGAAAGCCTGACTTCGGAATACCAATTGGCAGAGCCGATGTGTCTTCCCTCCCTCGATGAAAGCAAAAGTAAACATGGAGACATGGAATGTCTGCACCATATTTGAACCTAGCTGGCAAGGCTGCCCAGATTGCAAACCAGATGAGAAGGTATAGCATTGCAGTGCTAGGAATCTCCGAAAGCAGATGGAATGGAAGTGGACTCTCCCAATTGTCAACTGGAGAGGAGTCAATAATCTACACCGATAAACTCACCCAGACGACAACCACGAGCACACTGAGTTTTCGAGTGGCTATCATGATGTCCCCTCCCAACAGCATCGAAGGCTCTCTCCCATGCAGTGGGAACCAATCTCATCCAGCATAACGATCATGACACAAAGGTTCAACTCAAAAGGAAGGAAGGTCACAATCATACAATGCTACTCCACGCACCTACAAATAATGCAGAGCAAGAGAAAAAGTAGGAATTCTACAGACAACTTCAATCAACATTGGACAAGACACCATTCAAGTTGGCGATATCAAAATCCATTCTAATGGGCGACATGAATGCCAAATTCCGAGCGGACAACACAACAAGAGAACTAACCATCGGTCGAGAAGCGCTCGGTCAGGTGATGAACGAGAATGGAGAATTGTTTGCAGAACTCTGTGCATTAAACCATTTGGTGATTGGAGGTAGTGTGTTCAAGCACAAGGATATCCACAAAGCGAGCGACATGGATTTCACAAGACACCAGGACACATTAAAAGTCAGATCGACTTCATCTCAATCTCAAGAACGTGGAGGCGCAGTCTACTTGGCACAAGATCAAGAAAAGGAGCAGATGTAGGTTCACACCACTCACTATCTAATGCCAGGAACCTGCCTTCCAAATCAAGTTGAAGCCTTCAAGGAAACTGGTGATAGACCATAGTTCAAGTACAACACTCAAAACAGAAACTGAAGGACGATACTATAAAGGAAATCTTCACGACAGCCAGCCATCAAGACAAAATGGGAGATATCGAGCAACATCCCAGAAGAAACCTGTGTGGAAGAACACCGGAACTCTTTGAAAGAGATGTGGAAAGAAACCTGCACAACCGTATTAAGAAGGAAGAAGAAAGAAGATAAAGAATGGATCTCGATGGACACATGGAAGCTGATAGAACAGGGAGAGGAGGATGGTGAAACAGAAGATAAACTAGTGCAGTGCAAGGATGCTCAACGACAAGAGGAACTTAGTACAATGTATAAAACACAACACTGGACAAAGAAGTGAAGAAGAGTGCATGCAAAGACAAAAGACACTTCCATGACACACTGGCAAGTGAAGCAGAACAGGATGCAGGTAGGAGAGTTAGAGACCTGACAACATTTTATCAAACCACCAAGTTATTATCTGGGAGGGAAGAGACCAACACAGATGAAACCAATAAAAGATGATGAAAGAAATCTAATTACGAAAGAAGAGAAACAAAGGGAACAATGGGTCGACCACTTCAAAAAGCTCTGGAATCGACCACCACCACCTGCACTTCGTCCAGAAATACCACCAGCAGGTCAGCCACAGAACTACAAATCAACATGAATCCTCCAACAAAAGTCGAAGTCCTGAGCGCCATAAAGCTACTCAAATGCGGCAAACCAGCAGGACCAGATGGAATCCCGTCAAAACCACTGAAAACAGATGCAGAGACAACAGCGGACATACTCGCACTACTATTGCAGAAGGTGTGGAAGAAAGGGAAGGTACCTGCCGGTTGACTGGAACGATGACTACCTTCTCAAACTACCATGAAGAGTGACAAAAGTCTTTACGAGAACTGGGGCGGAATCACACTCCTGTCCACCCAGAACAAGCAAAATATTAAGCCGCATCATCCCACAGAGGCTAAAGGATGCACCGCATTCAAAACTACGACCGAAACAGGCAGGCATCAGGAATACAAATCATATGCGGACCAAATTACAACGCGACACTACGCATCATCATAGAACAGAGTATAGAATGCCAGTCAACTCTCTACCTCAACCTCAACTTCATCGACTTTGAAAAGGCCTTTGACAGCCTCGACCGACAAGTAATTTGGCAGTTGCTTCAACACTACGGAATACCAAAAACCTTTATCAATCTCATTCAACAACTATGTGAAGACGCCACATGTCAAGTAATTCACAATGGGAAGCTCAGTGATGCTTTTGAAGTGAAGACAGAAAGGAGTGAGACAAGGCTGTCTACTATCACCCATGATATTCCTGATTGTGGTCGACTGGACTGGATGATGAAATAAACAGTGAGGAGCAAGAAGAGGGGATACGCTGGCTGGACCGATGAAAAGAGCCTAGAAGATTTGGATTTCGCCGATGACTTGTGTCTAATGTCACGCAAACTCGGAGATCTACAGCCAAACAACAACACCAACAACAACAAACTCCAATCACCATCAACGGGAGAAACTTAAAGGAAGTAGCCTCTTTCACCTATCTAGGAAGCACTGTTTCAACTACAGGCGGCACTGACGACGATGTCAAAGTCAGAATCGGAAAGGCAAGACAGGCGCTCATTAGCCTGAAACCAGTGTGGAGATTTTCTGCACTGCACTCAGCATAAAGTGTGAACGAGATCCGATTTTCAACACCAACCTCAGTCACGTCAGTGCTTCTGTATGGCTCAGAGACTTGGCGCGTCACGAAAGGCATTTCCAACAAACTACAGACATTCATCAACAACTGCCCCCTACGCTTGCTCGTTACTGAAGCTCAGATGGATTGCCAGAATAATGAGAATAAGCAACAAGGAACTCTGTTTGGCGACGAACCAACCAAGAAGTTATCGCTCAACAAATATGCAGAAGAGGAAAGTGGAGATGGATTGGGCATACACTGAGAAGGCCGACTGGGGACATCACGCGTCAGGCCGGTTGTCGAGTAGAACCCGATAGGAAGCGACGAGTTGGGCGTCGATGCCGAGGGTGACATGGAGGAGATGGTGTGAGGAAGAAATGAGAGTTTGTGGGCTGTTGTGGAGCCAGGTTCAAAAGATTTCAGAGAACAGAGTCATTGGAGACGTGCTACTGAAGCCCTATGTCCCGCTAGGAACTCAAGGGACCACTAATAAATAATAATAAAGACAGTTCTTGTAGTTCCAAAACTTTCAAGAAATTATTTTTAACGATATATACACCATGTGAGACCATCTTCCGATTGTTGAGATGAATGAAAAACTAGTAGTTGTTGGAGAGAAAATAACAATTGTCAGTGTAATCTCTACCTAGTTTTGTTTATAAACAACAGCTATTAAGCATGCGCCAATTACATATATTGTTTTAAATTATATACGTATAACTTATACACTTTATTTTTCAGTCTATCTTATTGTGCAAGTATAAACTTTGAGTTGGCTAAACTATTAGTAGCCAGTTAAGTCCATTGAAGCTTCCCTGAAGTGTAGAAGCCCTGGACTATTCGGCGTTGTCTTGAGATATTCGTTTACTTGATATGAAAGAAGGCTTGGCATAAGTCAGTGAACCGTTTACAGAAATGTCCACTTCGAGGTTAGATTTTGTTAGATAGGGAACAATGGTAAAGTTTATCATAAAACCATTACAAACAACAAAGTAAGTGAAGATATACTCCCAATTCTGAACAATCGAACGAAACGCACTTTGTCAACTTGTGCACATTTGTGCAGCAAATAAAAGCCACACCTATTGTATGTGAAGGCTAGTGGTATCACCTGGTTGTTCAAACACCGATAGGTTGGAAGAGATTTCAAATTGTGAGCGGATGGTTGATACTCAGCCACAGCTTCACACTCCTGAGTCCGAGTAACTATTATTTGTCCCTTGGGTTCCTAGTGGGACATAGGGCTTCAGTAGCACGTCTCCAATGAGCTCTGTTCTCTGAAATCTTTTGAACCTGGCTCCACAACAGCCCACAAACTCTCATTTCTTCCTCACACCATCTCCTCCATGTCACCCTCGGCATCGACGCCCAACTCGTCGCTTCCTATCGGGGTTCTACTCGACAACCCGGCCTGACGCATGATGTCCCCAGTCGGCCTTCTCAGTGTATGCCCAATCCATCTCCACTTTCCTCTTCTGCATATTTGTTGAGCGATAACTTCTTGGTTGGTTCGTCGCCAAACAGAGTTCCTTGTTGCTTATTCTCATTATTCTGGCAATCCATCTGAGCTTCAGTAACGAGCAAGCGTAGGGGGCAGTTGTTGATGAATGTCTGTAGTTTGTTGGAAATGCCTTTCGTAACGCGCCAAGTCTCTGAGCCATACAGAAGCACTGACGTGACTGAGGTTGGTGTTGAAAATCTGGATCTCGTTCACACTTTATGCTGAGTGCAGTGCAGAAAATCTCCACACTGGTTTCAGGCTAATGAGCGCCTGTCTTGCTTTTCCGATTCTGACTTTGACATCGTCGTCGGTGCCGCCTGTAGTTGAAACAGTGCTTCCTAGATAGGTGAAAGAGGCTACTTCCTTTAAGTTTCTCCCGTTGATGGTGATTGGAGTTTGTTGTTGTTGGTGTTGTTGTTTGGCTGTAGATCTCCGAGTTTGCGTGACATTAGACACAAGTCACCGGCGAAATCCAAATCTTCTAGGCTCTTTTCATCGGTCCAGCCAGCGTATCCCCTCTTCTTGCTCCTCACTGTTTATTTCATCATCCAGTCCAGTCGACCACAATCAGGAATATCATGGGTGATAGTAGACAGCCTTGTCTCACTCCTTTCTGTCTTCACTTCAAAAGCATCACTGAGCTTCCCATTGTGAATTACTTGACATGTGGCGTCTTCACATAGTTGTTGAATGAGATTGATAAAGGTTTTTGGTATTCCGTAGTGTTGAAGCCACTGCCAAATTACTTGTCGGTCGAGGCTGTCAAAGGCCTTTTCAAAGTCGATGAAGTTGAGGTTGAGGTAGAGAGTTGACTGGCATTCTATACTCTGTTCTATGATGATGCGTAGTGTCGCGTTGTAATTTGGTCCTCACATTCTGAATAGGAAAAGATTGAATTTGGGCAAATATTGAAGATATTTGAGTGTTACCTGTGAATTGGAAAATTCGATTCCCTTCTTTTAGGGGTATGAGAAGCTTTCTGATAATATATGGATAATTAGGCTAAGTATGACTACATTAATAATTTTGATTTCGAAGGAATTGAAATGAAATAAACTCATCAACCATATACACTTTCGTGTAATAGTGAATAAATTACACTTAACGTGGTAGGGCTAGTGATCTTAACTGGTTACTTGAACGTTGATAGATGGAACGGATTTCAGACCAATCATTGGACTGGTTCAAAGTTAAATCTCTAAACAAATCAGTCACAATTTTCAATATACTTTTAAATATATGTCAACTTAAAATTGTTCATTAGTACAGAACAAACTTTTAAGATAATTAACTTACTTGGAAATAGATTAAAAATATATTCAACTTTCGTTTCTTTTTCCCTCGATCAAAAAACTACCAGAAGTTTCAAGTAATGTACAGATTAATATAATTCGGAATAATGAATCCGGTGGATCAATAATGCTTGGGAAATCAACTAAAAGATAAAAGTGAAAATATAAAAACTTGTACTGTTCTACTCAAAAAACAACAACACATATCTACTGTTTTAATAGGGTGTCATCATACAAAATATTTTAAACCTTATGGCTATATATATATATATATATATATATATATATATATATATGAATCTGAGATGAATGGGGATTTTTAATTTAGAAGTAGTATTCATCATGGACTGACATCAGTTGGTGAACCATTGAAAACCTGGGAGCACTGGACAGCTGTTTCATCCTAGTATGGGACTCCTCAGCAGTACGCTCCCACGACCTGGCTAGGGATCAAACTCAGGACCTTCAGGTTTCACGGAGAACGCGTAAACCATCCAGACACTGGGTCGGTTTCCAGTGGTCCACAATATCCAACTTCTGTCAATTCACAACATAGCGCGACTCTCACCCAAGGTCTTCAGTTGGCATCCACTTCACTTCCGACTGGTTGATCTCACAGGTTACGGCTTCTCATTAAAGCTTCCTGATATCTATATGGAAACCGACCCAGTGGCTGAATGGTTTACGCGTTCTCCGTGAAACCTGAAGGTCCTGAGTTTGATTCCTAGCCAGGTCGTGGGAGTGTACTGCTGAGGAGTCCCATACTAGGATGAAACAGCTGTCCAGTGCTCCCAGGTTTTCAATGGTTCCCCAACTGATGTCAGTCCATGATGAATACTACTTCTAAATTAAAAATCCCCATTCATCTCAAAAATACATTAATAAACAATCATAAAGTTTATTATTGTATACTCTTTCCATCTTAACCACTAGTCCATCTATCTTAATATATCAGATAATGGACTTTACTTAAATATAAGACATTCTTCTCTGCAAAACTGCAGATCAACTTCTCTAATCAACAACTCATTCCGGAGTGCGTTAACGACAAGTACCACTTTGGGCCACCTCGACGTGTGTCTACAAATTTACTTGCTCCTATGGACCTAGTTATATAGGTCGCACAAAGTGCACACTTTCCAAACGTATCTCTGAGCACTATCCTGCCTGCATGGTTGTCGAGGGGAGAATGTAAATCAATTAACAGTTGAATTCATGAACATTTGGTCAACTCAGGACTTAAAGCTAGACCAGCCAGAATCTTCCTTCAATGTCATTTATCGTGTCAGATGGAATAGTTGAAAAGGAGTACGCCTTCGACAGTTGTGCATAGCGGAGGCACTGGCAATTCATTAATTCAAGCCTGATCTCTGTGTGCAAAAGAAACAACTATCTTAAATATATATTATTGAAATTAAGAACTTACGACTTAAGCTCCCACCGAATGTGAGAAGGGAATACAATGTTTTAAAAATCACCGGTGAATCAACTAAACAATAGTTGTATAACAATCCAAGGTATTTGACCATTACAATTCGACGTTGATTCAAATGTGGAAGATTTAACTGCATAACAAATCAGTGATAAAAAAAGAAACAATTAACACCTATCGAGAAAGTGAAGAAGGATTCAATCATATTTCATGACAAGATATATAATAAGTGTACGCCAGCTTTCGTGAATCCATATTTCAAAACTTTCCGACTGAATTCATACTCATCTACTGTTTACTCTCCCTATTATCTGAAGGAAACTAGAAGAAGGAGTAGAAATGTTATTTTGGTACTCAGTATTCCTTTTTTACGAAAACTTTAATTATCAACAGAGATTATCAATCATATGAAAACAGTGGCGTGTTTTAGAGTTACTTAATCACTATATGTTGTTAGTAAACTTCAGCAGTACTATTCATCAAAACACTAGTTTGAGCAGTAATTGAAAGTAGGAAATGTGTCGTCTTGGATAGATTAAACATTTCTCTAGTTCTCCGTGTTTCATAAATGCTATTTTGACAGATTTGTATTGTTTTGCCTCTTCAATGAGGATCATATCCTAACATTCATTACAGTAGCTTGTAGAATGAATATCATTTCTTCTTAACAACCTGTAATAATTAATGTATTTATTGAAATGAACAGAAAATACTCAAGGTCGAATAAACCAGTTTCCTTTAGAAATTACTGGTCTAGACTAAAGATGGTGATAGTTAGCTTGAAATGTTACAATTTAGTGTTCTCAATGGAAATTTCTTTATTTACCATAATTATGAAGATGGGAAAGATTTTATTTAGATAAAAAACTAAAATTATAGAAAAGAAAGATTATTCCATTCTGTATATTTCCATCCAAATGTAATCATCATCATTATCAACATAAGACCAGGCATTACTGCATAACGGTTCGAGTTGTCACACCTCATATCACTACATCAAGTTAAATCGCAGTGAACTGCAAGATAAAGATAGGAAAATTCAATTAAAAGAAATATTAAGTACAAAAAGAGAAAAAGGAACAATGACAAAATGGTGGGATTCCGAATAGCGTCGTTAAGATGATGATACTGTGTGTACATCTGCGCCACTGATATCGGTTCTCAGCTATATCACCTACAATATCCAACCACTGCTTCCTCTTGTCCCACGGACCCCAATCACCCACTCTGCATCACCCCCACCACATGACTCAAACCAACAGTCAGACACTTCACACATTGATGCCATGTTTCAGTCTGGACACCTCACCTCGAGCTTTTTTACAGCCTGGACATACTTCACCCAACATTGTGTGATGAGGCAATCGGTGGACTAGGCATACGTAATACGTGTCCCAACCATCCCAGTCGATGAAAGTTCATAACCTCGTCAACTGATTTACCTCTACTCCCTAAAACTCCACACCTGACTTGTGCATCACTCACGTGGTGACATCACGGAATACGGCCTATACTACGAAGGCGACGGTGGTCAAACACTTGAAGTCTTCTCATGTCTTCCATCTTCAATGCCCATGTTTCACATGTATAAAGAAGTATCCTTTGCTAGGTCTGACATTATCCACGTGTTGATTCCACCATACGTGAGTAGTCCTACGAAGATAAACATGGTCAAAACCTTGTAGTCTCTTCATATCTATTTTCAGCAGTTATGCAGAGGGAGACCTCCATAAAAATATCTATGCTAAAATTGAATAAGAATAGAGATACTGCGCAGCCTTGACTGACACCGCTCGACGACTACAGCTTCCCGGACATCTCACCATAGGCTTTAACACGCCTACGAGTGTTCGAGTAGAGAGCCTCCAATAAGGTGATGTACTCAGGACAATCAATCAAAATGAACATGGAGACAACAACAAGTCCTTGGTAGAAACAATCAACTACATGGAATCTCATCAAGACAAGCCACTTAATAAATTGTGCGGGAAAACCTAATTGCTCACCTCTTCCCGAAGTTTTCACTGATGTTGTCTAGAATGATAACGAAAGCTTCCTGATTGAACAATTCAGCTCAGAGAACACAAAGCCATCAAAATTATCCTACTGAGCTATAAATATTCTCTTTTATTCATCAACTGATAATCATTTTCCTACCGTATTTACACAAAGCGCAAAATAATCTACTCATCAAATGTCCAATGAAGCATAACAGATTTATACTAACTAGAGAAATAAAGGAAATACTTTCCCTGAATATACCATGATAAAGACTATAGTAGAGTAGACTAGACTAGTAGACTATAGTAGAGTAGTGGGATAGTCAGAGCAGGTATTTGGATTGCTGCTCTAACAGGCTCTAAGTTTGATTATTAGTTTGGTATTTTGACGCCAGTAACACACAGGTAAAGCTGCACTGTGTCAAGGTTACATTCCAGTACTAATAAGTAATCATGAAAGTAAACCTGTGGTAACTTATCTTGTTAATTTATACAGCACTGTGGCATAAGCTTAAAATGTAAGCGAATCTCAGCGATAAAAACACTACTAAACTATACTATTTTGCTAGGAAATATTGATCAACAGATATCTCTCATCTCAAATATCAAAATTATGACTTGTTTATTGATTTTATAATAGGAACACCATTGAACTTACCTCCATTCCTATCCGAATATCTTCAATGACGTTGTCTACAACATTTGTAGCAAAGTCTGGATGATAGACAGCTAGTCCAGATAAGACACTAGCTAGACAATTGATATTAGTAAAACGGATATCCCATGCTCTAGTAAAAAGTGTACATGTGTACTCGACAAGCTATAGAAGACAAAATAATTTACAATGAATCAGATCAACAAGATGATGAGAATCACACATTGTATTATGCATTAGGTATTGCTTTATTTCTGATGAGAACAAAAATATGTTTCACTGAGATGATTGAATCGAAAGTCTTAGTGAATACAACACAAAAGGTTATTATTATTATTATTATTATTATTATTATTATTATTATTATAGTAATGATAGATAGCGGCTAGCAGTCGAGTCCAGGATGCGCATTTCGTACTATTTGGGACTCGTCAGCTGGATGTATCTGCCTTCCAGTAAATGATATTGTAATACAAGCAATAACACTAATACTGAAACTATAGCCGTCGCATAAGAAGTGGCTATTGTGGCTCGGTGGTGTAATGGATGACGCTCTGGCATTTGAAGCGAACGTTCCCAAGTCGGAATCCTGATGGGAACATCATTCACTGGGAGGCAGGTAAATCCAGCTGACGAGTCCCAAATAGGACGAAATACGCATCCTGAATTCCACTGCTAGCCACCATTTATCATTACTATAATTAGAAAACAGGTAATATCGAGGGATTCGCACAGGAGCCAAAATACGCCAATAGAGGCAGATCAATTCGGTATAATCAACGACGGTATAATACAAGCAATAATACTATTACTAGTATCAGTATTACTATCAGAACACAAGCATGGTACACCCATGGTACCAAGAAATGTGCTACACAACATAATAATAACAACATTACGAAGAGATAGAGCGATGGGACGTGGATAAATAAAAAGGAGAAACACAGTAAGAATAGAATGATTTGAAGGACAGTCCAGTAAGATACATCAAAACAAAAATTCATTACAATTCAGCAGCAGAAGATAGAAGGAAGCTACAGCATGACCTACAATGGTTTCCATTCTCAGCCATATCTGATAACGTCTCAAGCCACTGAGTTGTGTAATCTCTCGGACAGCACCCATAGAGTTGTGATGTACCAACAGATGCTAACTCGATACGAATTTCCTTCATCCCACGGCGCTACGTCATACGTTGACCACCCCTCCGCTTCTTCCATCTAGTCCTAGGACTAGCAAACAATGAACCGTATGGAAGACTTAGGGACGGCAAGTGTAATACATGTCCAAACCACTGAAGATGATGTTCCCAGACAACTTCATTTATTCAATAACGATCTCTATAATGCTTAAATATCTGCTGTCGTACGTCGGAATTAGTTACACGATGTTGTAACCGGATACGAGTAATCCTATGGAGACGATTTTGATCAAACACACAGTCGCTGCACATCCTCAGCTAGGAGAGGCAAGGCGTACAGCAGAACTGTTCGCAGAGAAGCGTTGTAAACCCAACCTTTTACTGTCACATTAACGTCGAGATGGCGCAAAACGTGGCCCAGATTGACCACTCTGGCCTTCACTTTGCGGTTGGAAATTTCACCAGTCACAATCGCTCACGCAACTACCCAGATACACGAACCACTTCCAACGGCTCACCAGCAAAGACGAGCGCAGACATACGCTCCCGCCGATGTTACAAGAGTACTTCGCACTTTAGTGGTGCAAAGCAAATACCATACTTACGGACAGGAAACAGCTCGAAACAATGCGAAAATATAAGTGAACGATTTTAATGATACATAAGAACAAAATCCTATAGTTTCGTGAAGTAGACTGAGATATGAACGTCAATGCGTTAGGCCATTTGACACTATGGATACCTTTAGACAGAAAAAAAAGTACTTTAGTTTCATGTTTCAATGCACTGGAATCAAGTATCTACATCACTAACGAACTTAGCGTAATCAATAAGAAACCTGAGATGTCGCAGACATTTATAAAAGATTGCTTGATGCAATAATAATTCTAAGAGAAAATGGTGATATAAGAGAAACGTTTCTCACACAAAACTTGAAATCTTGGTGCAAACTCCAACCTTTAAGTGTCTTACACAAGGAAAGCGAATAACGAAGGCGATATAATATCTATATCTATATAATAATGGTTTACCTATAAAGAAAGTGAATGGAAAAACAGCATGATTTGCGTGAAAATTGTTACTATGATAACCCAATGACGGGTTTCCGACGAAGATTGTCTAACATGCACTAGTAGCATCATGCAGTGTTTTACCAGACAGATGCTTTCCTTAAAACCTTATAAACTATAGTCACCCACCTTACCTTACCTTAAAAACAACAGTAAACGGTTGCCACGATAGTGCGTTTAACCTCGCCTGGTTAACTAGTACACTAGTTACTAGCCGGTCCTAAGACCGAATAAAGACGGAAGGTAGGGCATAGGGGTAGCAACCCTACCCAGTAAAACCAGTCCAACCGATACAGAAACTTCACAGCACAGACAAAATATCAAACATAAAAACAAACTTGTTCGTCGCTGGAATCGGGGAGACGAAATGACACCGGTTGGTGAAGGCCTGACTTCGGAAAGCCAATTGGCCAGGTCGATGTGTCTTCCCTCCCTCGATGAAACCGAGAGTAAACATGGAGACATGGAATGTCTGCACCATGTTTGAACTTAGCTGGCAAGACTGCCCAGATTGCAAACCAGATGAGAAGGTATAGCATTGCAGTGCTACGAATCTCCGAAAGCAGATGGGATGGAAGTGGACTCTCCAAAATGTCAACTAGAGAGGAGTCAATAATCTGCACCGATAAACTCACCCAGACGACAACCACGAGCACACTGAGTTTTCGAGTGGCTATCATGATGTCCCCTCCCAACAGCATCGAAGGCTCTCTCCCATGCAGTGGGAACCAATCTCCTCCACTATCAGGATCGTGAAAGCAAGATGGATTCAACTTAAAAGGAAGGAAGGTCACAATCATACAATGCTACGCACCTACAAATAATGCAGATCAAGAGAAAAAGGAGGAATGCTATATGGTTCAGAGACTTGGAGCGTTACGAAAGGCATTTCCAACAAACTACAGACATTCATCAACAACTGCCCCCTACGCTTGCGCGTTACTGAAGCTCAGATGGATTGCCAGAATAATGAGAATAAGCAACAAGGAACTCTGGTTGGCGACGAACCAACCAAGAACCTATCACTCAACAAATATGCATGGGAAGGAAATGGAGATGGATTGGGCATGCACAGAGAAGACCGTTTGGGGAGATCACGCGCCAGACCAGGTCGTTGAGTGGAACCCGAATGTGAAACGGCGAGTTGAGCGTCGGAGGGTAACATGGAGGAGATGGTGTGAAGAAGAAATGAGAGCTTGTAGGCAGTCGTGGAGCCAGGTCGAGAAGACTGCAGAGAACAGAGTGGAATGGAGACGTGCTACTGAAGCCCTATGTTTCACTAGGAACCCAAGGAACAAATAATAATCATAATACGATAGTGCGTTAATCACAGAATGCATTGTTAAAGTCACAACTATGAAATACAGTGTCGAACAGTTATTTATTTATACATTCTATACATCGAAAATACACTTACATTAAGTTGAAGTGAAATAATGAAATCTACCTCAGCAGCAGATTGCACACTCGTGTGATGCGCAATGAACTAGTGATACTATCTAGTTGCTCAATACTGGGAGGGTAAAGTGATGCTCACACTCACGACCCACTTGTCAAAAGTAAGCTACCTAAATCAATGAGCTAGGTGACTCCAATTTTATGGTTAGAAAGTGAAGTGGTAGAATATATCGACGAGTATAACGTGCTGTAGTTCGTTACGTTCCGTTATATGGCTGAGACATGGCCGTTAAAAGTAGAAGCGATGAAGCAGTCACAGGGTTCTGATCATAGGTGTCTTCAAAGCACAGTTCGCTATCGGTGGAATCGCCACGTAATCAATGTTGACGTCAGGCGAAGGATTCAAGCGAAGGAAGGCATATCAGTTAGTGAGGTTGTAGACCTTCATTGACTGAAGTGGTTTGGATATGTACTGCATATGCCGAAGAACAGCCTAACTCGATTAAATTGAAAGAAAGCTAAGAATGGCCAAACCAAAACATGGCACCAGTTCATGAAGTTGTCTCCAGCTGGTGATGTAGCCATGTAGGGAGGTGCAGATTGGGTAACTGGGGTCCCTAAGACGATAGGAATCAGTGGTTGAGAAATCTTAGATATTAGTCTTTCCTACTCAATTGTTTTGTTGTATACTGCTGTAAAGTGTGACAACTTTGATTTCGTCTATCCGTCTCTGAGCTAAGTGAAACCCATCATGGATATATGATAAAAAAGTTAATTCATTATCGATTATAATGATACACTTAGTGATATTCGTTTGTCTATTAAGGGTCACGTGTACTGCACAGTAGTCCGCTCTGTTCTACTGTATGGCTGTGAAACATGGCCATAGAAGGTGGAGGATATAAAAAGACTTCAGGTGTTTGACCACCGTTGCCTTCGTAGTATAGGACGTATTCCGTGGTGTCACCATGTGAGTAATGCAGAAGTTAGGTGTAGAGTTTTGGGGAGAAGAGGTAAGTCAGTTGACGAGGTTGTGAACCTTCATCGACTGAGATGGTTGGGACACGTACTACGTATGCCTAGTCACCGATTGCCTCGTCACACAATGTTGGCTGAGGTGGGTTTAGGCTGAAAAAGGCCCGAGGTGGCCAGACTAAAACATGGCACCAATGTATGAAGTCTCTGACTGTTGGTTTAAGCCATGTAGGACGATGCAGACTAGGTGGTTGGGGTCCACGGGACAAGAGGAACAAGTGGTTGGAGACCCTAGGTGATATGGCTCGGAACCGAAGTCAGTGTCGCAGATGTATACACACATTATCCTCATCTTAACAACGCTATACCGAATCTCACCATTTTGTCACACCTCTTTCCTTTCTTCTCGTACTTTATATTTCTTTTGACTGCATTCACTTGTCTTTATCCTTCACCTCACTACCTTTTTACTGGATGTGCTGATATGAGGTGTGGCAACTCGGACCGTTACGCAGTAATGCATGGTCCTATGTTGATAATGAAAACCTAACAGGTGAAAAGCTAACGTGAAGTAAGGAAAGTATTATCATGAGACTATACTATTGCAATTCACTTTGAGTACCTACCTAATCTGCGTACTATAGTAAGTGAATTCGATAATCAATCTATATCACTCACGGACTTAGTTTAAAAAGACAAATTTAAATGTTAAACCACCTCTTCACTTTAATATAAATAATTACACAAGATATTTTGTGTACGGAATAGTGTAATCTAAGCAGTTAATTAGTTGTAGTATCGAAACCACTACTCAGTATCGACCATGAAATGAGTAGAAAGAAACAAATAAACTAGTTTACACCTAATTCTGGCCGAGAGATACAAAAAGTGTATACTGGATTGTCAATGTCAATGTTTAACCACTCCAGCATAACTCTATCAAACATTCAGTTACAGATTTTGTCTTTGGGACCAAAGTTTTTTTGTGCTTTATCTAAAGCCAGAGAACTTGACACAAAAGAGCAATTTGAAAATCTTATCAGCCAGACTAGAGACTTAATCCCGACGTCCACCGAAAGCTTCGAACGTTTTAAATCCATATTATTACATTGCTGCTATCAATATTTGAAAACACCATGCCGACAACGAGGTATTGTTTCCAAAGAGCACAAAGCACAATTGAAAAAACTACAAAACAACAAAGATATTATATTTGTACGCCCAGACAAAGGATCAGGTATTGTGGTTTTGGATCGGTTGGATTATATTGCCTAATTCTCAGCGATGACAATAAACTTCTAAAATCCAGAGATCAGAAGGATAGAACAGAAGATGTTGAAAATCAAATATCGAAAATCTCCAGAAAATTGAGAGAAGAATCTTTAATTACCCAAGATATGTATGAGTAGCTTAGACCATCTGGTTCAAACATGCCCCGTTTATATGGTCTGCCCAAGGTACATAAAGATGGTCTTCCACTTCGTCCAGTACTGGATATGCTTAATTCACCTTATCAATCATTAGCAAAGTGGCTTGCAAAAATGCTTGAACCGGTGAGATTAAATCTATGCAAGTATAGTCTTCCCGACACATTCGGTCTTGTTCACTGCATCGGAGATATCAACGTCATTACGTTGAGAAGCGTATGATATCGGTTGATGTTTGTTCTTTATTTACCAATGTTCCACTTGTTGAAACCGTTTGTTATCTATGTGATTACATTGATTCTAATAATATTAAGATTGGATTACCTACGAGCCACCTAAAAGAACTAATACTAAGATGTACGTTTAATGTACAGTTTAGATTCAATGATATAATTTATAATCAGACGGACGGCGTTGCAATGGGGTCTCCACTAGGCTGATATCTTTATGGCAAGGCTTGAAAACGGGCCCCTTAAAGAAATAATTTCGGAACTTTATTTGTATAAAAGGTACATGGACGACACACGGCACGAAACTTGTTCAGTGGACGAGCTGTTAAGACGCTTCAATGATTGTCACCCGTCCATTAAATTCACTGTAGAAGAAAAGTTAAACTCATCGTTCCACTTTCTAGACGTAAGGTTAAAGAGAAGGGATGATGGCTCCATACAAAGGTCAGTCTATCGAAAACCAACTTGGAATGGTCAGTTCACTAACTTTTATAGTTGGATACCTCTTGGTTGTAAGAGAAATCTCATTCACTCACTCTGTTGTGGAATCTATGGGATATGTTCAGTAGATACGGTGGATGCTGAAATCGAGACTCTTAGAATAATACTATCTAATAACGGATACCCTAAGAGGTTTATTGATAAGAATCTGAAGACACGAACCACTCCCCATCCCATTACAGTCCCTAAGAAAATTTTAACCATGAATCTAGAATTCAAAGGAGACACCACAGCGGAAGTGTTGAAAAATCGTCTGTCAAGATGTATCAATAGTAGTTTCTATGCTGCTAGATTGAGATTGATATTCTCCAGCCGCCGTCTGATTCGTCAATGCGTGAAGGATAGGCTTCCACTTATGTCCACTTCTATGTGTATCTACAAGTTCACATGCACCTGTGGAGCTGACTATATTGGACGTTGTAAGCGGGCCCTCCAAAAACGTGTTGCTGAACTCTACCCGGTTTGGCTTACCAGAGGCGAGCATAGGAAAACGACTTCATCCATATGTGAACACCTTGTTGAATGTGGACACTCAGCACCTCGAGATTCATCCTTCAAAATAATTTACAAAGTTAAGTTGAACTACTCCAAAGGTTTACGCTTCCACCACTTATGCATAGCTGGAGCATTAGCTATACATGAACAAAAACCGAAACTTTGCATTCAAAAATGTTTTGTGAAACCACTTTCTCTACCTTGGCCTTAACAATTCATTTCGTTGATTTTGTCAACTTCAGTTCACTTCACTTTGGTATACTTCTCCTCTATTATCACCATTATCACCAATTATCACTTCATTGACAACACTTGAACCATATTTCACTTTTTAATATCAATTTATTCCTAATCATTGACCTATTGTACACGTTTCAGCTTAATTATCACCGTTTTACAATTCTTTGACAGCACTTGTAGCTTATCTCACCACTTGTTATCAATTCGTTCCTCTTTATTCAGTGACCCATTTTCTATTTCTTCCACTTGAATAAACACCGCCACCTCTATGGATTGTATATTTTGCATATTGACTGAGCAACTCACATATCAGTGCAATTCCCTGTCATTTTACCGAGTATAAATACGACTGTACAACTTGATGATGAAGTCGTTGAAAAGAAATATTTCTTCGCTGATACATGCTTTGTTCTTGTTAATGAATAAATGGCTGTATTTCGTCAATGGTTTATATAACCAAATATAATACTGAATATAGTCAATATTATATCCAAAACTGTTGTAAAAATAATGATGATCTTCAGTTCCGTAAGAATATATATATATATATATATATATATATATATATATATATATATATATATATATATATATATATATATATATGAGATAATTCAATGAAGAAAATCTTCTTTCTTCGACAATATCATTTTCTAAAGCTGTACAATCGTATTTATATATATCATAAACATATAACAGTCCATTATAAAACAATAGGGTATAATTACATCGTCAACCAAGTGCTACGAAAAACCAAATGAAGATTGCAAAGTAGTTGCCTAATAATCTAAGACAGTAGAAATATCGAGGAAGGCAAGGAGTTTGATAAGGTGAAAATTGTTGGTAGATAAGAAAGCCAAATATTGAGTGTCCACTTGATAGATAGATGTAAAGAAGAAGAAGAATGAGACAGGGGTCATAATGAAGGTGATAATAATAAACTAATTAATTATAATAAAATTGACAACGAATTGTGAGTGTTAAGACCATGAGAGATTGAACATACTTCTTTTGCATATAGAGATCAGGCTTGAATTAATGAATTGCCAGTGCCTCCGCTATGCACAACTGTCGAAGGCGTACTCCTTTTCAACTATTCCATCTGACACGATAAATGACATTGAAGGAAGATTCTGGCTGGTCTAGCTTTATGTCCTGAGTTGACCAAATGTCATGAATTCAACTGTTAATTGATTTACATTCTCCCCTCGACAACCATGCAGGCAGGATAGTGCTCAGAGATACGTTTGGAAAGTGTGCGCTTTGTGCGACTTATATAACTAGTTCCACAGGAGCAAGTAAATTTGTAGACACACATCGAGGTGGCCCAAAGTGGTTACTTGTCGTTAACGCACTCCGGAATGAGTTGTTGACTAGAGAAGCTGATCTGCAGTTTTGCAGAGAAGAATATCTTCTTCAGTGATCTGGAGAGCCGATTCTTCAGGATCTCTGCTTCCATATCGCCTTTGAAAACAACGTTCATAAACAAGGTCTTCTTAGGAACTGTAAGTACTAGCTCCGTATTCTGATTTACTTTCAAGTTCTTATCGATGAATCTGGATGGATATCCATTTTGCATGAGAATCTTCCGTAGTTTATCTAATTCTTCGTCAATAGTATCACTGGTGCAGATTCTTTTGATTCTTGAAGATAAAGAATGGACTAGATTCCTCTTTCTGCTGAGAGGCATCCAGCTGTGGAAATTCAAATATTGTCCATTCCAAGTAGGCTTCCTATAAATTGATCGCTGAAGAAAACCATCTGGTCTCCGTTTCAATAAAACATCAAGAAAATGGAATTCCGAGTTCTCTTCAAATTCTGTTGTGAAGCTGATCGATGGGTGACAATCATTGAACGTTTTAACTACAGCCTCAATATCTGTATTTTGATCGATTATGATGAATGTGTCATCCATATATATTTTATATAGGTAGAAACTATCAATTGATCAATGCAGCACACCATTCCCTAGCTTCGCCATAAAGCAGTCAGCCAGCAACGGTCCAAGTGGCGACCCCATAGCAACCCCATCCTTTTGTCTGTATAGATCATTGTTGAATTTGAACTGCACATTGAAAATACATCTTCTTTACATCTATCTATCAAGTGGACACTCAATATTTGGCTTTCTTATCTACCAACAATCTTCACCTTGTCAAACTCCTCGCCTTTCTCGATATTTCTACTAATGTCTAACAGATTACTACGCAACTACTTTGCATTCTTGATTTGGTTTTTTTGTAGCACTTGGTTAATGATGTAATTATACCCTATTGTTTTATAATGGACTGTTATATGTTTATGATATATATAAATACGATTGTACAGCTTTAGAAAATGATATTGTCGAAGAAAGAAGATTTTCTTCACTGAATTATCTCTTCTCTATGACTCAGTAGGCATGATTAGTATATCTTCAGAATGAGTTTCAAAAGATACACCAATTTATGGAAATAAGAAAGAAACAAGATATTATGGAAAGGATGCATCTATAAAATAAAAAGTATAGACATACTTCTTGATCTTCCCAGTCCATTTTTCGAATTAAACGTAGAACAGAGTTGACAGTTGTTCGATCCAATGTTGTCAGTAAAGTATGACGTATAAACATCATTTGAGGTGTTAGTTTTATCGGTTCAACAATCTAAAATAATGAAGAGAAGAGAAGGTAAAAATTTACAGACAAGGTTAACAAAAGAACTTATTATGCAGCTAAGCTAGTACTTCTGAGGACTACCGCGCAGGTATTTCAGCAATCAGGAAAAGACATAACTCTAATCCTCTATACAACTAACTGTATATACCAATTTGAATGTGCTTGTGGAAGCGAGTACATAGGTCGTACGGAAAGGCATCTGTTTACTCGCATGGTTGAGCATTTAACTAAATGGTTGAGGTAGGCCAAGTCAAAAATCCCGCGGAGATCGATTACGAAGCACCTAATGAATTATCGACATGATGTTGACACCATTAAAGCCTTCTCGGTTATCAGAAGACAGGGGAATAAGAAAATGCTTGAAATTATGGGTACATGTGCGATTAGTGTTCGTAAATCAAGCCTATATGTGCAAAAAGAGATGGCAGTCACCTCGAATCTACCATGATAAAGGCGTCGATGTATTTTGAACTTATTTTTATTTTTATCAATGTCTTGTTTTTCTATTTTATTTCTTTTTGTACTTCGCATGTTTACGTCTTCACTAACATTCTGCTGTACTATTATGTCCTCTTGAACTTTTTCGCACAGTAATCAAATGACTTATCTCCATCGTTATTATCATTGTTATTGTCCTTTACTATTACTCTAGACTCCTTTAGTTTTACACTGTTATCAAGCTTCCAAATTGACATTCATTTACCTTGTTTCAAAATGACGTAATTTTTAATCTTTTCAATATCCATATTCTCATTATATCATTCACTCATATTATTAGTACTATGATCAATATCGTTGTTAACCTAACACCTATATTCTCGTAGTGAGCATCTTTATCAAGCTATCTAGTTGACTACTAATTGTTTTATTTGAAATGATGTAATTCATCCCTAGCCTTTTTATTTTTCATTATCAATTCATTACCTTCTCGTAACCAAATCTTAGCTGTGTTTAACATAAGTAAATGATTCACTACATGTTGCTATGTCTCAGACAATGTTGCACAACAGTGTATAAAATCATGTATGTGGAGTAAAAAGTTGACAAGTCCTACTGAAATCTATCAATTCAATAAATCCTGCTTTAATTACGTTTGTTGTTTGTTTTAAAAATTTATAATCGTAAAAACTTTACACAGATGCACACACACAGTACGCCTCATGGAAATATTTAATTAATATATTGGATTTATTCTTACATGAAAGTGAAGTGGCACAAATGAACCTGATTATACAGATAGCATAATGCCATATGCGTAGTATGTGCCTTATCATTACAAGTTGTTATGCTTTTCACAATGTCTAAGCAACTTTCAACACATTTCTAACGAATTCTATCAGCGTTTCGTTGAAATTACATCTACCACTCATCTTATCAAAGATGATGATTTTGATAAACTGTAATCCAAAGTCATGACTATGTATCATCTATTGTATGTACCTACAAATTCTCATAAATGAAACCTGTATCCTATTGAATACATGAGTTTCGATAACATTTCACTTCATAACATCTCAATCCACATAAACAGAAAGTCTTAAAACTCTAAGATAGAACCATCAGAAAATAGTCAAAGGGCTTGACAGTCGGAAAAAGCCAAGAAACCAATCATTTTTCGAAACAGGAAACTGGTGTGGTGGTAGTTTGGTAATAATAATAATAATAATAATAATAATAATAATAATAATAATAATAATAATAATAATAATAAATGAAACCAAACGTATTCGAAGAATTGAATTATTTCAACATGTAGCACTTTTAAGAATGTATTGAGGACGATAACGTTAATGATCCTATTATAGAAAGTCTACCGCATAAAGACTGATGGGAAATACAAGTATTTCCTGAAAACTCGACCCAAAAAGGTTAAAGAACTTGAATATAGTGTCAATTACACCATTTTAGAAATTTTAAGTGTCTCCGAAATCCTGAATTTAATCGCTAAAACTCGTATTGAATGAGTGATCTGCAAAAAGTCATCGCAGAAAATCATGGATCTGTGCTGTACATATCCTCGGCTCCGAAAGATACTAGACGTGTTGAAGTTGCTCCTGCTTAGTATTCTTTGTTATTTGCTAGTGGTTGGGTTGGCATTCAGACATACAGAGTTCTGATGTTTACTGTTGTATATCCCTCTGACAGTAATATTTTATTCTTATCGAGTGATTTACCCATAAACTGTAAACAAAGAAATAGATAAACCAAATACAATTAGATAGATAGGTGGAAATATTACCTGACGATCAGATGACGGTGGATTACAATAGTAATAAGTATTTTCAATCATAATGGAGTAACGTTGATCCATGTGTAAGGCGATTTTTTTTCTAAGCATTACTTCTAAATAAACTTTTGTACGTTTATGCGACAAAGGCAGACGATAGAGAAAACGCCCACATGTGTCCAATAAAGCGCATGCCATATCAATATTATGATGTACAAATTGAGGCAGAAGTTGTTTCAAACAACTCAAAGCTTGATGAGCTGGATAAACTTTAAATTTTACAAGTTCACCTAGAAACAAGCAATGAAAAACAACAGTTAATAGTCTATAAATATGATGTTACAATAATAAATCAGATTTCAAATATACATAGAAGAATAAACATAGACACATTCTTAAGAAAACTGCTTAGCCTTGTTAGATTCCGTCGAGTAATTACAGAATATTTAAACATTCACAAAAGAAAATTGTATTTTTAACAGTCATTTTACAGTTTCCATAAAGCAGTCATCGTAAAAATATCTCCGTTCACCTACCTTCCTTTTAATTACTATGGGAATTTTCGCTAAGTTATGCACATCAATGTCACGGTTTAGGATACCCGAGGAAAATAACCTGAAGCACAGAGTTAAGTCGTCGATCGAAAGCCAGTCGATTACAAATTAGATTGTTCTGGAGATAGGAGAAAGTATTTTAAATTTGCTCTTCAATATCGCTAGACAAAACGACTGTTAACAGAATTTCCTTTTACAATAAATTCGGTTTCAGCAATGTTTCCCGATATGCATTATACAACTGATGAGGAACTCAGACCAAGAGGGATACTTATTATCAATATACTATAATACATTATTCGTCCCTCGGGTTCCTAGTGGAACAAAAAGCTTCTGTAGCACGTCAGCATTTCACTCTCGTCCCAGTAGTCTTCACAACCTGACTCCACTACTGCACACAAGCTCTCATTTCTTCCTCACACCATCTCATCCATGTCACCGTCACCTCAGACGCCCAACTCGTCGTTTCCCCTTTCGGTTCCACTCGACAACCTGGCATGGCCTAACCTAGCCTGACATGTGATGTCCTAAAACCATCTTCTCAATGTATGTCCAATCGAATCCAATCTATTTCCACTTTCTTCCACTTCACATTTGTTGGGCGATATGTTACTAGCACGGCACGTTACTAGCCAGACTTCCTTCTTGCTTATTCTTATTATTGTGGCGATTCATCTGATCGATCTTCAGTGTCAGTATCGAGTGAGCGTAGGTGGCAGCTGTTCATGTGATGCGATGCATGTCTGCAGTTTGTCGGAAATGCTTTTCGCAACACGCCAAGTCCCTCAACCATCACATAGATGCACTGACTTACTTGACGGAATTAGTGTTGAAATTCCGGATGTTGTTCACACTTTATGCTGAGTGCAGTGCAGTGCAGTGCAATGCGATGCAGTAGATCTCCACACTGATTACTTCAGGTTAATGAAGGCCTGTCTTGCTGTCTTTCCAATCCTGACTGCTTCGACGTCCTCATCTGTGGCACCGCCACCACCTATAGTTGAGACGATGCTGTCTAGGTATGTGAAAGAGACAACTTCCTTTAGATTTCTCCCGTTCATCGTGATCGGTGCTTGTTGTTGTCGCTGGTTGGACATCTTCATCACTTCTATCTTCTCTACGTTCACCTGAAGGGGGTCCCGCATTTGCTGTCCCACCTCTCCTACCAACTCGTTAGTTTTCGCCTGTAGATCTTCGAGTTTGTGCGACAAGACATTAGACATAAATCATCATCATCATCATCATCATCAACGACGAAATCCAAATCTTCTAGAGTCGTTCTCATCGGTCCAGCCAATGTATGCCCATCTTCTCACTCCTCACAGTTTGTTGTATGATCCAGTCCAGTCCAGTCGACCGCAATCAGGAAGATGATCGGTGATAGTAGGCGGTAACCTTGTTTCACTCCTTCCTGTCTTCGCTTCAAAGGTGTCACATAAAATATTACGGCAAGGGTCAAATCCACATTCAACTTAGATCTACCGCCATTGAAACGACAAGCATCACAAGAATGCTTGGAGTAGTCCCAATAAATCCTAGTAACAACCGTGATAATTTTTTCAGCAAAACGAATCAACGGTTAAATAGCTTGAATTCAAGAAAAGCAACGAAAAATTACTTTCATGACCAATGGTATCGGATATTGTTTTTAAATATGACAGCCTACTATGAAGGCACCGACGGAAACTACATCTCAAAAACGTTATCAAGCAGATAAGTACCTTCTTTATAGTGCGATGTAAGTTGAAATAACTATTATTTGCATTAGACCGATCGAGAAAGAGATTATTCTAAAAGATATGAACAGATCGACAGAGAGCACTGCGCAACTGTTTCGGCTCGGTTTGGTATTCTTCAGCGGTGCACACCTACGATAGTATTAGGAGTCAAGTAGAGATATACCATTCCTCACAGTGAGCAAGTCACCACTCAAGCAATACGCTAGCATTCTACAGTTCAAATTTTTCTGCTTCTGACAATGAGAGGCCGTTCGTTATCTGTGAAGTTGACCCAATAAGAACTGAGGATAAGTGAAAAGTTGGATGGTAATATACTTGCCATAAGGCATGTTGGTCTTGGCTCCAATCCCTCATGAGATCGTAGGTGCATAATCGCAGAGCAGTGTCAAACAAGGAAGAAACAACTTTCCAGTACTAGCAGATTTTCAGTGGTTCTTCACCTGACGTCAATCTACAATGAGAACAACTTTGACATCAACCAATCTCTACTAAGTCAATCAGTCAACTAGTATCAATATTTCTACAAATCCTCAACTGAAATTTTACTACTTTGGTCCATGTTTTAGTAATTTCATAAAAATAACTAAAAGCTCATAAAACATACCGATAAATCGTACCACTTTTAGCTTAGACTCGATATTCAACTGATCTCGCTTTGATAAACGCCAACGAAATTCTCCTGTAAGCATAGAATTAATATCCTGTACCAAATCTGGCATTACTGGAGCTAATGCAGCTACAAAGCGCGCATAGAATGGTAATAAATCATAACGTGTTCTTGGAACACTGAATAATGCTTTCGCAAGCCGTCGACGATTTGCTCGTTTATTCAGATTTAAACAAAAGTCTATAGCTGCCTGCAGATAGAATACAAAATTTAGAGTATTTATAAGTTGAAAATCAAGAGTATAATGACTAATATATGAAATCATTTTAATGTATACTAACATAAATAGAAAACAACAATTACATTTATTGATTTACAGGTAACAAAATAACGCGGTTCAGTGAACATTTCCAGTGCTCTCTAGTGAAGAAAGAACCATCTAAGGACATTACCTTCCGGACAACCTTATTAATCGAACGTGTCACAGGTTTGTGAGGACTGTCCACTAAGATGAGCACAACAGGGACAAACAGGCAGATAAATTTAGGACATTAGGCAAACGTTCACCAGATCAAGTTGACATTAATCAACTAATCAATATCAACATCGGACCAGGTATTGCAACTACGTAACGGTCCGAGTTGTCACACCTCATATCACTACATCAAGTTAAATCTCAGTGAACTGCAAGATAAAGATAAGAAAATTCAATTAAAAGAAATATTAAGTACAAAAAGAGAGAAAGGAACAATGACAAAATCGTGGGATTCCGAATAGCGTCGTTAAGATGAGCATAATGTATGCATACATCTTCGCCACTGACATCAGTTCTCAGCTATATCACCTACAATATCCAACCACTGCTTCCTCTTGTCTCACAGACCACAATCACCCACTCTGCATCACCCCCACCACATGACTCAAACCAACAGTCAGACACTTCACACATTGGTACCATGTTTTAGTCTGGACACCTCACCTCCAGCCTTTTTACAGCCCGGACATACTTCACCCAACATTGTGTGATGAGGCAATCAGTGATTAGGCATACGTAACACGTGTCCCAACCATCTCAATCGATGAAGGTTTACAACCGTCTCAACTGACTTACCTCTTCTCCCTAAAACTCTCCACCTGACGTCTGCGTTACTCATGTGGTGTAGTGACACCACGGAATACGGCCTATACTACAAAGGCAGTGGTGGTCACACACTTGAAGCCAGCCTTCTCATGTCTTCCACCTCCAATGGACATGTTGCACAGCCATACAGTAGAACAGAGCGGACTGCTGTGCATTATACGCTACCCTTAATAGACAAACGGATATCACGACGGCGCCATGGGTGGCGTAGATTGGCAAAAGCCGATCGAGCCTTTTGTATCCGCGCAGAGATTATATCGGCAACCGACCTACCGGGGTTGATCCTACTTCCTTGGTAAGTGAAGTGGTCAACACACTCAACCACCTCACTCCCTATTGTTAGCTGCAGCACCGCTGAAGCCCAGTCCTGGTCTTCAGTGAGATACATGATGGGTTATAAAATGTTTGAAATAATAATTATTAAGAATTAACATGCCAGGGGGAATGTCATAGATTTTAAGCTATGCCTTCACAATCATTGATTTTTAACATCTTGAGGGTTTCAGCCAAGTAACTTGAGTCGCTTTACATAGCTAAAACTAACAGTTGATCCATGTCATGTGTTTATCCGGTCACCCTTACTTTCTCCAAACTTATTTCCGCTCTAACTAAATTGGCATGCGGAGGTAGATGATACTTCAGCATGCACAAAACATATTCAAGCTTCAAAAAGCCGTAGGATAGCATGACCTTAGTAGGAAAGTCGATATCAACAGGAATAGTTAAGCAATGATTAAAGTATTATGCATCATAGCCCAGCACATCAAGATGTCATTAACATTCATTCAGCAATCTCGTAGCATATTCATCCAGTAGGCAATGAGCGACACCTATTATTGTGTATCAGGGCTTATGATACTACCTGACTTCCTGAATCTTGGTAACTGGAGAGTGACGTTCGAACCCATAACCGATTGGTTGAAAGTTATCACTTTAATCCAATGAGTTCCATGTATATCACGGATAGAAAACATTAAGATAAAAGTCAAACAACTGGCAATAGAGAAATGACCAAAGGGATTTCAAACTACTATGATGAGTAGTAGTATAATTGTTTTTATATCATACCATCGTTGATTGGACCGAATTGATCGGTCTCTATTGGCATATGGGCTACTGTGCGGATGCCTCGATATTGCCTGCTTCCTAATTATGTTAATGATGGATCGTGGCTAGCAGTGGAATCCAGGATGCACATTTCGTCCTACTTGGGACTCGTCAGCTGGTTGTACCCGCTCCCAGTGAGTGATGTTGTTTCCACCGGGATTCGGACTCGGCAGCGGTTGTGGCTCGGTGGTGTAGTGGATTACATCCCTGGCGTTTGAAGCAATAGCTCCCGAGTCCGAATCCCGATGGGAACAACATCACTCACTGAGAAGCAGGTACATCCAGCTGACGAGTCCCGAGTAGGACAAAATGAGCATCCCGGACTCCACTGCTAGCCACGATATATCATTAACATACTATGGTAAGGCAATAACTTGGGATTCATCTAATCTGAAAGGTTACCCAAACTGATCAATTTATCCACACCACTTCCCATGATATTCTTATTATATTCGCATTTATCATTACAATCATTTTGCTTAGCATATGTCTTAGTGCTTATGGTTTAGTTATAACTCACCCACATTACATTGATCTTTGTTCCATATTACGATGTAACTGGATGATCATAAAGGTCACCACCTTCTGAGCTAAAACTTAAATATTAACCTAACAACTTAATATCAGATTTATACACTTGTAAAGGATCTTCCTAGTAAGATCGTAACGTCGAGGAACAATATAAAATATCTTATTTTGTTGTTTATTCTAATATAACAGCATATGTCAGTGTTGAAGTTTCACTTACTTTATCAATGAGATCACGATTAATGCAATTTGGCAATTGGGTTAAAAATGTTTCCATGAGAAGTCTACCAGAAGAGGAATTTGTATCTTCTTCACCTAGTAAAAAAAAATAGGAGAAAAATAAAGATAAAATCAATCAGTATCAAAAGAAAATTGAAAGAGAAAAGATGAAGTAGAGGAAGTACAAGAAAAAAAGAAAGTAGGCATGCGATCAGTTAGGATGTTGGGATCAGAGCCAATTTACAAGGTGAAGCAGTCAGAGTGTACATGGATCATGGGAATTCATTTCGAAAGCCACAAGCCCTGTCAAGCCATTTATTGGTTAAATATAATTTAGTTGCCATAATAATAATAATAATAATAATATCCAACTTGGCAGCAATGTTAGGGTTAGTGCACTAGACGATGAATCACATTTATTGAGTGAACAGTGTAATGCCGCCTAACTGTTTCAACCTTGCTAAGTAGAGAGGGGTTCAAATTTCTTATCCGGATGAAGTACCGAAGATAAGTAACAGTTTAGCTGCCACATTGATGTGGCAGTGGCGTTTGCATATCACAATAACCCAGAGTTACACTAGCTGGAATACTGGCTCCCTCGAGGTCTTGTCACATCATAAAAATCTGTTTGATAGTGGTGGAAAAAAAAAGCAGTTGCCGTTACAGAATAAATCGCTAACCTATGGGAGTAAGAAGGCAAAGTAGTACTGCTGAATGCATAAAGGGGTGAGAGCAGTACAGTAATTCCAGCATGTGACCACTAATAACACGCTTATGCCACCTACCCAATGCCAAATCATAAGCAGCCATCTCTTGCCACGGATGCATGTTTTGTCTCTGATACACCCATACAGGCGTCAAGCGTGCTTATTCACTTGATTTCACCTCACCAACACACTGAATATTCAAAATTCACTTCACCAGTGTTCACAGATTAAATGGCTAGTCCTTGTGGACTCACTAAAGTAGGCATAGCATTAGGTCGCCGAGCAGAAAGTGCACTACTCCACTTGATACCAGTTCACACCCGCCTACGTGCTGTTCGACTGAATGGATCTGTTAGGACTATGCAAGAATATGAGATCCATCGATGCTTCTTCGTCATCCCCGCCTACGCGAGCATCAACTACAGTTCCATTGATCCGAAGGATGAACTGCATCACAAGCTATAAATTTCGCAGCAGAAAGCAAAGCATTGAGATGTAGTCATAATGGCAGGCGACTTAAACGCTCAAGTACGAACTCTGAGCCAATAGGAAAGGCACCTCGAGGGTATCTACGGCACCCCATGCCAAGTCTCAAGTTTAAAATATTTTCAAATTAAATCTCCTACTACCCACTTTTGTCTACTTTAATACCAGTCTTTTTCTATCCGGTTGTTCTTTGTATGGAGCTGTGAATTGTGTCAGCTTGAACTGATGCACTTGTGTGCGAGGTTCTACGTTGAGGTAGCCCGTCTTTGTCTCTAGCTAAGAAGCCGTTAAACAAATTCAGTTCATCTAAGGATTCTCTTTTCCAGATTTTACAGGAAATTCTTGCTTTCATGAAGACTACTTTAGCAGTGTATACGGTACTACAGCTTTAATCAATTGCGAACACTTAAAATAGCAAGATTATTCATACATATTTGCTAAACTAAACAAAAACAGTACAATGAGGATATTATAGCAGGATTCAAAATTACGACTGAAGCAGGCTGGATGGCTGGCTTCAAGCAGAACGAATCATATGCGGATCAAATTCCAACGCTACGTATCATCATAGGACAGAATATAGAATGCTAGTCAACTCTCTACCTCGACTTCATTGACTTTGAAAAGGCCTTCGACAGCGTCGACCGAGAAGCAATTTGACAGACACCTGCTTCAATACTACGATTTTAGTGCCACAAACCTTTATCAACCTCATTCAACAGCTATATGCTGTATGATGCTACATGCCAATTGATTCACAATGGGAAGCTCAATGATGTCTCTGAAGTGAAGACAGAAGTAAGACAAGGTTACCGCCTACTATCACCGATCATCTTCCTGATTGCGGTCGACTGGACTGGACTGGACCATACAACAAACTGTGAGGAGTGAGAAGATGGGCATGCACTGGCTGGACCGATGAGAACGACTCTAGAAGATTTGGATTTCGCCGATGATGATGATGATAATGATTTATGTCTAATGTCTTGTCACACAAACTCGAAGATCTACAGGCGAAAACTAACGAGTTGGTAGGAGAGGTGGGGCAGCGAATGCGGGACCCCCTTCAGGTGAACGTAGAGAAGATAGAAGTGATGAAGATGTCCAACCAGCGACAACAACAAGCACCGATCACGATGAACGGGAGAAATCTAAAGGAAGTTGTCTCTTTCACATACCTAGACAGCATCGTCTCAACTATAGGTGGTGGCGGTGCCACAGATGAGGACGTCGAAGCAGTCAGGATTGGAAAGACAGCAAGACAGGCCTTCATTAACCTGAAGTAATCAGTGTGGAGATCTACTGCATCGCATTGCACTGCACTGCACTGCACTCAGCATAAAGTGTGAACAACATCCGGAATTTCAACACTAATTCCGTCAAGTAAGTCAGTGCATCTATGTGATGGTTGAGGGACTTGGCGTGTTGCGAAAAGCATTTCCGACAAACTGCAGACATGCATCGCATCACATGAACAGCTGCCACCTACGCTCACTCGATACTGACACTGAAGATCGATCAGATGAATCGCCACAATAATAAGAATAAGCAAGAAGGAAGTCTGGCTAGTAACGTGCCGTGCTAGTAACATATCGCCCAACAAATGTGAAGTGGAAGAAAGTGGAAATAGATTGGATTCGATTGGACATACATTGAGAAGATGGTTTTAGGACATCACATGTCAGGCTAGGTTAGGCCATGCCAGGTTGTCGAGTGGAACCGAAAGGGGAAACGACGAGTTGGGCGTCTGAGGTGACGGTGACATGGATGAGATGGTGTGAGGAAGAAATGAGAGCTTGTGTGCAGTAGTGGAGTCAGGTTGAGAAGACTGTACTACAGAAGCCCTATGTTCTAGTTCCACTATGAACCCAAGAGACAAACATTTAAAATAAATAAACGGTAGACCATACTTTGATACATGAGTCAAAAGCGTTTATAAGGCGTTTCAGAACGATAAATCTCATCTAACCACAGTCCCATTGATTTCTTTCTATTTACAGTCAAAAGCACCGAGTAGCAATAGAGCTCATTCTAAGACAACAAATCTGATTATCTCACGTAAATTACATTGAAATAATAAAGAAGCACATACCGTCATCAATGTTCAGTAAGTATGGCTTAGTTTTATCATTAATAGATGTGCCATTAGTCGACTCATTGTTATCTTCTGATACTTTAATCAATTCTTCTTCTTTAGCTAACTCTGATTCGACTGTGTCAATATCAATGTCTAAAATAAATGCGAAACAAATGATTATTTTAGATTCATTAGACGGTTATATTTGCTAAAAAGTGAGAAGACGATGAAAATCTTAAATAAGTAATCAAATAACCCTATTCTATGCACGGAGAACATGACAATTATGTAATACAATGAAATGTTTATTCCGTTTATTACAATATTTGTAATACCCATTGGACATAACATGATAAAGCGAGGATTGACATCAATTTATTCTATATAAACTGGATAAATTTGTCAACTAAAATAGAATGATTCGTGCAATATGAAAACAAATGATATGCATAAATCCAAACACAACAATCCATCGACTGCAGTAGTCAAATAGTTCAGTGTTATAGAAACTGAAAAGATGCGAAGGAACTGTATAAGTGGATTATATAGACACAAATATGCGAATGGAAAACAAACAAATGACGAAAGATGGTATGATCAGCATTTGATGGATATACGGCTGATGTTGATTTTTTCGCAACTCACTCCATGTTAAAAACCATTAATTCTTAATGTACGACTAACTTATTGTGTATCCAGTTCCTTGCAGACGTCAATCTGAGAGTGAATAAAACTCAAGCGATCCAGCTTCGCGACTCAGAAACACTGAAAATCCAACCCAAAGTTAGATACAAACGCATAAGATGAGTCAATCAGCATGAAAATCGAGTAAGAATGAGTACAAATTCAATCTGTAACAACGTCAGACTTGGCATTATGTGTAACGGCCCACACTGATACACCGAATATCGGTATATCCAGAAAGAATTCGCCAGAATGACCAATGATTGAAAACTTCATAAACTGTTATCGTGTTTTCGTCTGGCCACCTTTAACTCTGCCCTAATCTAAACTCACTTCAACTTATATAGCGTGATGACATGGATGGTTACTGAACATGCAAAACACATGTACTAAACATCTGAGTTGATGAAGATTTGTAAGCTCATCAACGGAGGTTCTTATTCTACTCAAAACTCCACACCTGACTTGAGTTACAGACATAGTTGCACCATGACAAACGGTTTATACTACAAAGGCAAGGATGATAGAACATCTAGAGTCACCTCATATCCCCTACCTTTGGTGAGCTTACTTCACAGCCATACCGTAGAACAAGGCGAACTGCAACGCAGTACACTTGGTCCCTAACAGACAATCGGATATCATGGAGATGTATTATATTCACACCATATTCGCTGACCAAAATACTATCACTATCGTCACCATTTATCACTAAGTGGTTACTTTTCAGCAGGATGACGTTGAAACATAAACAGTGAAATAGTAATGAGAAGAAGTAGGTCATCTTAAAGGTGTAGTATATTTATGCAGTACATTTCGGACAACCTGCTAATGTATATTTATGTTAAATATAAAAAAACATAAATGGGTTCCAGAAACAATCGATAAGGCGAAGGGTCAAGTTGTCATCAAACAAATCATAGGTGGGAAGAGAAAGACAAGTTTTAAATCACAATTGATATGAAAGCTGGGTTACCAAGGGGGCTTCAATGTAGTAACAAATTATGACGTAATTTGCTTGGTGGTGTCCAGTAGCGAGACCCAGGAGGCACATATCTTCCTATTTAAGACTCATCTGGGTGCCCCTTCAGTCTAGTGAGCGATAATGTTACCACTGAACCTCGAACACAGTACTCATCATGACGAATGCCGGAATGGTGGCTACTGAGTTCAGCTGACAAATCATAGATAGGACGGAACGCGCATCCTGGATTCGACTGCTGGCCACCATTAAGTAAGTGTCAATATCGAGGCATTCGCACAAGAGTTCATATACTACTAATCCAGTTCAAAAATAATCACCAATGACAAATAGAAAGTCCTAGAGACAACAAGTTGTTTTTGAATATACAAAATAAACCTAAAATTCCTAATAGCTAGAGTTTCAACTCACAATAACTTCATCCCAACTGCTTTCGTATTTTGGTTTGGTTCGAATGACGTATACCAATCCACCTTGGGGTTTGTTTCAGATATGTATAACTCAACCTCTTCTTTTACAATTTATTAATTCCTGCATTTTACCTATTCCTCTATATTGTTCCCGGCTACCAGTCTTCTAAAAAAGGACTATGTTATGTTGCATAGGGCTTGGAAAACAGTCAACAGGGTGAGTAGTGGTGCCTCTGGCTCAACTGATTAACACTGTAGTTGATAAACATTTAAGTTCCAGCAAGTAACTAGCTACAGAAATTTTAACTGACACTGAATATCCACTTCATTCACAACTCTCTCTGTGTATCTCCTCACGGAGGACAAGGAGAAACTACATAAGACTCTATACTCGTACAGCTAAGTATAAGAATTCGACTGTATCTTACCTAGCACACATATTTTTTGAGGAAAAAAGTGTTAGAACAAAAATCACACATCAACTTTGAAATGGTTAGAAATCCCATTTCAGTAATTCAACTAACAATTTAAAATTTTCTCGTCTTTAATATTCTTTACATTATTTAAATTTTGATGATAAAACAACTCAAAATGTTGTTAAGGAGTATGTATATACGTATATATTGTTGTTGTTGCAACATATCATACTGATAATTCCAAATTGTCATCATCATTATCAACATCGGACCAGGTATTACAACTACGTAACGGTCCGAGTTGTCACACCTCATATCACTACATCAAGTTAAATCTCAGTGAACTGCAAGATAAAGATAAGAAAATTCAATTAAAAGAAATATTAAGTACAAAAAGAGAGAAAGGAACAATGACAAAATCGTGGGATTCCGAATAGCGTCGTTAAGATGAGCATAATGTATGCATACATCTTCGCCACTGACATCAGTTCTCAGCTATATCACCTACAATATCCAACCACTGCTTCCTCTTGTCTCACAGACCACAATCACCCACTCTGCATCACCCCCACCACATGACTCAAACCAACAGTCAGACACTTCACACATTGGTACCATGTTTCAGTCTGGACACCTCACCTCCAGCCTTTTTACAGCCCGGACATACTTCACCCAACATTGTGTGATGAGGCAATCAGCGATTAGGCATACGTAACGTAACGCGTGTCCCAACCATCTCAATCGATGAAGGTTTACAACCGTCTCAACTGACTTACCTCTTCTCCCTAAAACTCTCCACCTGACGTCTGCGTTACTCATGTGGTGTAGTGACACCACGGAATGCGGCCTATACTACAAAGGCAGTGGTGGTCAAACACTTGAAGCCAGCCTTCTCATGTCTTCCACCTTCAATGGCCATGTTGCACAGCCATACAGTAGAACAGAGCGGACTGCTGTGCATTATACGCTACCCTTGATAGACAAACGGATATCACGACGGCGCCATAGGTGGCGTAGATTGGCGAAAGCCGATCGAGCCTTTTGTATCCGTGCAGAGATTTCATCGGCCACTGAGCCACCAGGGCAGGGCTGATCCTACTTCCCAGGTAAGTAAAATGGTCAACACAATTACTACACTCTCTGTTCTCTCTTCCAAATTGCACTGCAAATTGTTTGGAATAAAGTGAATCATTATTATTATTATTATTATTATTATTATTATTATTATTATTATTATTATTATTATCTACTGCCTACGGCAACGGAATTATTCTAATTGATTTTTTATTGCAGCCATTCTGAAATGTGCTGCATCGCTCCCTTATTTGCATAAATCGATGGGTCTTCCATATATTTGTGTGTGTGACTACATGTACATAAGAAATGACTAGTGCCAACGAATCTGACATCATCGTTCTAGTGCTGTTACAGTTTACAAGGGGCATAGGTTTCGTTTTCTCCATAATGCTGACCTTTGATAAAACGCATGCTTTTCGGAGGGCTGCTTTAAATGATTGCTTGGCCGTCAGACTGTGAATCAGCTAAATAAGGTAAGGTAATATATACATTTTTCTTCAAAGCTAAGATGGTAAAGACTGTTTATTGTTCAGGATTTCTGTAACTATTACTAAATTTCGGGGGTCACTGTTGTTTAGTAGTCGTATGATAGGGTTTTGCGTTTCCTCCTCTCAAGAATCACTTTTCCCCAACCCTTGAGTAGGGTTAAACAGACACCTGACTGGTGTATGAAGTGGACAAAAGTCCGGGTAATTTAAGCACGATTCTGTCTATCAGAATTTCCTAAAGATGGATCCTTTCATCGACCCATCTTGCAGGTAAGTTATAGAGGATGTGAACAGGAAAAAATGGTAACCACAGTTAATCACTTCACTTCCTATTGTCAGACGAAGTGTTGACACAGAAGAGTCATGAAGCAGAAATTCGGATTTATGTGGTCAGAAATGAATCCAAAACACTCTCAGATTGTTACTCAGGGTGTGTAGAAGACTCTGTAGTACTTAATGTGATGTTTCATAGTAAGTAAGTATACTCAACAAAATAAAGCTGTAATCAACCGTACTTCATCAAAATCAGTATACAAGAACAATACAGATTACTTATGAAATGAGGAATTCATGAATATTAAAATCACCATCGAGTTATACAGAAATAATATTTTTTTTAATTACCTTCAGTGCCTACAGAGTCTACATCTTCATTCTTCGTTTGACTTGACTCCACAGTGGTTTGTTCACTGTCTTTATAAAGGATCTATTTGAAAGTAAAATATCAGCAATAAACGCACTGCTAAAAGACAAAAGTATGGGTATGAATTGCATGACATAAGTATGTTGTTAGTTCCTCACTTGTTCTTGTTTACCTTAGGGGATGTTGCCTTTGTATTCCTTTTTGTACTTTCAGTTTTATATTACTTAGTACTATTGAGTAGTACAGTTCATGTTTTCTTATAGTTCTATCTTGTTCACCATTTAACGACCCTAGATATTGGTAGCTTTCACAGTTTATGATGGTGTTGTAATTTCTTTCAGCGTTCTCTGATGTTCTATTTTATCCTGAAAATCTGTTTATCTTGCATCTTTACTCCATCGTGAGAAGTAAGAGTGAGGGTCATAAATCGACCGATGACTTCTTACCAGTGTAATTAAGGCTATTTGTCATATCATTTCGTAGCAGGAGTAAATTCGCCTACTGGACGGTAATTTTCAATCTCTCCAAACAGGAAGTGTAAGATTACGGAATGAATACAACAGTTTTGAGGTAGTTATAACTTAGTAGAGAAAGATGTTTAACACCGTCAGTTCCTAGCTATAAATGTGATATGGCACCAATTAAAATGATGGGATATGTATTGCTACCGAGTGGTATGGTCATTCGGCTTCCAACCAATGGGTAATGTGCTTTAGATCTATTTGAGATTCACAAAGTCTGCTCGTATTAATTAACGTATACGATGAGTGTGGTCAATACCATAGTACACAAGTCTGTGTATGGTTGTTGAATTGTATTATTATCCTGCATCCCCGTTTCTGTTATAGCCACGCTGATATGCAATTACTAGATAGATAGATCCCCTACAGCACACAAAGTGATGCAACCGGTTGTCAGTCAGTTAATCAGTCAAGAATAAGGCATTGTTTTGAAGAAATCATAAAGGTAAACGTTTCATTTCCACTTGAATTATCGTCACACAAAGTTACTTGCATTTCCTTTCATTCTTTGTCATCAAGAATCAGAAGAATCTGCACTATTGTGATACTATCCATGATGAATTGGATAAACTATAGAAAATTCTTATTCAAAACGCATACCGATTCAGATTTATTGAGAAAAACTTGAAATCAAAGGACAAACAAGTACACTCATAGCTCTAAAGGAGACTTTTGTTTATGAACATTCCTTTCAAAGGTGATATGGTAGCAGAGATCTTGAAGGACCAGCTGTCCAAATCACTAAAGAAGACATTCTTCTGTGCGAATCTATAGATCAGCTTTTCTAGTTACCAAGTGGTTTCAGAGTGTTAAGGACAAGTTGCAGCTTTTGGTCACCTAAATGTGTATCTGCAAATTTACTTGTTCCCGTAGAACTAATTATAAGGGTAGTACAAAGCATGCACTTTGCAACGATATCTCTCAGCGCTATTCAGCATAGTTGTCGAGGAGAGTATGTAAATCAATTAACAGTTCAGTCCTTTAAAGCTTGGTCAATCCTAGAGATCCTAGAGATCCACCAGAATCTTCTCTCACTATCATTTACTAAGTCAAAGGGAATAGTTCAGTAGAAGTAGTGGCAATTCACTAATTCAAGCCTGATCTCTGAGTGCAGAAGAAGTATATTCAACCTCTTATCTTACCACGGTCTTAACATCCTCACAACTTTTCGATGTCATCATAATCAGTTAGTTTACTATCATCACCTTTACTATGACTCATGTTTCTTGTTTCCCCTTCTTTATATCTATCGAGTGGACACTCAATCTCTGCATTTCACACCTATCAACAGTTGCCATTTTGTCAAACTCCTTGCGTTTCTCATTATTTCCACTGTTCAAAAGATTATTACGCGATTTCTATCCATTCTTGACTAGCTTAATGATGCAACTATACCCTATTATTTAATAATGCATATTGGTATATGTTTGTGATATATAGAAAAACGATTGTACAACTTTAGAAAATGATATCGTCGAGAAAGCGAATTTTCTTTGCTGAATTATCCCCTTTCTTTTGGGTAATATATATATATATATATATATATATATATATATATATTAGTGGGCATAAACCGAGGTCAAATATATGTGACAGAGTCGAACATCTGTATCATTTATTTGGAGTGGGGATTGTATAAAGGCAATTGAAATTATAGATTGTAACTTGAAAATTCAGAATGTTACATTAATTCAACTATTCAAAGATGATAATTTATTAGAAGGGTTAAGTGATGTAAGCCTGGTAATTTTCAGTTCTAAATAATAGTTTTGATGTTTAAGTTTTGCAGTAAATGGCCGCTTAAATCCATTTAAACATGTGTTGAAATTGGCAAAATGTGTAGATAGATGAAGTCACTGAGTCATATAATAAGAGTAACATAATTAGTGTGGCAGTTGAAACAGATGTGTTAAAGGCAAGTTTCAAAGTAGTAATAACACTAGGAACATAGTAAGCGACTTACTGCAGGCACCATTGCTTTGATATCAGGCAAACTTTCGTAAAACAAACGAGTGTCCTCATCTTCAAAAAGATTAATTTGTTCTTTAACATCCTTCTGTAATTAGAAAATCTCTGATTACTTATTTTTAAATAATGCTTACTTCAACTGAGTCAATTGCAACCGAGCTTGATATAGACTCATCTGTGGAAGAGAAAAAAGCAAATGATCAGTAACATGTAATACACATGATGTAATCATCATGGACTGACATCAGTTCGAGGAACATTGGAAACCTGGGATCACTAAACAGCTGTTTCGTCCTAGTAAGGGACTCTTCAGTAGTGTGCACCCACGACCCCACCAGGGATCGGACCCGCGACCTTCAAGTTCCGTGGCCAGCATGTTACCATTGAGCCACGGAGTCGGAATTCAATGGTCCATATTTCCAACTCCTTTTAGTTCACCACGTAGCGCGACCACCACCCATTATCATCTTTGGGTGCGCACTGCTGAAGAGTCTCATACTAGGATGAAATAGCTATCCAGTGTTCCCAGGTTTCCGATGTTCCTCCAAGTAATGTCAGTCCATGATGAATACCGATTTTTTTAAAACAAATATTTTTGTTACAACACATTCGAGTAACAACAGAAGCACGCAACAGACATATATGGTAAATTGATGGACAGGAAACTTGGTAGGAATATGAAATATAATCTGAAGATTAAACTATATAACTATGTCCTTCTTTGACTCTTTGTTTGCAGCGATAACATTGATGATTACATTCTAATGATGAAGTTTTACACCTTTAAACCTTGTCATCTGGTAGTAGGTGAACTGCATAGGCGCGATCACACAGAAGAATATTACAAACCCACAATCTGCCACTATTTTGCAACGGTTTAAATGGCAACACCATTCGAAGGTAACAACAAGGAAGCCGGCAAAAAAGTCCTAGAAGCCCAACAAAGCTAGTTAACTAAGATTAGAAGAATCATACTACAATACTAATACATACTAACAATCCATAGCTCGAAGGTACGACCTTAAGTGATATTTTGCAAATATCAGACTGTAACTACCTCATAAAACAAACTTTTCCATTTAGTTTCTGTCACTTTACTTGCTGCTATGCTATAGCATTATTATAAAGTAGAATGTAGTGCCTATTACTGTAGAAGCATAAAACAACTTATGTATACACTTTACGGAAAGGCTTACCAATAATCAGGACGAAAACTCAGGAGGTGGATCTGCATCCAAAAGATCGGCTAAACTGATCAATGATTCATGAAATTTACGACAGGCAGACATTAAGTGCTCTGCTCGCTCTTGACGTTCTTCACTTACTTCACCACGATTTTCAAGTTGATCCCGGTTTCCTAAAATGATTCGTTGGGTTTCTTTGACCATGTTTTGTAAACGACGCATAGCTGCAGCCAAATAGTCATTGAAAAGTGCACGACACTTTGCTTGACGTTCAGATGACATAAAAGTGGAGCGTGGAACCGGCTTTTCATACTTCTCAGATAATAGTCTACGTAAATTTTAAACAAGACTGGATTAAGGCAGTGTCTAAATATACAGAGATGTATTTCATGAATCGATGCAAAAGGTTATACTGAATAGTATGTTCCACTTCAGGTAAAGTCGTCTGTTTCTCTCTTAAAAACATAAAAGCCTTCGATCATGGAACTGACTAATCCCCAGATGTGTCTGTCAAAACATGCAATCCCGTTTGAGCATTCCAAAAATCAGAGAGAAGAGAAAAACATACTCAATAACCTTATGCACATATGTGCATTAGACAATGAACCACACCTATTACGTGAGGGCTGCCAAAACCTCGGTAAGTGGAGCAGGGTCCAAACCCACTATAATTGATATTTATCTCTCTAAACCACTGAGCCATAACAGAGAGTACTGTGCAATACATGGTATTGTCGCTTAGCAGATACAGCTAAATTCTTCTTACGTATGTGAAAGTTTATATTTTGTCAAATATTTTCACTTTGATGTACCCTACACAATTTACAATGACATTTATATAGACTTAACCACCATCAATCAGATAACAATAACACAATTCCCTAGCTAAACATAAGAATGAAACGCACTCAGTAAAAATGAATTATTAAGATATCATAGGTGTGTATACTTGATTTGTGAATAAGAACTTTATATTCACTTCCTTAAATGCAACATCAACCCAGAACAGTCCCTTGTAATAGATTATGAACTACAGTTATTTTATCAGAGTTTACGATATACACTACCCCATTACCTTGGTCAAATTGAGCTGGATAGATTTTTACACTCTTTAACTACTTAAACTGTTCCGTTTGAACTCGTATCTTAATTAGATGAGTTTTAGAAAGGTAACTTGATATTTAGCAAAAAACTAAAAACAATGTCCCACATTGAATTTGTTTATTTGATGTAGCACACTGGAATACACTATTATTTACCAGATGACATTCCAAGGATAAATTATTGATTACTGATTATTATATCAGAGTAATCAATCACAGGACTTCCGACATCTGAGTTGCATAGTTGTATCAACTTGTACTCTTTGTTTTTAACGGTAATAAAAAATTTTCAAATCTCCGGAATAGGTTAACTCGATGAACAAAGATTAGGTAATCAGTTTTTCTCTCCTCTAATATTGGAATTTAGTATCACACAAATAGAATCACCAACCCCACCCAACTCCGCTACAACCGTAGCAGACATATTCATAGATAGTTATGGATACATGGCTTTAAAGACGTTAAATCCTACTCCTGAGATATGGTAAAGATATGTGGATGACACATTTACTATTTTGAAAGCGTAAAATATCGATAATTTCTTCACGTATATAAACTCAGTAGTAGATGCAATTCAGTCCACTTATAAGATAGAAAATGAACAAGGAGAATTAACAGTGTTAGGTTACAAAGAATAAAAAATAACAGACGGTGGTTTAAATACTACCGTTTACAGGAAACCCGTAAACACTCTAACAGGTATCTAGAATTCAAGACAGCATATCCGAAATCGGTCAAGATGGGCTTAGCCAGGTGTTTAAATAATGGAGGTATAAAGCTTACTAGTGAGTCACAGAACCTCAGTAAGGAATTGAAATAAATGACAAAATACTGCTACTTAACAATTAACCCTTAGAGTCTAGCGAAAAATTATTAATACCAGTAATAGAAGTATTGTGAATAGTAACAGTAGTACAAATGGAAATAACTTCAAGGTCTCTGTCACATTAACATCATAAACCCTACGTAGAATTCTCAACAAGACTAAAATTAAGCTACTATTCAAACCTAAAAACTCACTCAAAGATAAATTTTGACAGCTTAAGGAACCTATTGATCCAATTAGACAGAACAATTTGATCTATCTATGTTGTGTAATAATTGTGTAGTCAACCAAATAGGCCGAGCAACCGATCGAGGTCAGTTAGATTATCGGAGAATAGGGAGTTGGTCGGATTTAGAGTGAGATCAATAACGTAAGAAAACTCAGCTAGTGCAATGCATCTACTGTCACAATCATACAGGAGAATGGGAAGGAGCAAAAGTTTTGAAGCTCGATATAGTTACATGGAGAAATAAATAACTGAATCTACTTTCCTTGAAAATACAACCAGCACACGTAAAAGGGATGACGCAACATCTGCGGTGGAGTTGCGGAAAAGTTTACTATCACTGAAAACAAGCAATGAGAGGTCAGATGTCGAAAGTTTTATGATTACATTGGTTGGTCACTGGGGGTAACCAACTTTATGTTGTCTAATCCTAAGCACTGATCAAATTTTATCGACTATTTTGCAATGTGACCACCAGGCTGAGCGATTCAGCATTGTGATGCACTTTGGTAGATGTTAGTTGGTTGGAGGCAATCGGCAGGAAGCTGTCGACCTAGGTTTCGTGCCTTTTGCCACTTGTCAGTAGAATGTATCTGCAACCTCTATGGAACTGACATCAAACTTGAGATTCGAACCAGCGTCACCAAGTGTCGCAGTCAAAGACGCTGCTATTGAGTTACAAACAAATGTAATATAGAACTACATTTTACCACAATGGCTAAGTTTTACACATCGTATAAACTACTGCCTTACCTACATACAATAAAACGAAAACATTTCTAGAACGACTACCCTTCAACATGTTATGGCTAACTGCTAAGATTATAGATATTTCACATGAAAACTAAAAATAAGTAGTAAAATGGTAAATACTTTTATATCGTTGTAAAAAAAAAGTTTACCTTATGCGACGCGGAATGACACCAATCCAGTCATCACTGCAATGTCTACAGAAACTGCTTAGTATCCCGATATTAGAAAAGTTTTCATGATCATTTGTGGCTAGGGTAGTCAATTGTGCAGCTAATAGACGCATACTGTCAACCTCCCGAAATATACCAATTGTGTTAAGATCGGCAAACAATGCCAAATCAACTCGAAGCTTAGACAGATTAGTATTCTACAATACTTCATGAAAGACTAAATCTATATAAATTACTTTTAAATCCTTGTGAGATGAAAAAGATTTTTTCCATGCATCAAAAAATAATACTCCGAAATCTGAATATCGCTGATACATAGCGGAACATAATTTCAGCATAAACGGGATGTCAGTTATTTTTACTTTTGCCTCGACAATTGCAGTTGCAACTTCTTCAACATATTTAGAAAGATTCAAAGAGTCGAATTCAGATAGAAGTGCATCCTTCTGACTATCAAGAAAATTACGCTGACAGTAAATTTTTGTAGTAAACATGAACTTACAACTTTCTTTACAAAAGCTGTGTTCTTTTTTAAGGTTGAATCTTTCTTCACGAAAAAGCTGTCATCTGGCCATTTACCTGCAACCGCTAAATTCTGCTCTAGTAAAGCTGTCCTCAAAGATAGACGTTCGCAGGTTTCAGTAATGAATTCGGTTAACTGCTTCTGCTGAAAAGTAGGGGTAAACCGGTTTCATAGAGCCTACCTCCGCTGTTTCTGAAGTATGGTCCTTTTCACTCGTCTTGTTTGTTTGCATCCTTGAAGTTCCTATTACATATCCCTACAAAAAGCAAGATTATAAAATATTTCGATAAATTAATAAATAATCCAAGAAATGAAGTACTGCAATATGTACCGTTTGTAGTGGTGAAAAGATAGGATATTAGAGAATGCTAGTCACCAGTACTTAAAAGTTTGAAAAAGAGTGAGGACGTGATGAATGCGCATTTATTCTGATTAAGGTTCTCTTGCAACCTGCAGCATGAAAAAATGTAAGAAGAATAGGATGTGGCATTGCTGAGTAGCAGACCCATGGATCAAAAAGTAAAATAGATTCAAAACACGAGAAGTTCGGCGTAAAATGATAAAGTAGGAAGTATCTGTGCTTTTATGATAGATTATGATTTATACCGACTACAGTCTCTAAACACCAACTAACAGCTGTGGCTTGATGCGATGATCGAGCTTGTACATCACAATGATAAAAAAAAAGCTACACTAGCTGGAACGCTTGTTCGCTAGAGGTCCTACCATATCAGAAAGGTCTCTTTGGTGGTGGTGAGACAAAAAGCAGTTATCGTTACAGTATACATTGCTAGACTATGGGGGTAAGAAGGCGAAGTAGTACTGCTGATTGCATAGAGGAGTGAGAGCAGTTAGGTAATTTCAGTGTATGACCAGCAATGCTACGCTGATGCCACCTTCCATATAGCATATCGGAGAGCAGGCATCTCTTGCCAAAACTCTGAAATCTCCGACCATAGACCCATACTTTGTCTCCGACACACGCATACAAGACTCCAGCGTGGTTATTCATTTAAGCTTACCTCACCAATACAGTGAATATTCAAAATTCACTTCACTAGTGGACTCGCTAAAGTAAGCATAGCATGAAGTTATCGAGTAGAAAGTGAACTGTCCCCCAGCCATGTGCCGTTCGACTGAATGGGTCTGAAAGAACTAAGGATCGTGACACCAATCGACGCCTACGCGCCCACCAACTGCAGTTTCATTGATCCGAGGGATTTCTCTCAGAAGCTGTCAATTTAGTTACAGAAAGCAAAATGTTCACATATAGTCACAATAGCAGGTGACTTCAACGCTCAAGTACAAAAGCTGAGTTAATCGGAAAGGCATCTTAGGCGTTTCTACGGAATCCGATGCCAACGAAACGACAACGGTGATCGTATGCTGTAAGTTTGTCCCAACACATTTGTTTCTGGCTAGCGCTAACCTTAAGCATAAGGACAGACAGTCTCTCCTTGAATCCAACGACATCAAACCAACGATGGACACAAATGCATCATATTGCCATAAGACATCGTCGGAGAGGATCGGTGGCGGATTGCCGCTCACCCTGGAATACCTGTTTGAACTCCAATCACGTACTAGTACGGCTACATGATATCTGAGTATTACTGGTCGCAGGAAACAGGTGGTAGTAAAGCCTGTCTATGGTTGATTGGAAAGTGAGAACATGAAATACGTATTTAGCGAGAAGACAGTAAAACTTTAGTGTGTTTGTGACACCAAACGTCAACCCTGAAGAAACCTAACGTGATATATAGTTCGCCATGCAAACAGCGGTAAAGAGGGATGGTATTCTGCACCTGCAGGTTAGCAGACGTCGACAGTTTTCCGCAACACCATCAGAACTGAATGATGTGAGATCCATTCCAACTGCCTCTGACCACGAGCAGAGAGAGCAACCCAAAGGTAAATCGACTAAGAGCCTTCGCAACGATTGCGAGCAGAGGTGGGCAACGAAAGCTAAAGAGATGAAGAAGGCAGCAGCATCAGGTAGTACTTAGCAATCAATTAGGCTTAGCATGGATACCGGCAACAAGACGATGGTTAGTAAGACGGTCAACGAAATTTTTGGGTCCCTGGTAACCTATGAGGAAAGGAGGCTAAGACGTTAGGCCAAAAACTTCGAAACACAGTTCATCTGGCTTACAGAAACGTTTCAGTTGCACAGCATCCAGTCCAAACTGAATGCAACGTATGTGTTTGTCCTCTAACTCTCCTCGAAGTTGAGACATTTTTCAAATCTGATACGACGCAACGCAGCAAGACCGAATGGTTTGCCACCCGACGATTTCAGGGATGGAAGTAGGAAATTACTGATAAGGGTAATGGAGGTACTAGTTAGTATATGGGAATTAGAGGTAGTGTCACCAGACTGGTCTACTTCTCTGATAATCCCACCCTATAGAAAGTGGGAGAAATCTTGTGACAACCATAGGGGAATTAGTTTGACTAATAACGTGTCCAAGATCCGATGGTTCATAGTTATCCGACACCTAACTGGAGCTCGACAACAGCAAACTCGAGAAAACCAGGTAGGTTTCACACTTGGGCGACAGTGCATCGACCATATTTTTACCCTTCAACAGGTTCTGGAACAAGACCATATCTATCGGCGGTCGAAACTTCTGATATTTCTCGACCTGAAAGTGGTATTTGACTCCGTCGACCGTGACGTGTTGTGACAGAGTCTGACTGAAAGGAGTACCGAGCAAGTATATAATACTAATCAAATCTCTCTACTCGAACTCATGCAGTCGTGTAAGGGCTTATGGAGAGTTGTCACCAGAACTAACGACAACTAATTGTATCCGGCAAGGACCCCCACTGCCACTGAGCCTATTCAACTTCACCACAAACATACTAATGGACATAGCCTTAGGTACCTCTGACTTCACAGAGAATGATCTACCCCCTGGTGGTCATCTGGCATATTCGGAGTATGCAGATGAAATTGTCCTGCTAAGTGATGCTGACAAAATTCAGGGTCTTCTAAATGTGTTGAGTAGAAAACTCAGTATGTTCGGCATGAGTCTCGCACCAACTAAATGTAAGATGATGCTCCAGGATTGGTTTGCTGGAAGTACTCCCAGCTTAATGATAGGGAGTGAAGTGATGGAATGCGTTGATCACTTCACTTACTTAGAGGGTTGCACCAGTCCAAGCTGGCTGATTGAGGATGAAACCTCAGCTCGAATACAGAAGGCCCTTGTGGCGTTTGCAAACTTGTGCCATCTGTGGCACTGGTGTATACTACGCTGCAGTCTATTCCTTTGTTATATGGCTGACTTGGTCGTTGAAAGTAGAAGACATGAAGTGGTCATAGGGTTTTGATCACAAGTGTCTTCGTAGCACTTCTCGCATTTGGTGGAAACGGGGTGTGAGCGATTTTGAGGTTAGGTGAAGGTAAGTCTATTGATGTGGTTGTGAACCTTAGTGTACTGAGATGACTTGGACATGAACTGACCATGCTGAGCCACCATCGACCACGGTGTGCCATGCTAGGGGAAGTCGGGTTAGGTTGGAAGACGGTTCAGAGTGGTCACACTAAGAAGTGGCACCAGTCCATGAAGTCTGTTGGTTTGGGTCGTGTGGAGAGATGTAGATTGCCTGATTAGGGTCTCCGAGATGAAAGGAACCAGTAGTTGACAACTCTTGGTGTCATGGCTGAAAAACCGGTCACAATGGTGCAGATGTATTCACTCTTTGACATCTTCGAAGGCTGAATACTTGCATTAACCATTGGTTTTATCTGTTTGTCTGTCTATTATTATTATTATTATTACTATTATTATTATTATTATTATTATTATTATTACCACAAAATCTTGGTAAAGAAACAGGTAAAATAAAACACCATGGACATACAAGAAACGGGAGGGAGAGTGGGAACAAAAACGGAAGTCGGTTATTGGAGAAAAACAGTCTTAAAGATATACTCAAAAAAGCATTCAGCACTTTCATCATACTTTTCAGTAAGAAAAGAAACAAGAAAACTGCACCATGAATCTAACTGCTTTCGATTCCGAGTCATGTCTAGTATTATTTGAAGACATTGAGTTGTATGATATCTCGGAACCGATCCAGGTAGTCGCAAACCAGTAACAGATGCTAGCCTAATACAACTACCCTTCATTCTCTGACGCCATATCGTACGCTCTCCACTTTTCCCAATCAATCCCAAAGTAAACAGTGATTGGTGTAGAAAGTACTGAGAAATTAGCAACACATTTCCAAGTCACCGAGACTCATGTTTTAAGACGACCACGAACAATTAGTGACGATCTCCACCACGGAGCTGGGGCTGTGGCTCAGTAGTTTAGGAAGATAACTAACAACTATTGGGTCGCGGGTTCGAGCCACGCTCTACCTGCTGAGGTTTGGGCAGCCATCTAATATCAACAAACCTCACACAGTAGGTGTGGCCCATTGTCTACTGCAAAGATGTATACAAGCTGGCTGAGTGCGTTTCGTATCTCAACCACGCCGACTATTTTCAGAATAGCTTACATGGTAATGTCAGTGCATCCGAGCAATCCTGGGGAAACAACTGTGACAGGTACTTCTCAGACAAGTGATTCCACAGTACAACCATATCCAACGAATTAACAGCAGCCCTAATACATGGGAATACGACAATCACTAGCCTGCAATACGTGGTGATTTTCAAGAGTCTAGTGGAGGGTGAACACGTGATCAACGCATCTACAACCTCAACGGAACGCGACCTGCTGCCCATGGATCAGTTTCTTGTGCATTTTACATAGCTTGTGAAATGTGATAGTATCTAACATATTAAACGCTACCAGTAGCAGACTGACAACTCGAAGATTACTACATACATAACGTAGACTCTTTTTAACTGTAGGTACAACTACGAATTCATTCCAGAGCGATGGAACACACTAAATCTGCCATATCTTACTAAATAATGAGGTCAGTCACCTGACCATACCCTTACTACTATCCTTGAAAGGAGCTGGATTTATCTTGAATGGCTGGCTTATGGAGATGAAGAACTTTTTCGTATGGATCCTTGAGGTCCTACCATATCAGAAGTCTGTTGGGTAATAGAAAGACAAAATAGCAGCCGTCAGTGCAAGTATCTACCATATGATCAGGGTAAGAGGGCGAATTCCCATTTCTGGCTGGACGGAGTGTGACAACAGTGTTTGCTTCATATTTTCAGCAGTCCATGCTGATGCTGACTCCTCTATGAGAAGAGGGGTACGAAGGTCAACCATAAAAACAATATGATCCTCACCACCTTATAGTCTTTCGGTGAAGGTGCTACAGGTTTAGTAGCTCTAACCCTAAATAATCAAACATAAATCCAAAACATCCGAACAGGTTGCATGGCGGTTTTTCTTCGCCTCTGAGATCAGACAACCGATCGGACAACAATCAGACAACGATCAGACAACTAGTAAAACTTCTTTTACAGGTTCCCCAAGAAAGTCACCTTCCACGATCATCATCATTATCAACATAGGACTAGGCATTACTGCCTAACGGTCCGAGTTGCCACACCTCATATCAGCACATCAAGTAAAAAGGTAGTGAGGTGAAGGATGAAGATAAGTGAATGCAGTCAAAAGAAATATAAAGTACGAAAAGAAAAGAAAGAGGAGTGACAAAATGGTGAGATTCGGTATAGCGTTGTTAAGATGAGGATAATGTGTGTATACATCTGCGCCACTGACTTCGGTTCTGAGCCATATCACCTAGGGTCTCCAACCACTTGCTCCTCTTGTCCCGTGGACCCCAACCACCTAGTCTGCATCGTCCTACATGGCTTAAACCAACAGTCAGAGACTTCATACATTGGTGCCATGTTTTAGTCTGGCCACCTCGGGCCTTTTTCAGCCTAAACCCACCTCAGCCAACATTGTGTGACGAGGCAATCGGTGACCAGGCGTAGGCATACGTAGTACGTGTCCCAACCATCTCAGTCGATGAAGGTTCACAACCTCGCCGACTGACTTACCTCTTCTCCCCAAAACTCTACACCTAACTTCTGCATTACTCATGTGGTGACACCACGGAATACGTCCTATATTACGAAGGCAACGGTGATCAAACACCTGAAGCCTTTTTGTATCCTCCACTTTCAGTGGCCATGTTTCACAGCCATACAGTAGAACAGAGCGGACTGCTGTGCAGTACACGCGACCCTTAATAGACAAACGAATATCACGGCGGCGCCATAGGTGGCGCAAATTGGCAAAAGCCAATCGAGCCTTTTGTATCCGTGCTGAAATCTCATCGGCAACTAACCCACCACGATATCTGCACCCGAAAAGTGTAAACCGCCCTAACAACTCTATCAGCCCCAAAATTCCCTCGGATTATTATCAACGTCGTAAACCTCTGTTAATCATCACCTGTCACCTTCAATTCCCTTCAGCTCTGCAGCCTCTGATAACGATTCGTGTTTACGAAAAAGCATCACTAGTCTTCGAAATCTACACTACAAACTAGAGATATTGGCTTCGATGCATACACCCCTCATTCGGATCAGATGGCAAGCTTCCCTAACGAAAACTGGCACCTCGGGCCATGAACATGTGCTGTATTTGAGAGACACGTATACTGGACTGCACTAAGTCGACACGATGAATCTGCGAAACTGACTCCTTCAGTTGACGAAAATGCAATGGTTAGTTCTTGTATGTATGGGTATGGCACTAGATCATGAGGCAGAAATGCACTGCTGAAATGGATGGCAGACGACTGTCGTTTGTATGCTGTTCGACTGAGTCATGCAGTGGGAATAACAATGAAACTCACTGTCACATCTTGGTATTCCCCTCCCAACGCACTCGCTGACTGCACTTTGGAAGAAACGAAGAATAAGGTCTACCGAAAACTGTCTAGCCTCCTAATGAAAGCTTAAGGTTTACATGTAGTTATCGTAGCATGTGAAATCAATCCATAAGATAGTAGGCATTTAGGTGGCACTTCCAAAATCCAATCTGAAAGAACAGACAACGGTGATCACATGCTAAGCCTGTCCTCAGACAACCACCACCACCAGCACAAGCTTTAGGCGCAAAGAAAGACATTATTATATGAGGCATTCACCGACCTCAACTCAACGACAGACACAAATATTGCAAGTGAGGGTTGGTAGATTTCCCCTTCTTCTGGAGCATGTGTTTAAACTGATCACGCGTCTGTCTACACCTAAATGCCCGTATAAAAACTAAAGAGACTAGGCCATTGAGAGCCCAGCTCGGGAATGAAAATACTAAGGCTGTCAGTAACTAGCTAGACAGTTATCGGAAAAGGATGTCACTCATCCAGATCTGGTGCCATCACCAGTCTGCTGTAAAAACAGAGCTAAAGACCGTAACTGATACTCAGATAAAGAATTGAAAGTACTAGTAGATCTCAATAGTCTTCTCTGAATCAATGCATAAGCATGAAATTGTTACTCCAGGTTTCGAGAGCAATGAGGAAAAAAAGCGACTTAAACGTAGACTGATAAAGAGTCTAAGCAATGACCACGAGTAATGACAGGCAATCCACTTAAGCTGATGCAATCCCCATAAACCAGTTTCTGGAACAAACACGGGCACCGATGACAGCTTTTGTTGACCTGAAAGTGGCATTCCACCCCGTTGATCGACAGATCATATAGCAGTCACTCAGTGAAAGGTTTTTCTGTTCACCTGTTTCCTTAGCCCTGGTGCGATGTGTTGCAACTTGAACCAATGCATTTCTGTGAGAGGTTTCATGTTTTGTCTTTTTTGGGAAGAGTACACCCTTTATTCGAACACCTGTGGGTGTTAGAGCGTGATGTATATCCAGTCGTGTCTATAAGGAACTGCCAACCCATTTCTCGGTTTCATCATAATGTCCCTATTGAAGTCCCCCTCCCCTTATGACGTTACAGAGGTTGAACTGCTCATAGGAGACACCTAAGTGGATTTGCCCAAAACTTACAATGTGCGCCCGAAGTAAATGCTGGTTAGGTAAGCTTTACTCAGGTTTCCAAAGATATTCACACGGAGCAGTGGACTACCTCTCAAAGATTAAATGTATAGTCCTTAACTACTCCATTAGTATTATATATCTTGCAACAAGGACACTGACAAAACCCTCTGAAGTATTTTACACAGGTCTAAAAACAGAATGAGCAGTACGCGTATCTCAAAATGCTCTAGACATTCGGATGAAGTTACGTAACCAAGTTGTTACAGCTCATAAGTGGAAGAATTTATATGCAACTGGAACACGTCTATTTAAAATGATGATAGGAACTGCTCTACACTGTTAGTACAACTAATCATATAAAAGCGCACAGGACATGCAATCATAAATACTGTGTGCCCTTTTCTCTATCCTCAGCGCTCAGATTACCTTATGAGATCTATTTGTATATTCGTCAAAACAGATCTTTATCTTTTAAAGCTGTCAAAAAATAAAAATAAATAACGAACAATTCATTTAAGCTACAGCTTAAGAAGACTGAACCACTGAGTGCAATTTTAGAACATCAAACTAGTAAAATATGGATAAATGCTCCACAGGTTAGTTGTTAAAGGTTTATACGACTGACAGTCTATTAACGCACACTTTCGTAAAACAAAAACAAATCTTGAAGAAAGAGACTGTACTACTACCTTGAAATACCCGCCAGCTCCTTCAGCTGTTGTTCAAACTTCAAACTTCGTGTAGAATTTATGAACGACGATTCCTTGAATCCTACTTCTGTTTTGCTGCAGTGTATACTGTGTTTGAAATGGTAACAGTTGTCTCCCTGGTTCCGTAGAACCTGGAAGTATACACGTGTTCTATTATTATTTGATCTGGCCTCAAGGTCGTATTACTCCTCTTGACCTGTGGATGACGAAAAGCTTCTGGAGTGCAGCCCATCGGTACCACAAGACTCTGGATGTCTCTCTTACCTCCTTTTGAAATCATCAGAGGATGGGGCTGCACCAACCTCTGAGGGAAGAGAGCTCCAAAGTTTACAATCGTCAACTGCAAATGAGTTAGTAAGGATCTTCGTACATGCTTTCTCATACTTTACCCATAAGAGATGCAGCTCAGGGTGGCGTTTCTGATCGGAACCTAAGGGAAATCCATCAGAAGGTTGTACGTATGATCATATCCCCTCATATCCTCCGGCGTTGAGTTGGATGCAGCTTAAAAGCGACTGAGCAATTTAAGTGAGGTTTCTTCCGTGATCCAATCACTTTCTTCGTAGCTCTTCCTTGAATCCATTTTAAGATGGCTATGTCCTACAAGTATGCGGCGGTATGAGCGAACTCTTCTTAAGATGGGGGTGGATATGTAGACTATACACTGTGGTGAAAAGAGGAGTTGGAATCCCTAAGCTTCGCAAAAGAAGCCCCAAGATTCCACAGGTTTTGTTGGCAGCAACGCTATAGTGGACCAAGGCTCCAAGTGTGTCGATTAAAGTGACTCCCAGATCTTGTCCCATGCTTTAGTAATATATATTTATTTCGCCCAGAGAGCAAGAACTGAAACTGGCACTATATTTTTCAACTACCACTACCTGCTTCGTCTATAAGACGTTTGAGAATTCACTTCTCATGTTTACGATCAGTTTAAAACTTGAAGCTTCTTGTTGGAGAATTTCTGAACTACGGTTCATTGCATTCTATGTCTGTCTTTTCGGAGTGCGTTCTGGGTTTGAAATGGTGGCAATTTTCTTCCTGGTTCCTGAAAGCCTAAAAGGATGGAGATAATAGGTCATTAGTTAATCTGGTCTGAAGGTAGTGTTACTGCACCTCATCTACAGATGACGGAAGGCTTCTCGAATGCAGCCTTTCGGCACCGGGAGACCCAAGATGCGCGTCTAACCTCGTTTTGGAAGTATCAGCGGATGGAGTTGTAATAACTTTTGAAGGAGTTGTTGCGCAAAACACCATTCAAATTTCAAACTTCCTGCTGCCGAAGTAGCGAACAACGGGTCCTCGAATTCTACGTCTGTCTTACTGGAACATACTCTGTTCGAAGTAGTCGACCGGTCTCTTGAATCAAAGAGACATGAGAGGACAGGGAAAGTCTTTTGATTATTTAATTGGCTTCAATTAGGTTATGTAATATCTACGGTTCATAAAATGGTGAGCAGCCTCTTGTGCACTGTTCATCTGTACAAAAAGGCTACGTGTGTACCAAATATCCTTTCGAAAGCATCAAAAGAGGGAATTATGACAACTTCTTCTGGAGGGGGGTTCCACAGTTTACGCATTAAAACTCCAAATGGGTTAGTTCGGATCACCAAACGTGTTCTTTCACACTCTCATCTGAAAAAATGACCTCTAAGTGGCGTTTGGGATGAAGAGGATTATAAGCGATATGAGACACCATGATCAAATCCTCTATCATAGAGCATCAGGCTTTTCCAAAAGAGTGGCTTTTCACGTTTACTTAAATTCTTGACAGTTTTTCCGTTTACACACCAAAGCTATCGTATTTTTTTACTCGACTCACCCTCTGATTAAAACTAGCCAGAAACTTTTCCGGGTGAATATATTTAGCTAACCACTAGTTTTGAGGAAGTTGTTTGTTTGTTTCAGTGCAAACGGTTTTCTCTGACACATTTTGTGTAGCTCCCATTTAGTCTTTAATTTTTTTACTCGCGTGTAACTTTTCTTTCAACTGCGTCTCCAGCGCCTGCGGTACAATGAACCGGAAGTGCCATAAAAATGCTTATGGTTGGGCAGGGCGCTGCCTTGTAGTTGCCTCTGGTATGCGGCCTTCCGAATGTAAGAGTTGGCTCCACATTAGTTGCGCAAGCCTAAGGCCCCCAGTATATAAGGGATGTAGTAATACTGGGAGCTTGTGGATTTGCGAGCCGCGCTGCTGGGATATTCGTGACCTGGTGAAAGAAGCGAAAATGGTTCTTAATATGGTAACAAAGTGGTAGGAGTTCGAAGGGAAAATAGATAACTGAGGTCGATAATAAATAAACGTATAAATAAGTGTTTTGTTTTCACGTCAAGAAAAAGTATAACATGACAGAAGCCAGTTTACAGGCTTCATCACGTTGATACATCTCAAAGTATCTACAAGACTTGAGCCCTCAGTGGTACTGATAGAATGTCATTAAACTCAACTAAAAACTGCCGAAGATCCTGCTAGCTATAAAATGAACAAGGAAATATTACTTTACAGAGCACATACAGTGTTAAAGTTTAGATAATGATAAATATTGTCTTCATTTAACAGGTTTAGCATGAGGGATACCAGTTTACAAGCACCGTCAAATTCATAATTTTCGAAAGTTTACGAACTGGTATTTAGTATTAAATAATTTACATATCAAGTCATCAGTGTGCATAATCTTATTAAAATTCGCTGAAATTCATGAGACGGATATGGATTTTCATCTCCCGTCTCACAGACAGGCTCCACCAATCTCAAGAATGTCCTGCGACAAAAAGTCGGGCGTGTTGACCACCTATGATGTATGTTGACGGCGACTTAGAAGACAATACCCACGGCAGGATGAGGCGGGCATCTCCAGACTTGGGCATTCCCAGAGTTGGCCGACCAGGTTTGAAAACTACCGACCGTGGAACTAGGTCACGGTTACCCCACTCAAGATCTGCATATTAGGCAAAAGTAGCGGTCCCCACCGAAAACAGGTTGTCGCTATCTAAAGTCATGTTCATATCAGCAGTGGAGGGGGATCAGATTCTGAACAACCCTTATCGACTTCATGGAACTGGAGCGTTCATGTGCCAGGATCTTCCTCCTTTTGGTCGAATCAAAAAAGAAAAGCAGAAGAAAAACTGTGTTTGAGATTAGCGGCAGAAGAGAAAGATCTGAAAGCGGCGGGTTTTTGTGTGATGGAGTTTCAGCAGCAAATGACGCCAAAGCATCTGCGGATTTGACATAAACCTATCTAAGCGGTTTTATCGCCCCATACGCAAATGCACACAGTGGCCTAGGCAAGCGAACTGAGCTTGGTCACGTGACAAGCATAGAAAAGTCTGAGGTCATTGCTATCTCGGGAAAGTGGCCCTCTTCCGAGATTAGTGGCAGCGAAAAATTTTTAAATGGATTCTTTATTCCCCGAAGTGATGAGTTGGCACACAGAGGTGATGGTGCCATGCTTATGCTGAAAATACCTGGGTTATGAGGATCATGGGGACGGTTTCGCATGAAGTGAAGTACTATGCGGCCGGCTAAAGTGTAAGCGACAAGATACTAACTCCATTGTAGTACATCGAGGCCCTGAATGTGGGGTGGAAGCCTTAATCCCAAACAACCTGACCCTCTGGACAGATGGTTGCAGATGCTTAGACTTCAAGGCACCATCAGCCGACTAGAATAGACTAGTGATAGAAGCATCTCGTGACTCATACGATCATAGGTTAGTGAAAACGTAGGTCTCCTTGGACTTCATACAGCATATTCGGGCGGGGGCATGCTATTATCAGCTAACTACATCGGCTCTAAACCTAGTGTCCTCACACGCAGACGATGTATGCTTCATGAGTCACCTAGCATCTCTTCGTAAGTGACCATGCTGTGATCATCTTCAGATTCACAGCAGCCATCATATGTAGGACCGATGCCCCTACTGGACCCAATGTATACTAAAGGCAAACAAGGGGGCTATTAGCTCGCCAACCTCTCTGGAGGATTGACAGTCGATCTACAAGCCCCAACCGAAACTTCATAATGCTCCTTTAAACAGTTCTATGCATCAGTGACTCAGCCATTCACTCCGTTGACTGTGTCCGAATGCACGGAAACATTGTCCTCCGTGGATGAGCCACGGTATCTAAATTCTGCTACGACGTAAGAAGTACTAGGGTCTTGTGGCCCACGTCGGTACTCCTGAAGTGATGGAGGATGAAGCGAAGTCTGGATTAAATGTCTCACTGACACCCGCCGGTTTCGAATAAGTTTTGGAACACGTCTTGCCCATGCCACATTGCAACATTCAAGGGGATTATTTCCTCATAAGACCCATGGGAGTAAGATGTATCGTGGCACGCCCTCTCTAATCAGAGGGGAAGAAACTAGCCGTCTGAATAAAGACCATAAGGGGGAAGCAGAAGCATTGGCCTTATATTCTGCTTGCGTTTCTACATAAGAAAGTCCTGTGGACACTGACTTGACAGTGGAACCATTGACGTCAAACAGAGTAGACTCTGTGGATGTCGACAGCAATGACATACTTCGGACATTAGGAACTCTCGATGTGGACAAACCAGGGAGACTGGATAAGCTGCGCCCAAGGCTCCTCAGAGAGCTCACACACCATGTACCCGGCCATTGGCTTTCAGATTTAGACTTCCCCCGGTAAAGGCACACTGCATTATTTTCGCAAGAACGCCATAGTCACAACTATCCGCAAGGCATGTTCCGGCTAGCACACACTAAATTAAAGACCGATACACTTAAATAGGACTTTAGTAAAAGTCCGAGAAGGAGTAATCAAGGTAACCGTTGCGGTCCACCTCAAGAGTAACACTCTAGTGCCTCGTTCGTAGCACGGCTTTCGCACAAATTTCTATTGCTTGGCGGACCCACTCAGTCACGGAAAGTTGGGCTGAGTCTAATGAAGATGGGATGCCCGTACATTTCATTTTCACGGACTTTAGGGGAGCATTCGACGAACTACTTCATTCCAGGTCTTCCAGGAAATTGAAAGGCTCTGGAATAACCGGGAATCTGTCTGGATGAATCAGAGAATTCCTTGTTGGTAGGTGACAAAGATTGAAGATCCATTCTCAACTCTCATCCTGGAAATCGCCAAAGAGTAGGGCTCAACAAGCATAGTCCCACATCCCATGCCACTGTTGCGATGCTCAAGCAAACTGCCAAATGTCACGAAATTTCCTGATTCTCTGCCCCGATTATCTAAAATCTGGCGGGAAATTAGGCACAACGAGGATATACTGGCTAACTTCTAATCATCTGGCGATTTTTCCAGCTTATCGAATACACGACATTTCGTATACTTGGCCTTCTTATTGTATAATGACAGCCACCACACCTACACTGACCTTTCATATGAAGCGTTGAGGAAACTTCCAAAAGTTACTACCTCAAACTAACGTCACATTCTGCCCCACCCAATACAGTAATCGAAAACAGAAATTCTACACCACATGACAGAATGAAATTTATATTTTTAAGTACTCAACAGTAAAAGGACATACAACGAACGCCATGGCAACGGAAGTCAAGTAGGGAAAAAAATGAACATAGAAAATACTCTCCTTGTTGGAATTCTTATTTTCTCCGCTTGCTGCTTTGTCTGCATTTCTTTCGTTGTAGAAAAATGGTTCAGTTCTAAACGTTGGCTTTGCTACCATCGAGAATTAGTTGCTTAAGGAAGAGACCATGCTGAAACTACCATTCATGGAGGATAAACAGTTCTGCTGAGTTAAAATACCTAACTACAACAGGCAGGAATAAAAAATGTTCTTTGCACTACAACTTCATAATCATCAAAATCTAGGACCAACTCATCATAAAAGTGACGAAGAAAGTCTAACACTTACCGACTGCAAGGCTGTCACGACCAGTGGAAAAGAAGGACAAGATGTTCTGGAAGTCTATTTGGTGCATTCACACAAGTCTATTGCTTCTGGATGCTGGAGTTGGAAAAGTGAAGACATTTGGCTTTCGGTCGTAATATTCATCAAGTTCATGAATCTTTGTTGTGGAACGGTATTAACATGCATGAATTATGCAGTCCTAGAACCATCAATGAAGTAAAATATGTAAACAATTCATGCATACTTTCCTTCATAAACCTTTCACCATAATCTGAAACAAAAGTACATACTGTTACAATGGAAGCATTAGCTTCAAGCTTTATTTTTCTCCAGGTAATACCTGTAATGTCTAGATACAAGCCTGGTTTTTTTGTTAATGCGAAGACAATACTCCCACTTGTTCAACTTGTGAATTTTCTCCTTACTTATTCTGTTGGGACGTTCCATCATATGAACATGCAGCACCTATATCTTCCAGTGACAACGAGTGGGGATTGAAACTACCTTCTATGAAAATACATGTAATTTGCATATAAACTTATTCATACCTGTAAAAGTGGTGTGTGCCTGTATATTCAGGAGTAATAATAACAATAATTATTATTATTAAGGGGGTTTACTGCAGTAGCTGCAGGCATTTCAGAAGGTTAAGATTTGTACGCTACCATAGGTACCTTTTGCTTCCAGTTGAGCGAGCGTTGATATGCTGTTGTCGCTGCCTGCGAGGCTATTTTTTGACCTTGTTGGAAGCCTGACAAGATTCTTCTTCGGACGTCGGTATCTTCAGGATTCCTGGTACTACATATGAAAATTAGACATTTAAGCTGGTCAGATATCATTTCGCTGGTTTTTAATCGTTCGCATTCGGGACTGGCTTTAGCGACGTAGGTCATATAATCCTCAGAAGGTAACCTGAGTAACTGGAAGGGCTGACATTAATCAATGGATGGAAAAGACAGTTCCCCAAAAATGTGGGATGAGCTGCAGATAGCCTCACCAAATGAAGTCACGAGAGTTCTTTGGACGGATGAAATTAATTTATTCATTGTGTTCGATATTACCGGGCTTTTGTAATGATAACAATAACATTCGAACTCTGGTTGCACCACCAAACTTGAACCACTCATATCAGTTGAAGCGTGAATCAAATATGAGACCAGATATTGAATCACAACCGAACTCGCTGACGGAGTTAGAAATGCTTCCATACTTATTAGCATGAGATGTCGATAGTGACTGAATTGACAACTCCGATGCCCGAACTTCAAGTAACCTCCGCTAAGATACTTCATTCTGAGCTTGTTGAGAGAGTAAAATAGATCTGGGATCACCCTTTGAAATAGGCATGGGGAAAGTAAAAACTAACGACCGCCACCAAGTAACGTGATTGAGGAAGCAAAAATGATAATAACGCAATGAGACGTTTGCGCTGGATACGAATGGTGACTGATCTGTCTCAGAACCTCATGCCCCATCGGACCGCGAAAACCCAAAGAACAAGGTTGGTCCGTACTCTCATGAACACATGAAAACACAAGGTTAAAGGTGGGACGTTTATTTCGATTGGTCAACTGCAGGAAAAAATTGTTCAATGAGGTTTGTTCCGATAACACTGATATGAAGCACGGGTCGAAACTCAAAATAGGAAATTCCATGCATGTAGTTAATCTACATTTCAAAATATTCAGGTTTTATCGGTTTTTGGTGTGAGGCCTGGAGATCCATGGATTGCCCACCAATTTTTCGTACTTGCAGGACAAAGGAAAGTGTTAGACCAAAAAAGAAACCGCACTTGGCAGCCAGTTACGAACCGTATGTTTGTCGCCTCGGGTCAGTTTACCGAGTAAACTGGATAAGAGGTCTTGAATGAGCAACAGAATGTAAAGCGACAACGTGTGTGATGACCGGAAAGCTTGGCACCACACCTTAGCCCAAGGGAATCTCTTGGAATCGGTGTGTTGCAGTGGCTCTCGAATACTGCTGAACCATGGGCTTGGGCGTTCGGAAGTTACTTGCTACCAAATGTCCTCAGATTTACTCCCTACTGTATTTTAAATCTATTTTAGACCAAAGCTAGAGGTATTCAACACGATAGCCCCCCGTCTACTAACGAAAGACCCGGATGCTCTGGAGAGGGTACGGAGAAGGTTGGTTGTCGGGCCGAAAGGCAAAGTGTGTGCGCAACGCCTTAGACGACTCAACTTATTTGCATTAAGCTATCTAAGAAAAAGGGGTGACTCAACGGCAGCCTTCAAGATTATTCACCGAGTGGACCTTACAAATAGCAACGTTATCCGTCCCAAACCACGTCCTGAGGGAACCCTGCTCACACACTCTACCATAGGGCAAAGACAACAGTGAGATCAGACTTCTCAGACAGCTTCTGTGCCCCGTGAGACGCTGTGTTGAAGGAAGTGGCAACAACTACATCAGTTAACTCCTTCAAAAGACAGTCAAATAGGTACATGTGCCCCAAAAGCTTACCTCGAACATTCATAGGCAACAACTGAAGGTGTGCTCGTCCACCCCTATAGTCCACAACCCTAGTGTCTGCAATAAGATGCGTCCGTTCACCATGTTATTGCCAGTACCACTTGTTTTCCCTATGGTACTTTTCACTCCCCTTTCCTCACGCCTCACTCGCCCTATTTCTAGCACTATGTTTTAGGTAAAACGTGTTGCTTGCTTGCAGCGCTTACGGAAGATGGGATCGCAAAAGGTTATTTGACCTTGTCAACAGCTCCGTTGCCCCCCAAACAAGCCAAGCTATAATTTGTAGGAAAAATACCTTCAAGTGGACAGTCACTACCTTATTTACTAACTCTTTTCTGCAACCGAACTCATGACATCTACTTTTGCCTTTCGGGTAGTTCCCACAAGCCTGCCGTTCCTATTCAGGTACCTACACAGACAGCAGTCACGATAAACCCCTAATCTCCCCGGTTTGTCGTAGCTCCCCAGTCGCTTTACAAATTGCAATTTACTGACTCACAAAGCACCCACTTCATGGAACCTAAAAGCGAGAAGACAGAGATTTCCCTGTTCACCTAAAGAGCGAACTGAACAACTCAAACGAAGCCTTTGGAACTAGACGCGAGAGATCAACAACTATCAGTTTTCTAAGCTCGCATTATCAATGTTGGATATTACCGCCAAGGCTACAAGCAGGAAAAATGTTAGGTCTTCTGACACCAACGAGGAAGTATATCCAGAGAGCCAAGCCTCAGAATGCAGAAGTGAGAGCTCAAAAACCATAAGTTTCCTTCACTCAGACTACTAAAGTTGAATACTGGATATTGGGATTTGTCCTTTGTGTTATGGTTCTTTTTTTTGCACAACTCAAAACGACAACAGCGCTCACTAGAGTCTTATTCTACGAAAAAGCCTGTTGTGACTTGAATTTCCAACTAAGTCTTAATTATTTTTTCGGGTTACATAGCTTTGAAATAGACGTTGTTTTAATTAACCACTTAAGAATCCACTCACCATCTTCTTAAACATCTGCGATGTTGGTGCAGTAGTACGTACGTATTGTATTGAGATTAATATTATTATAACACAATATGGGGGAACTTGACCAACTGCGTCAAGAAACGGAACAACTCAAGAGTCAAATTCGAGTATGACTGAAAGACGTATCTGACTTACACTAATTGTTCTCCTAGGAGGCTCGAAGGGTGGCAGCTGATACCACTTTGCAACAAGCGACGTCTAATGTTGAGTACATAAACCGTACTCAGCTCCGTAGCAGACGGACATTACGTGGACATCTGGCGAAAATATATGCGATGCACTGGTGTTCCGATTCGCGAAACCTAGTATCAGCTTCTCAAGATGGAAAGTTGATAGTGTGGGATGGATATACTACCAACAAGGTGGGTTGTTGCCTAATAAACGGAGGTTTAATAGTGTTTTTTATAAATTATTTGATAAGCATGTAATTTGTCAGGAAACAGACCCAATAAGTGGCTAACATCAGTGATTGTCCGCGGAACTGTGTTAAATGTGCCCTTGTAAATACTTGGTCTTTTTGTTGACGTGATACAAATTCTCTTTTTATTTTTCGTCACTTGAGCTGTATATGTGCTTTCATTATCCTGCCAACCTAGTTGGAAGTGCCTTGTTTCAATATTTTGTAGTTTTATTAAACTTTACTGGAACAACTTTTCCTAATGTACATTATTGTCACGGTGTCTCAGACATTTTGGTGTGCCCAAATATTATATGGTGATTATAAAATAATATTAGCTGCAACATGCACCACTACACAGTCAATTTTAAATGGTCGGGTTTCAGTAGGTTTAAAACCAGGTGCGTAAAGTAATTAAATTGAGTCAAGGAGAATTACCAGTTGTCTTCGCCCTAAGTCTAGTTAGCATAGCCACTTATGAGTGATGCAGGTTTTGCAAGCAGTACAGTCGGTCTTTAAGTATGGGGTGTATTCTCAGCATGATTTGTGGGAATCTAGTCATTCCTAATATGGGACTGTCAGACAAATTAACGTAAGATCTTGCATATAAGTGCATCGCTTCCAGTTGCCACACTTAACAGCAACATCCACGGAACAAATGGATAATAAAAAGATATCAGAGTAGATAAAGGTATGTGAGAAAAAGACCTACTTGAAGATGTAGGTAGATGAAAATATTGAAACCTTAGAAGGCATTAAAGAGTGAGTACGTCTCAACCACTGTGACTGATCCTCAACCATGTCACCAAGAGTTCACAACCAATGATTCCTGTGGTCTCGATAACCCCAGCCAGGTAGTCTACACCTCTCTACACGGCTAAGACCAACAGATACTAGTGCAATGTGTTAATCTAGTTACCCTGAGGCTTCTTCCGACTTAATCCTTCTTTGGCCACCATTGCATGTCGGAGTAGGTTGTTTTAGCATGCACAACACATATCCAGGCCAACTCAGTTGAGGTGGGTTCACAACTTCATCGATTACATTACCTTGCTTGCTTAGTACCCTTCCATCTATCCAAATCAACATACAACGAGAAATTGCTGCAAAGCAGTCCGAGTTTCCACAGCTCATATCGGTACATCAAGTAAAAAGGCAGTGAAGTGCTAGATGAAGATAAGAAAATTCAGTCAAAAGAAGTACGAGATAAGAGGAAGGAAAAATGAGAAACTGGTGAGATTTGGTATAGCGTCGTTAAGATGAGGATAATGTATGTATACATCTGCGACACTGACATCGGTTCTGAGCCATGTGATCACCTAGAGTCAGTCTCCGACCTCTGGTTCCTGTTGTCCCCCGGACCCCAACCACCCAGTCTGCATCGTCCCACATGGCTGAAACCAACAATCAGAGACTTCATACATTGGTGTCATGTTTTAGTTTGGCCACCTCGGTAATTTTTCCAACCTGGATATACTTCGGCCAACATTGTGTGATGAGGCAATCGGTGACTGGGCATACTTAATACGTGTCCCAACCATCTCACTTGATGAAAGTTCATAACCTCGCCAACTGATTTACCCCTACTACCTAAAACTCTCCACCTGACGTCTGCGTTACTCATGTGGTGTGGTGACACCACGGAATACGGCCTACACTACGAAGGCAATGGTGGTCAAACACTTGAAGCCTACAATAGCCATGTTTCACAGCTATATAGTAGTACATTTTGCTAGGTTCGACATTACCCACGTGTCGATTCCACCGTACGTGAGCCCTCTCTATGAAGGTACACATGTTCAAAAACCTGTAGTCTCTTCATATCTATTTTCAACGGTTATGGCAACTGTATGACGACAAAATAGACTCCATCAGGGTATACTCGCCCTTAAACGGATAATTGGATTTATTGCCCGTCGGCTCCAGAGGTGACGTGAGTTGAAGAGTATCAAACTGACCTTCTGTATGCGATTTCAGATTTCGTCAGTGGCCAGCCCGTTCAGGCTGATGCAACCCCCCCTCCCCACAAGTAAGTAAAGTGGTCGCCACACTCCACTACTTCACTCCCTATAATTAACCTGGGAGTACTTGCAGCATACCAGTTCTGGAGCATCATCATACATTTGACATGTGTGGGACGCCTGCCGAACATGCTTCGATTTGTATTCGATGCATTCAGAAGGCCCTGGATTTTGTCAGCATCTTTACTTAGCAGGACAATGTCGTCTGCTAACTCCAAATCAACCAGATGACCTCCAGGGAGTAGGTCAATCCGTATGAACTCAGAGGCACCTAAGGTTGTATCCGTCAATACACCTGTAACAAAATTGAAAAGGAACGGTAGCAGTGGGCATTTTTGACGAACACCACTGGTCGTCATCAGTTCTGTTCAAGTAGAGCTTTGATAACCGTTATATACTTGCTTGGTACTCCTTTAAGAGTCAGACACTGCCATAACTCTATCTTCGACGATGTCAAATGCAGCCTTCAAGTAAAAAAATATGGCAAGTTTGAAATAGTCTCTTTTATGAATTTAGATAACGCGATTAGAAGACAAAGTTCATCTGGACAATGTGGCACACTTGCTCAACACCTTTCAAAAAATCTGATCAAACACTTGTTTGTCAAGTCAATTTATATAAAACCGAAGGATACGAGGACAAAGAACAATTGAGATGATAGGGGATTAAAATTAAAAAAAGATGAAAAGGAAGTGGCATAGTTGATCCTATTCCTAGTCTATATCACTTCCTTTTCCTTTTTTAAAAATTTTAATCCCCTATCATCTCAATTGTTCTTTGTCCTCGTATCCTTCGGTTTTATATAAATTGACTTGACAAACAAGTGTTTGATTAGATTTTTTGAAAGGTGTTGAGCAAGTGTGCCACATTGTCCAGATGAACTTCGTCTTCTAATCACACTATCCAAATATGGCAAGTACGGACCACTGTTAAGTCTACCTGTGTCCCGTCATGTCTTAGGAGGGGTGGGTGAGTGTAAATCAAATCGATTCATCATATTTCATGTCTGAAGATGCCGGTTTCTCTCGAGTTTGTTGTTCCCAAGCTCCACTTAGGCGTCGGATATTTAGGGATTCTAGGATCTATGGTCGCAAAATTTCTCTTCTTTCTTATAAACTGGAATGACCAGTAAAGTAGACCAGTATGCCGGAACTGCCTGTGATCCCCATACACTACCCAGTGCCTTCGTCACTTTAATGATCAATTTTCGGCCTCCATCCTTGAAAGCTTGGGGTGGCGAACTCATATCCTGCTGTTTTTCACCGTCTCAGATTCAACATAGCCTTTTCATCTCCGAAGGGAGTTGGAGGACGGATATCTTCCTATTTTGGTTCGGTCTGGATGCTAGGCGGCTAAATCGTAGTTGTGGGCCAGTTGAGCCATGCCTCAGTGTTCTGCCCAAAGTTTTAGGTGTCTGTCCCGAGTGGTTATCAACATTCCATCCTTTTCGGTGATGTCATACCATCTTGTTGGTGTCCTTTATCAGTCTAAATAGTTTCCGGGTGTTACCCAACGCTGATCCCTTATCCATTTCTCTCACCTTCACCACCCATCAATCCTCGTTATCGTTGCAAAAACTCCCAGTCAATTTACTTTTAAGTTGCTTTTTCTCTTCATTGTAGTCAGGGCCTGCTAGAATCAGTCTTCTAGCACCAGCCATTTCGGACGAAGTTGCGGGAATCCATCGAAGTTTGTTCACCTCTGGATGTAGGTAACTAAGTGTCTTTATAGCCGTTTCTAAAGTAGACTTAATATCACGTCAGGTTTCTTCAGGATCACAATTTGTGTCAAGTTCAGATAAGTGTTTCACTATATTTTCCCCAAATACGTACTTCATGTTCCAATCGACCATGTAGAGGCTTTACTACCACTTTCCCCCCACTACCAGTAATGCTTAGACATATACGTGGCCGTACTAGTGCGTCACTGGAGTCCAAACAGGTACTCCAGAATGAGCGGCAATCCGCCACCGATCCTCTCCATTGATGGCATATAGCAATATGATCTATGTCTATCGTTAGTTTGATTTCGGCGGGCGCTTTGTGAGGTAGTGTCTCTGCTTATGCTTGAAGTTAGCGCCGGCCAAAAAGAAGTGATAATCGGAAAAAAATTGCAAGAGACGACCACCGTTTCCGGTTCGTTGGGATTTGATTCCGTAGATACCTCTCCAATGCTTTTCCGATTGACTGAGCTTTTGTACTTGAGCGTTGAAGTCACCTGCTATTGTGACTATATGCGAACATTTTGCTTTCTGTAGCTAAATTGACAGCTTCTGACAGAATTCATCCTTCGGATCAATGAAACTGCAGTTGGTGGGTACGTAAGCGAAGAGTACTAATGGGCATCGACTTTTCTCATAATCTTTCCTACTTCTTAATGACCCATTCAGTCGGCCGACACACAGATGACTGTTGACTAGTATCCGGTCGAGGAGTGTACTTTGTGCGCTACAACTCAGTAATATGTCTTCACCAACGAGTCTACGGCAGCTAACCACTGTCTGTAAATTTTGAAGATTTACTACAACGGTCAGGTGGGATCACGTGAGCAACCACACTTGGGTCCTGTATACAACACAGTGTTTATCCATGTCTCGAGGTCCCAGGGTTCTGGTGAGCGATGTCTGCTGTCCGTTTAAGTTCAGAGTTTGGACATCTGAAGTTTCAATGCGAAGTCGACAGTGAGGTCTTGGGAGAATAGGAATAGCGTCGGTAATGGCAACGGAGTGAAAGCCTGAGAAAATTATAAGAGGTAGCAAGTGGAGACAGGAGGAGACAAGTAAGGAGGATAGGTTATGTTTGATTGGATTTCGCATGCTACTAGAAGCGTGCATGCAGTTGACACTTCATGACTGCCCTTACCATGGAAGACTATTTTTTGAGGTACCTGAAAGTGTGCGACCAAAGGTTGTAGACGGTTTAAGAAAGGAGGGTAGAATAAATAACAAAATGCGATGTTTAGAATGATTTGAATATAATGTATGGATGGATCTGTGCCACTGAAATCGATTCTTAGCCATATCTCTTAGTCTCCAACCGCCGATCTCGGTTGTCACGTGGACTCTAACCAGTGGCTTGGAAGGACCGTGACTGTAACGATGACAAACAGTTCGACCGAACTCCGAGGTCTCTTCGATTCTCGACTACGCATTTACAACCTGAACAGAACTGAAGTAAGATTCCTAGCTCTTACCGAAATTGGGAGCTGTGAGTAAACTATTGGGTTGACTGTACAAGAATCGACTGGATGAACATCTTTTCAAAGACTAAAGGGTCTATAATTAATTGACGCTTGTCTATGTCACGGTGGTAAATATACTCCCACATATTTTCTTCCTGTAAATAAGAATGTTGTATTTGTATTGTTTGTTCTCTCGTATGACAATAAATTTTTACATTGTTTTTTGTATTTTTCCGTTTCAAAGTTTTTATTTCTTTGCACTTAAGTGAAGTATCGGCTAACACATTATTTTCAGTTTCTTTCAGTTGTGTGTGACTAATCAATATATGTATATGGAGCCATAAAGAGTGATAAGATTTAAGACTGTTTAGGAAACGATTCTCACCGTTTTTCAGATTATTTTGTCGTATGTTAATATGTAATTTTTTATAAGCTTCAATTTTAACCTAAATATTAGATAGTTTTATCAGCTTGCATAATAAGTCGATGACTTTATCAGTCAGTTAAGCTATTACATTTCTGAGGTGTAACCACCCAAATATTCATCATATTTTGCACTTTATTTCAGGTTCATGCTATTCCCCTAAGAAGCAGCTGGGTAATGACATGCGCATACTCACCATCCGGGAATTACGTAGCTTGTGGCGGTTTGGACAACATATGTTCCATATATAGCCTGAAAACTCGTGAGGGTAATGTTCGGGTTAGTCGTGAACTTCCTGGCCATACTGGTTATCTATCATGCTGCCGTTTTGTAAATGACAGCCAGATTGTTACTACTTCAGGTGATGGCACTTGGTGGGTACAGTCTTCTCCGTTGGATTTTTTTAACCAGTTATTTTAAATTCCACACTTCTTTCACTTTCTAGTAATGAATCACATTCTTTTTCGTAAAGATTTGACGATATTGCATTCTTACGTAATAGTGCATTTATTTTGTGATGCATCGACTAGAATATACCAGTTAGAAATCATCTCAGATATAGGCGAAACGAATTAAAAGAAATGATCATATCCCCGTTAATCTATATGTTGAGTATATTACACCGCGAAACAGTATTTCTCAGGAGATCGGATACAGTTACTACAACAACATCATAGGTAACTGCATATCTTTCACACTCCGTGTGAATATAAGTATGAATAATTAATTCTGTTCAGAACGTCACCCAGTAGATACTGTTTGACTGTGTGAAGTATTTGACAAACAAAGATGGAATTGTACACTGCCGCAATGCCCAAGTTCTACTGTTCCATTAAATTATCATATCAACTTCTTATAGCATATGTTTTGTGACAGCTACTGCATTTACCATCTTAGCATTGTGAATTGTTGTTGAAATCAGCTGGTGAATCGGTGTAAGGTAGCCAATTTTTAGGTAACATGTAGCACAAAATAAAAAGTTATTATCTAAGTATGTGTTACGTATGACTGGAAAATTTATCTTTGCAAACTGTTCAGTGCAAGAATAAAGACGTTTGCAGAATAAAACGAGCTCATTTTATTTCAGGGCTTTCCATCAGCTGCAAACAACCTACGGTTGAAATGAAATGGTAGTAATAATAACACAACACACTATAAACACGCAGAAATAAATGAAGATTTGAAATCCAGGATTAACAATAAGGTAGTGAGCGAGTCAAGGAAACACAGGATTCATAGTTACAAATCTCAGTCAAAATCAATAATCATTTATATCTGATGAGATAGAAAATTCTGGAGCTGTAAAGTGTGGGGGGACAACAAACGAAAATCAGTGTGAAAGAAAGAACTGTTTAAGAGCTAATAGGTTACGTAATTACATGAAGAAACTGGAAAATCGTTAAGTGATTAGTAGTCAGTGAGTAACTAATAAAGAGATAATGCAATCAAAAGAAAAGGGAAGACTATAGACATATACATGCAAAAATTATATACAGTTACTAGGTAAGAGAAAGGTTAATTACAGTCTTCTTCTAAGTGAATAGGTCAGGTTGAAAATGTTTGATAGCGACAGCTTCCGTAAACTATAATAAACATAGTGTTCTTTGTTTGTTGATTATCCTGAAGGATTGAAAAACATTTATTTGATGTCTTGTTTCCGTCAGATGCCTGGTGATTGCACTTTTAAAAACCTTTCTACCAATAAGACAGATTTCTCGAAATACGCTCATACAATCGAGTAGACACTCTTCTGTCAATCCGTCGTATGTACTTGCTTCCACAAGCCCAAGTGAATTCATATACACATTTGGACGTGACGTGAGGTGGGTATTTGTCTACTTTCGACTGTGTTATTGACCACAATGTATTGTAAACTGAGACCAGTCTGGCAGCAGGGAGGCTCCTTCTCAGTGCAGCTTTTATTCTTCTGTCTATTCTTTCAGGTGTCTCATCGCCTTTGAATGCTAGATGAAGGAAAACAGGCTTCTTCTCAACAGTTGGATGTTTTGGTCTCTCAATAAGTTCTTTTCCATGCTTCATGATGAATTTATTCGGGTATCCATTCTCTCTCTATAAGAGCGTTCTCAATTATTTCGAATTCTTCTTCTTGTTTATCTTTAGAGCACAGCCTTTTCATTCTAGTGGATAGCGTCCTGACTAAGCCACACTTATAGCTGACAGGACAGAAGCTATTGTAGTGAAGATACTGACCAATCTACGTGTATTTTCTGTGGATATTTTTCCCAACTGTACCACCATGTCTCCGTCTTATACTTAGGTCCAAAAGATTGAATCTGCCCTCATTTTCATATTCCACGTGTATTGGTCAGTTCCTACTCTATAATAGCTATAAGCGTGGTTTAGTCTGGACGCTACCCACTAGAATGAAAAGGCTGTGCTCTAAAGATAAACAAGAAGAAGAATTCGAAATAATTGAGAACGCTCTTATAGAGAGAGAATGGATACCCGAATAAATTCATCATGAAGCATGGAAAAGAACTTATTGAGAGACCAAAACATCCAACTGTTGAGAAGTAGCCTGTTTTCCTTCATCTAGCATTCAAAGGTGATGAGACACCTGAAAGAATAGACAGAAGAATAAAAGCTGCACTGAGAAGGAGCCTCCCTGCTGCCAGACTGATCTCAGTTTACAATACATTGTGGTCAATAACACAGTCGAAAGTAGACAAATACCCACCTCACGTCACGTCCAAATGTGCATATGAGTTCACTCGGGCTTATTAAAGCAAGTACCTAGGATGAACGGACGGATCGAGTTGACATGCAAACCTTCCAGAATTACAGTTACACTTCAAAGAAAAAGATCATCCGTAATGTTTATTCGAATTGATATGAGCATAAAAATAAACTTATCTTTTCTCTCCTCTGTTTTACATTTCAGTGCTCTTTGGGATATTGAAACTGGACAACAGATTGCTTCATTTATCGGGCATACAGGAGATGTAATGAGCTTAAGTCTTGCACCAAATCTTCAGACATTTATCTCGGGCGCTTGTGATGCTGCTGCAAAGGTTCGTTTTTTGCATTAGTAATTATTATAACTCAAAAGTTGCTTGTGTGAATATTTAAATGTAGACTTTTTCCCACTTGCTTATATTTGTAGAAAAAAGTTTATATCCTGTCAAACTAGTAACACTCAGTAATGTCTCAGTTGTTCGCCAATGTTTTTATATTTAGCTTTATATGATTTCTTTGGCTGACATTCAAATAAAGACATGATTTTATATAACCGTATCACTCTTTACATCTGGTGGTTCCGTTTTGCGTATACCTGTTAGTCGTATTCTGCATGTTTAGCCATGGTTGGCTACTTTTGTCTATATTTTAGTTTTTCTAAACCAAACGACTGTAATCATTAGTCTCATTCTGGTAACTTGTAGCAGGAATTTTTTGTATCAGTTTTGGCATGGCTAGTTGGGTTAAGTACGAATAGTTGGAAAATATTTATTATAATCAACATCTAAATATCCTTTTCTTTTTTGATGGAATAAATGTAGTGGCAAGTATTAGACTGTATGCGGTCTTATTCCTAATTGAATTTACTACAAGATTTGAATTAGCATCCCAAAAGCATTGTACTAAGCATTTCTTTTCACACATTTAGTTTGATTTAAAAGCAGGTGTCTAGGTTATCGTAAAAAGAGACTTTTCAATATAGAATTTGTATGTTATGTACACATGTATAACGATTTTTATAAGTTAGGCTCACCAAAACACCTTGTTCATGTTCAAAGTACAAAACACTTGAAAATACACCACGTCCCTAATCCAATATCGGTATTTAATTTCTATATAGTATGATTTATGCGTGAAATTAAAGAGATAATATTGGTACACAGATCACCAAAAAACAATAATTTTCCGTTTGTAAGATAAAACTGTATGTGTGGGTCGAGGATTCCTGTTGACTTGACCAGTGTTTATGTATTTTCCGTGAATCGTATCTAAGCAATCTTAATGTTGTACACAGCTCAGTCGGTAGCTTCATATATTTTCCATTATTGTTTCACTAACCGTTGAGCTTTTCATCCCATTTTCCTTTATAATTCTGAGTAACTGTCTACCGTTACCTGTTGCCTCTACCTTTGCCATCTCTTCAACCTTCACTGCCGACCACAGTTCGCAGTCGTTGCATAGACCTTTCGTCAATCTAAATTTGAATTGCTTTCACTCTTCTTTGTACTCGGAGTTTGCAGGGATGCCTTCCTGTGCAGCCATAGATTCAGAAGAAGCCACTTAGGTCCACTGATCCTTTGTGGCCACTTCCTGGGAGTCGTCTGCAGTCATCAGCTCTATTATTACAGCAAATTGGATATGTTCCATGCTTCTTATGGATGAGCGATGTTTTCCTGTTCCGATAAATGTGTAGCCAGCTACTCGCTGAAATCAGTCTTAATATTCTCATCGTTGAGCTACATTCTCAGTGATCTTGTTGGTATAGTTTTTCTTCATCCATTTAGACGCAGATATAAACATGCTCCAGAAGGAACGCTATCTTCCACTGACTCTCTTCAGCGACAACTGATAGCAAAGCAATATGGTCTGTCTATGTTCACTGTTGGGTTGAGATCGTTGAGCACCACGTTAAACACGGTTTCTCTTTACGCCTGAAGTTCGTACTAACCAGAAGTAAATGGTCGCCTGAGCACATTCATAGCACACGATCGCCGTTATCCATCCTTTTGGTTAAGATTACGAAAGTGCCTTTTTGTCTGACTTAACCTATCCATTTGTGCATTGAAATCATCTATAACAGAAATCACATATAACACATCTGGCTTTCATTAGGAGGCTAGATAGTTCTCGGTAGAATTTATTCGAACTGCAGTCAGTAAGTGCTTGAAGAGAAATTACTAAGAGGCGATGGTGAGTTTCACCATTCCTTTTGAATTCTCATTGCACGATTCAGCCGAGTAGCTCCCAGACGACTTCCACCTAGCATCCATTCAAGCAGTGGATTTTCGCCTTATGACTTAATGCTATACACTAGTCATTGAATTTTTGGCAACTAGCACAGTCAGTTTTTCAAATTCATAGTATTGGCTTTTTGGGGGTTAAGGGAATAACCGCCTTGGGTCCTTTGTGCATGTCTCAGAAACACAGCACACATACATAACCCAAGATGCCAAAGTTTTGACTAGCAGAGCTTTTTGGCCGATTTGAGGGTTACGGACGTCAAGCTTCGGTCTGAAGTTTGGAGTGTGGTCTCAGTAGACTAGTATTGCTATTCTATGAACTCAGCTACAGAGCTGCAAAAAACTGAAGATAATGTAAGATTGTTGACCAAGAGAGGTGAAGGAAGGTTAGAAGTTAAGAGTTTGAAAGGTTGACAGTAATCTGAGCTAACTTGAATGGTGACAAAGTTGTGCGCGTGATTGACACTTCCCGGCTGCCCTCATCGCGAAGACTGGTTCTTCTTGGATTAGTGGGTGACCGCAGAGCTCAAGGGAAATCTGCCTGACGTCAGTCACACACGGCCTTTTTTGAAGTCTGGTAGTCTAGTTTGTTTTAATGAGTCCGACTATGAACCAGTATAACTGGTATCGGTATGCCTCACGTTAACGGAAAGTGTGCTAATTTTGGGGTCCAGCTTTTTTAAACCTACCTTCCCACCAGGAAGGCAGCATCAGCGTGGTGCCACTGGCCATCCACGTGAAACACCTTACTTCCTTCACACTCCCGTCCAACCAGCGCAGTATAACTTGACTTTGGGGGCCCCATCTCAGCGTTACCACTTTTTCTATAACGGTAATTGATTTTTGTCTTACCACTATCCATCAGATTTTTCTGGTATGGTAGGACCTCGAGAAAACAAGCGTTGCACCAGTATGGTTAATCGAGTCACTGTGATATGTATGCTCGACCATGTCAAGGCACCAGCTATCCGATTACTTTCGAAGGGTTGCCTGTACTATTCTGTTCTACTACATGGCCATTGAAAGTTGATGACATGACGAGGCCTCAGCTATTCAACCACTGTTTCTTAGGAAGCATCGGCTATGTGTCGTTGAGCCACGACGTTAGTAACAGAGCTCAGGTGTGGGCTAGGCATTTGAGGAGGCTGTGAACGTACGTCGACTCAAATGATTGGAACATTTTACATATATCTAGTTACCGTCTATTCGGACAAGAAATGTTAGCCTAAGTGGGCTAAGGCTGAAGTAAAAATAAATGTGACACGGGATCGTGAAGTAATTGACTGTTGGTTTGAAAGTTATGGCGAATATAGACTTAAAGGTTGGGATATGTGTGTCAACCGAAGCCAGTAGTTTGAGACTATTGGTGATTTGACTCAGTCGATCTCAGAGGCATAGGTACATCCACACGTTATCTGAGTCTTAGTCATCATATCACGTTTTATTTGCTTCACCTCTCTTCCAGACTTCTTATAACTTTTTAATACTTCGATTGTATTCACTTTCCCTGTTTCCATGTTTTTCCTCTTGCTACCGTGCATCTTGGTGGGTTGGTATATGGTATGGTAACTTTGGATCGTTACACAGTACGTCTAGATCCGAAGTGGATAGAGACTGACTGACTAATGTTTCTGTCTGGTAATAGTTTAGGTGGTGTACATTAAGAAGAAGAATATTAAAGACGATAAACTTACAAACCATTTTTAGGAGCACTGATGTGGGTGTTATTTTTGTCCCCATGTGCCTGAATCCATATACAAGAGTTTCTGTATTCTGACTGAAATTTACGCAACCGATAATTCAAACCTGACAACAGTCAACACTGGAGGACCAATATACTTAAATACAAATATTTATGTGATGCACAGAGTTATGGGAAAATAATTTGTTGACGTCTACTAAGTCATTTTGATTAAAAAGATTCGACTGGTTCGCGTTTCACTAACTGATATTTATAGTTGACAAGTGAGTGATAAAGGCTTTTGTGAAGCAGATTTACATACAAAACTCTCGCTGGTGTAAATTGATTGCTTGGCAAGACGTTTTACGTTTATGTATAAGGATACTTTAAACTATACTCATTCAAATTCTAATTTTTTTCTTTTACGATACCTTTACAACAGCGGGTTACTGGTAAGTACTACTGTGCCTGTAGACCTAACACCAAGCTGTTGAACTCTACTATTAGAGCCTTTTTCAAAAATTGCTTTTTCTGTTATTCACGCTAACCTCTAAATGAAAACGAATTTTATAATTTGGAAATTTCACTTCAGTAAAACTGTTCAAATAAACTTAGATACAAACCTCGTTTTTAAGCTAATCTAATGAATATGTTTCTGTAGTGGGATAGATGAATCTTTTAGTTTTGTATTCATTCTCAATATAACCTGACATGTGGACACTTGAACAGTAACCCTTGACGGTATCTTGATTCCTCAGCAAACAGAAGAAGGGATACGTCAAAAGAGGCATAAAGCAACGTCAAGCGGGTGTACAAAGTACGGTGGCATTATATATATATATATATATATATATATATATATATATATATATATATATATGTATATAAAATATCCTTGGCTGTTTATAAATCTTTCTGGAAAGGCATTCTCTATTGATTTCTCCTCTTCAACCAAACTTATATTTACATATTATCACGTGTCTTTTCATGTAACTTCTGAGTATAGTGCATTGGGGAATTTTGAACTTCTTTGATTGATCTGGAAAATCTTAATATACGCCATAATAGTTCTAATTAACCTTCCCAGAACTTCTGACTGTCATTCAAAAGTGCTTATTTATCTATTTTCTGAAAGCGTCTAATTTCTTAAACTAATACTTCCACTCTGTTTTTCCTTTATCTACACTACCTATGTTCCTAGGATTTAGAGACTGGGAACAACCCATCATTTTAGCATTGGTTTTTGTTGAAGGTGAAGTATCGATGAGTGTTTCTGATGTATGTCACTAATGTCTCATTTCCTACACAGAACGTTTGGTAGATGCTCTTGAAGTCTGAGCACGTCAGTGGTAAAATTGATGATGGCGACGCGGGTTCGAACTCCAGGCACGCCTTGCTGACGATTGCCAACAAGCATGAAACTTATGTCCAGGACTTCTAACAAATAACCTCCGACTAACTGATATCTATCAGGGTGCACTATGCTGGCGAGTTTCTTAGCTTGGTTACCAGATTATAAAATGACCAGCAAAATTTGGCCAACACTCAGGACTAGACAACAATGAAATTGGTTGCTCTTCAGTGACCAGTTAGTGTATTTGTGTCATTTGGGAGACTGATGGGTAAAACAATAAATAATATATGAACGTTGGTCGTACATATATTGAACTGAGGTGACATGTGAATAACGGAGAAAAAGTTTATTGTTAAGGCTTGTCAGTAAATGAGCATCCTCACAAACCCGTTTATAAAATAGTTAACAAATAAAATAAATGGCCACTGATTATATCCTAGTATTCAATAGGATACTAACATCTAAGCGGGATGTCAACGAGAAATATGCAATATTTGAAGCGACTTCATATATGCACAATGGAGTGAAGGTCATCAATATGTCATTCATTTTAACCCATGATTAATAATCATAGTTCCTTGACTTCTTGGTGTCATAATTTAGTGTATATTAATGTAGTGCTGTGCTCATCGGTTTTTAATTAGCCTGTTTCAGTAAGTAATATTTCATTGATTAGAAGAGAACTCATTTTCTGATTTTTTGTCTTGAAAAGGAGTATCAAGTGTCAGCTAATGCTCCCATACCTCGAGAACCTCTGTCCATCCAGTTGCTAAAATAAGCACTTTTATCTTTACTCAGTTTCTAAGCAAGTAAAACCCACATTATGGATAGACGTTATTGCAAAAATATTGATAAACCAGAGCAAACTGGTGTTGAGGCTGTTGCAATCAGATGGACAAAATCACCCTAGAACCTCACACAAGTGCGTCGGCTCACGTTGCCACACTTCACAGTAGCATACAAAAAACGGGTGGATAGGAAGAGTGACACAGTTGTTTAGAAGAATAAATAATTTTAAGATAACGGTTAATGCAAATACTCAGGCTTTAGAACTACGTCTACACCATTATTGCCGATTTTCAGCTGTTACCAAGAGTACTCGATCACAGATTCCTTTCGTCTTGGAGACACTAACCAGATAATCTACATCTTCCCACACGACTCAGACTAACAGTTGTGGACTTCATGGACTGATCCCAGGTCTGACCACTCTGAACCCTATTCCAAACTAATCCAGCTTCTTTTAGCATGTGGGAGGTAGGCGGTGACTTGGCATGCGTAACATTTTTCCTAGCGACCTGAGTCGATAAAAATTCACAACCTGTTCATTCGATTTGCCTATCTTGCTTAGTACCCTTCGTTTAATTCTACGCAATGATTCCACAAAATGTGAGTAATTCTATGAAGACAGCTACGGTCAAAAACCTGTAAGTTCTCCAATTTTTCCACTTTCAATAGCCATTTCTCACAACCGTATAACAGGATAGAACGAACTGTAGCACAGTATACCCGAGGTGACTTGAGTTAGCAAATGCCAAACAGGCCTTCTGTATTCGAGCTGAGATTTCGTCAGCAAAAGCCAACTTAGGCGAGTGCAGCTCCTCAAGTAAGTGAAGTGGTCGACACATTCCCCCACTTCACTCCCCACCCTCAAGCTAGTAGTAGGTGCAGATCAGTCCTAGGGCATCAACTTATATTTGTCAGGTGCAGAACGCATACTAAACATACTCAGATTTTTGCTCAATGCGTTCAAAAGATGCTGAATTTTGTCAGCATCTTCACACAACTGTACTACATCGTCTGGGTACTCCGAGTCAGCCAGATGTCCTCCAAGGTATAGATCAATCCCAGTGAAGTTAGAGCTACCTAGTGTTATATCTATCAGCATGCCTACTACAAAGCTGGACCGCGATGATGATAGTGAGCATCCATGGAAGGTACCACTGGGGGTTGTCAATTCAGATGACAACTCTTCATAAGCCCATACACTACTGTTGATTTGGAGTTGACAGCTTTGATTCACGTTTCATATATTCCCAGTACTCTCTTCACAGATAAACACTGACACAGCAGCTCGCAATCAACATAATTAAATGTCACACTCTCTTCAGAAATAGCAGCATCAGCGTGGCATTGCTGGTCATTCAAGGGAAACAACGTAATACTGCCACCTTATCCGGCTAGGAGCAGTATGACTTTCCCTCAGACCCCCATCATAGTGTAGGAACTTATACTACCATTTTAACTGCTTTTCATTTTGCCACTATCCAACAAACGTTTCTAGTTTGGCAGAACCTCGAGAGGACAAGAGTTTCAGCTGGTGTAGCTCGTTGGGTCATTGTGATATACTAGCGCGACCACGTCAAGGTAGTAATTATCGGTTGAGTCGAGCTGTTGAAATAGAAAATCAACGCTTATTGAGATCTTGTTACCACAAGGAGATTTGAACAGGATACCCTTAACTTTGACTTAACTAGCTAGTATTCCCGAGACATTACTAAGATATTTCTTCGAATAGTTTACCCTTTACTGTGTTTCCACATTGCTATCTATGGTGAATATTACCATCGCCTTTCGTTTGTAGTCAGCTCATTCATCATTCGTACAATTTTCAGTTTAGTGTGAAAACTTAGATTCATAGAACGTCACTGAGCAGCTGGATGGCGTTTGTGGTTATTTGACTGTCTAATCCAACAGCTCATTCAACACCCTTTAAGGTTCATTACAGAAATACTTGTTGTCTTACTGTGTAAAGTTTTAGTGATATGCGGAATTAGAGTTTATGAGTCATCAAACTGGCTTCGAATAAAAGGTTTTGTCCTTGTAGCCATCGATAATATTCTAGAGACAGTCATGATGAAAGTGTATAGGGCTGGTGTAGACCTGTATATAAGGGAAAGATCTCAACCTCGAGTTTGTGGACGATATCGTCTTACTGAGCGAAGACGTCGCTCTCAATCAGTTCACAATCTGGTATCCGTATATACAATATGTGATTCGCACCATCGTAGTCCAAAGTGCTTATACAAAATTGACAGGAGTGTCTGTGCCTACATTTACCGTTGATGGTAAATCTCTGGAAGCTGTCAAAATGTTTTCGTACCTGGGTAGTTGTGTGAGTGCTGACGAGGGCACATCAGTCTAGACCACCACCTTTGGGATTGTCACGATCTTAACTTTACTGTAAAATGTCTGGTATACAGCACGTCAATGCTGTTAGTCATGCTCTACGCCTGGGAAACCTGGCCTCCTTGTGTGGAGGAAGTTCGATGACTTAGCGTTTTTGGCCACTGTCGTCTCTGTAGGATTGCTTGCATCTGGTAAAAATACAACATGTAAGTAATTATGAGGTGAGTTAGAATGTGTTTAGGGGTGATTTAGATCGTCATCTAGTGAATGTTATCATCTTGCGATACCGACTTCGACGGTTGGAACATGTCCCAGAGGCTCTCGCACCTCTCACTATTCATCTGCACTGGGACTGATTAGATGAAGCGGAGAGAGGTAGTCACTATATGGTGTGGCGCTGTAGAATGAAGGATAGTTGTATTGAGTAAACATCACGATTCCCTTGATAGCATCTGAAAGATCATGCAACTCAGTAGCGTGGAATAATAGTGGACATAGCTCGAAATCAAAAGCACTGGTGATCATGCTGCGGCTGTTTTGTTTCTTATGTCACTAAATAGTACGACGAAAGTAGTAAGTGATTCTTTGAATGTGTTTTGGAGACGACTTCTCTAATCACCGACTTCTGTTTTTTGTTTCCTTTCTGTCTCTCATTTCTTATGTCTTATAGTGTTGCTTTATTATTTTGTATGATGCATCTCTTTTTTTCCCTTTTTTACAAGCTTGTTTTATGATACTAATATTCTTTACGATTCAGTGAAAATACACACAGAGAATAGAAACCATATAGTGTGAATGTGTTGCTCGAATGCACCGTTACGTTCCTAACTGTGGGCATCGGTAGGCCTGAGTTTGCCTTCATGTTGAAGAAAATACTTATTCCGTGGTAATTTGCAAAACTCATGTGTTTTCTCAAGCAAGGAAAGGCTGATGGTATTACCATCTTACTTCATACAGGTATCGTAACAAAACGATTCGCAAATTGTGATGGATGCAAGGCCAGCATCTTCAAAATGTAATTGACTAGTTTAGAAGGATTTCTACGCAAAGTACTATCAGTTTTGAATAAAATGACAGATTGTGCACATCCGTTATATTGTTGCGACCAGTCAGAGACATAGAGTTGTAACTCATTGGTTTAGAGAAGTGACTATCAACCAGTGCGTCACGAATTCGAACACCACTGCATCTACCAAGGTTTGGACAGGCAGGTAATTGTGTCTTCATCTGTCACACAATAGGTGTGGCTCATTGCACCTCACTGCACGGAAGTGCACTAGGTTGCTGAATGGGTTTCTTTTTCGTCATAGCAACAATTATGTTATTTGATGTGAGAAACTCAGACCTGCCAACCACCAAATTTGTGAGGAAGCTGAAGGTGCTTTCACGCACCACACCTACATTGTATAGTCCCTATTATCTCCATGCACTTTCAGTCATTCGTACAGGGACTACACAGCTGTCAAGTTGGTCATATCTTGTGAGGTTTATGTTTGTTTCAGCGAAAAATGGATATCAAGACATTGAATTTGTTGAGTATCACCAAGGCGTGTTATTCTTTTTGCACTAACTCTATATTTGCTGTGATTGTTTTTAAGCTAGTGAGATGGTCGCCTTACACACCTATCTGCTTATTTATCGGGGTTGTAAATATACATGAATTGTATCCCTTTCGGTTACATACATTACTTTGAAGTAAGTCTTCTTTTTTTCTTCTCACTCTTCATGAAGTTTCATTTTGTGTTTTATATTTAGTTATGGGATTTACGAGATGGTCAATGTAAGCAAACATTCCCTGGTCATGAATCTGATATCAATGCTATCAATTACTTTCCAAATGGTATGGCTTTTGCAACGGGTAGTGATGACGCTACATGTCGCTTATTCGATATACGATCTGATCAAGAAATAGGCATGTACAGTCATGACAATATTATATGTGGTATTACTAGTGTGGCGTTTAGCAAAAGTGGTCGACTTCTTCTCGGTGGTTATGATGATTTCAATTGCAATATTTGGGATACATTGAAACAGGAACGTTGTGGTAAGTAATTGTAATTACATTGTATTACTTATTTTTGTTTTCATTTTTTATACATTAAGTAGTATAATTGAAATGACAACAAATCTCAGCCCTTGCATTCATTCAAATTTGATACATATAATACTGGTTAGTTTTGTGTTGTGTTTGAAACTCATGAACCACATTCTTTCATTTAAACCAGAGGTAATTATTTACAGAAATGTGATACGTTTATTTTTTCTGCTTTATAATACCTATGAAACCGGCACTGATCTTTCTGTTGGATAGTTACGTTTTTCTGATTTATTTTCACGTGGACATAGCGTTTTTTTCTCTCCTCATTTCCTTTCAAGATATGTAATGGCACTATGATTACTTGTCGACTGAAACCTAAATTTCGGGTTATTATCAGGCATAATTAAGCCAGTTATGACTGTGCATTTAATTGTCGTGGATTGTGAGTAATGTTGCAACTTTTAGATTTCCAGGGAGGAATGCATATTGCCACCTAGTAAGAATATCAGTATCCCTTTTTCCTGCTTGGTGTGCAGCTCTCGTTTGTATCTGTCTAAGTGGGACTAATTTCTTGGTAGTTATTGTTCTCTTTTTGTTCCACTAATTTATTTATCTACCTCAAAGACATTTCCAATGTAAACATAAATCAATGGGCTACACTACCATCGATATTACTCTCTTCGGTTGATTTAAACCTCTTTAGTTTAGTTGTCTTCTTGTGTTAACCAAGTGAGTTCTAGAGAAATCGTGTTTAGTTTGTCAGTGCAAACAGATCAGGTGTCCAGAATCTGGTATAGCAGAGAGTCTGAATAATGGCAACAATAATTGGTTTTATCACTTTCTACATCAACAAGTGAAAGTCTTCGAATTGCGTACAGACACCCGAATTTCTACTGATAGATCATTTGATGTTACCATCACTTATTTGCAGTTCTTTGTGTTGATACCATTATCAATACCAATATGAAGTTTAATTGCAATTTTATTTTTTGATACCTAGTTCAAACATCCTGAATATCATTTTAAATATGATTTACGTAACCAAGATAATGCTTAAAAGGTGCACTTATTACTTCAGCTAAATTCAATCAGTAATGCAACATGAATCTGTCACAGGATCCATGTAGTCAGACACTACGCCCCACAGTACTGTCACTGACAACATTTTGTATACCATTCATCTCTAATGCACAATTCTTTTCTTACATGTTGATATTGTCAGTCGTAAGAATGAGTGATTTGAACTCGTGTTTGGTAAGCAGCTAATTAAAATCGAATCATGTGCAGTTTGCAGTCCACGAAGTTCACAGATGTTAGAATGTAACTGTTAAATCGTTTGAATGAGTAACTTGTGTATATCAATAGCTGATCAAACTTCTGCTTGGCATTTTCTTCTTCCGATCTAGATGTTATTTTGGTTCAGAGGTACTTACGGGTTAGTTAGACCACGGATTCTGATAAAACACCTCCCTTGTTCAACTTTTTACGTTATAATTTGTGATCTTTGCAGTTTTTCACATAGTCACCATTCTACTTCGTTTCTGAAAGTTAACCTTTATTATTATTTATCACCGTGCTGGTGATTCACGTTGTTTCAGATAGTCTGATTAAATTTTGAGGGAGTTATGGAGATTTGGAATTATTTCAAGTTGTTATTCATCGTAGACTGACATCAGTTGGAGGAACAAAGGAAACCTGGGAGCACTGGACAGCTGTTTCGTCCTAGTATGGGACTTCTCAGCGGTGCGCACCCACGACCCCACCAGCAGGGATCGAGATGAAAACTAGCACCATCAAATATTATGATGAGCACGTTGCTATTTAGTCATCAAGTTGAAACTCAATGACTCACGTTTTATAACTTCTATCAATGCGTAACACAATGCACTCACCGTTCACTGTCATCGGGTGAACATTGCTAGCCCCATTTCAATTGATTAATCTCATAAGTAACAACTTCTTACTAGAACTCTTGGAAGTCCATCTCGAAGAAAGTTACCAGAGAATACCCATTTTTGTAATGCAAATTGGAGAGTTGTGAGAAATCATTTGATAGAATTTCACTACAGAGTATTCAATGCAATCTACATTATGTACCTAATATTACACTAATCAACTCCCTCAAAATTCAATTGAACTGGTGCTCATCGGTGACTAGCTTCGAGAGGTATTCCTGAAGTTCCAATGAGAAGTCGTGACCGGTGGGGGCAAAGCCTGATAGTTGTGAGGACAGTTACTCAACTATGACATTGGGTGGCGGTTGCGCTATATGTCGTGAGCTAACAGAAGTTGGAAATATGGAGCATTGGATTCTGACCCAGTGGCTCAATGGTAACGTGCTGGCCACGGAACCTGAAGGTCGCGGGTTCGATCCCTGGCAGGGTCGTGGGTGCGCACCGCTGAGGAGTCCCACACTAGGACGAAACAGCTGTCCAGTGCTCCCAGGTTTCTTTTGTTCCTCCAAGTGATATCAGTCTACGATGAATAACAGTCTGATTAAAGCCAGTCAGTTGCTTTCACTTTCTAGTTTGGCTTCATTTTGAAATAACATTGAAGTACTTGGCTAGGGAAATTGTCTGGTTTGAAAAGTAACAGTTGCATACTGCTTTTTTGAATAATAATCAAACAAAACTTTACAATACTAAAGTCAAATAGCGAATCAGCTAACTTTGAGTCGTTTAATACAATCTGGCTACTAACGTGAAGGATGTTCATTCGCATACTGTTGTGTTCCAGGTTTTCAGTCAAATTAGAAACGTCATTCCTGTACATATTTCATTGTTACAAGTATAAATTCTCGCTTCAGTTTTGAAAGTTTGACACACTTAAAGAGAGATATCTTTTGAGTACTTTTCCTGGTGATCTACCTTAGGTTTCTAGTACAATCTGCGATTTACTTACATTATAGATATATTGCAGTGTTTTTGTTCACCGAAACTTTTGTACTTTCAACTTGTTTACATGAGTCACTACTGATATTAATGGAAACATTAAAATTTATTTTAGGTGTTCTGGCAGGTCATGATAACCGAGTTTCATGTTTGGGTGTCACTGAAGATGGTATGGCAGTGTGTACTGGGTCGTGGGATAGCTTCCTGAGAATCTGGAATTGAAATGTTAGCTTCAGTATATATCATTATTATTATTATTGTTATCAGAGCTCTTTGTGTTTACAAGTATTTCATGAATGTAACCAATTCACCTGCTATTTTGACATCGTTTACTTTTCATTTATTTTCTTTGTATCAACTCTAATTTTGCCTGTTATTATTTATGGTTTTTGGTGGCCTATTACGGATTTAACTAAATTCAGCTTTTTCTCGGTATTCTTTTGCGAAATTACGGTAACTGCTGTATCAGAACACTTAAATTTATTCACTATTAAGAATTCGCTTATGATATATATATTTATATATTTTTTTCCAGTGATTTTCTTTTACATGTTCACTGCTATATAAAACTCTAAGCATTTTTGTGCTTTTATGGAACTTCTATGTGCCAGTTTTTTTTATACATTTCAATTGTATGATTTCGTTATTTGTTCACTGAAGTTATTTATATTCACTGTTGTCCTGTTTCTTTCTATGATTAAATTGGAGGTGTTTTCTATGTAACTTCTGCGCCTAACATTTGCTTATTTATTGTGGTATGCTATTTTTATCATTGTTTTTGCAATTTAGGAATGATTTTTGTATGGGTCTGTGTCTCTCTTGTAAAGCTGATTTAAGCGTATTTTGCATGTCTGTTTCGTTGTGTGGCTTTTTGTATATTCATGAAACTAGTCATTTCATATTTCTTGTTCGCAGATATGAACATTATATATATATATATATATATATATATATATATATATATATATATATATATATATATATATACATTGCTTCGGATTATAATTTGCCTTCGTGTTTCAATGTCGATGTTTATTTCATTTTGTCTTAGGAATACAACTGGGTTTTCTTTCCATGGTATTTTTTCTCAAATATTGTCTTTGGCCAAGACTTATTGGGGATCATAGGTGACTATAATTTTACTTTTAACCAAAACGTTATATCAGTTCATTGTCGATTACAAAGTTCTAATACTAAGTGAGAAGATAGTATACCAGGTAGGTACATTGCAACAATTGGATTTCGGTAGGATATAAGTATATCCACAGTTTCAGAACATCCTGTTCAAATCATTTATACCAGTTTATCTCATTGGTTTAGGGAGTTGACTTTCAACCAGAGGGTCGTCGGTTCAAATACTGCTCCACCTACCGTGGTTTGCGCAGCTATGTTACTGAGTAGACTTCAATTTCATTTCGATCTCATCCCGTATGTAAAAGTATACGATTTGCTAACGGTTGCACTGCAGCATAATGAAAACTGAAAATGGCAATGACACTGATAAAGTGGTAAAACTGAAACAGTTAGTGAATGCTATAGCCAATGCAATCAACATATTTTACCAAAAAACACTTGTGAAATTACTGCAGTGGATAGTAATATTATGCGAAACTATAATAACGCCAATTGAAGTAGTTGATACGAATACGTCTGTTCTCCCTCAGACTTGATACTCCATTAAGCCGCGAAAATCAGACCGGCCTATGACTGTAAGAAAGACATGCTTATATGACAAGAACTGGATGGCTTTAAAGGCCACCTTAGCAGCGATAGAAGTAGCCAATTAGATTCCTTCATTTAGGCTGGAAACGCAGATTTTCATGAAATATAGACGTCTAATTGGTTATTTCAGCTGTTGCTAAGATGACCTTTAAAGTCACTACAAGAACCACATTGTTTATATTCAGTTTTTCCTCAGAAAATTAAGCTACTACGTAACAAGTTGGATAATTGTTTTCATTGATCAGATAAGGGACAAGATTGTTCAGTGAGATTTTTCCGTCCACACACTGACACACAAGCAAGGTTGCAATCCAGAACTTCTGTCTTGGCGGTTGATGACCTCGAATGCTGATTTCAATTTCAGCTGCTTTGTATCAACTTGTTAAATGTACGTTTCCCATGGTTTAAACAAGTGTAACATGGGATTTATATTTTTGTTTTGTTGATGCTCACCACAGAGAACACGTCTGCTCTAAGATCTGAAAGCATACATTTCAGTAGCATAGGGAGATACGTTACTGTAGATGGTCTAATTATCACTATAACCTTAAGTTTATTGTCTTCATTTCATCGCATAAACTCTCAGCTTATGATGGATTGCTGACAAAAAGGGAATTTCCCATCAGATTTCAATTTCATTGTCTGAGATAGCTGTAGTTTAGCAGAATAGTATTTTTACAGGGGTGATGATTGAAGGTGAAATGAAAATTTGGACCACAGCTGGATTCAAACCAACGATCACTGGGTTTCCGGTTCGATGTTCTACCAACTAAGCTACGAGGTTCTAGTTTCTTTTACCGTCTAGTCAATTTCACACACAAAATCTCCACTCCGTCCATAAATCTGTCAAGTGCAGCGTATTTAAGTCTACATCTGTTTGCGATTTTAGGTGTGAAGATTTATCCAACTTAATAAGTCAGTCAGTATCAACATGGAAAGTTGACAGTTACTTACTCTCTTTCATCTATATAATCGCGTCTCATCTGGTTATATCAATGCTCTTCAGACTCAATGGAATTCAGCTTTAATTTTCTATCATAACCACTCATCCGCATTTGTTTTCTTAATGAAGAAAATCCTCTAAATAATTAATTTAAATTATCCACTGCTATGCGTCATAGACGAGGACGTCAAAGCCAGCATCGCAAAAGCAAGACAGGCATTCATTAACCTGAAACCAGTGTGAAGGTCTGCACTCAGCACAAAGAACAACATCCGGATTTTCAACACCAACCTCAGTCAAGTCAGTGCTCCTATATGGTTCAGAAACTTGGCGTGTTACGAAAGGCATTTCCAACAAACTACAGATATTCATCAACAACTGCCTACTCTGACTCGTTACTGAAGACCAGATGACGTGAATAATGAGAACAAGCAACAAGGAACTCTGGCCTGCAACAAACCAACCAAGAACCTGTCACTCAACAAATATGCATGGGAAGGAAGTGGAGATGGATTGGGTATACACTGAGAAGGTGGACTGGGGATATCACGCGTCAGGTCAGGCCGTCGAGTGGAACCGAGATGGGAAGCGACGAGTTGGGCGTTGGTGCCGAGGGTGACATGGAGGAGATGGTGTGAGGAAGAAATGAGAGCTACTGTGCAGTGGTGGATCCAGGTTGAAAGGTTTTCAGAGAGTGTAGAGTGGAATGGAGACGTGCTGGTGAAGCCGTATGTTCCACTAGGAACCCAAGGGACAAATAATAATTAAAATCCACTGCTATAAAATCTCTCATATTGTTGACATACATTCGTTCTTGTACATAAGAACATTTGGATATATAACTAGTAGGATCTTGTTAGTAATCTATCGGAAAGTGTATTCTTTGTTCATTAGACTATCTTTTGAAATATATACATACTCAGAATTCTTAGTTATTTAGGGTTTGTGAATTTAAAGTGTATGGAGTCATGAAACAGGATTATGTATAAGATCAAGGTGACAGTTGATACAAATGATTTTCACAGGTGTAAGTGACAACCATGAGATTCAACAAATATAAAAAATAAAAATTTGATTCGATAAATCTAGGTTAAGTAAGCCAAATGAATGGCAACCAAAAACCTCACTTCCAAGACTGACTATACAACAGATCAAAGGAGACAAGATGACTAACTAAGTATCTCCAGTTCTTTCCACAGTCATTCATGTAACCAAATGTAGAAGGGGTACTAGCTTTTCCAATGTGAGTTCATCCCCAACACAAAATATGTTCTACTACTATCGATTTAGCATAATGAATAATAATTCCTGTTGGTATAGACAACTGTTCTGTATCAAATTTAATGACTACCGGTTACTAAAAACGACTATATAGATAGTTGTGTTTTTTTTATCCTGAACAATAAATCTTGTATTCTAAGTTTTGTGTTCTTTCATCCTAACGTGTTAAGTAAGCGTTTTTGTGTAAGGCAGAAACTTCTAAAATAACCGAATTGGAGCCTTAACACCTCAGTAGACTGACTGTCAAGAGATTGGTGTGTTTTTATTCACATATATTATACTGACATCTTTATAAATTACTTTATTAACATTTCTCTGAAATAGCTTAAATATATAGTGGATCCAAAGAAATGTCAAGTAAACCAAAAGGTTAAGGTATGTATAATTAACAAAAATAGATTCAATGATAAACAAATATGAAAATTTATACGTTATTATACAAAATAGTAACATTAGTGTTAAGGATAATAATAAGGTTACTTGAATATTATCTCTTCGTTACTATCCACCACAATTTAGTATACTTCAATGTTAGTTCAGAAGATGATAATCGTCAGTGCTCGATAAACGATGTTGTTTGGCTTGATTGTCGTAATATTTGGAAGTAGGATGAGAGGTCTTGTAAAATCCAAGGACAGTCAATGAGTATTCAAGTTGGAGGCAGAAGTCAGAGTGAATAGAAGTACACTATATTCCCAGGTTTAAAAGCGGAAGCAGTGTTACCACACTGCAACTAAAATTCCAAATTTTAAGTTGTACAGATAAACAACATTCGTTTTTACTAGTATTAGGAAGAAGGTGTAAAAAATGATAAAAATGAAACATTATTTTCGATTTAAGGGGTTTATACATAGTTTCGTGCAGTCTCCACAAATATCACTTAGTCAAAACTTCAGATTATCCTCGAAGTAATTAAACACTTAGCGCTGGATTCAAACCTTGTGGACAAAATAACAAAAATGAGAGACAATACTTGTCACTATATACACTTTTCATAGGATTAAGACTGAACGCCTAGTCTGGAAACATGAAAAATTCGAAGACCAACAACAGACAAACAGAAAGAATTCCTTGAACAATAAGATTATTGTTTTCATGTCATAACTTTCAAATCTCCATCAGGGGCCTACCGGATAACGCTGTGGCTTTCAGAGCGATTGGTCTTGCCTCCCAGTCTTAGTCGGAACAACATCACTCACTAAGAGATAGGCATTTCAGGCTAATCTGTCCAAAACAGAATCAACACTTGTCCTTCATTCCTTTACTGGCCACCATC